CTCACACCGAACAGCAAGCTACAAAGGGCCCTAAAATGACTAGTGTAAAACAATTCAAATAGGAAAACCAACGGCCTAATCTATATAAAAAACGAGAAACGAGAAACACTTATGAACCACATCAACAGACGACAACCACTGAACAGGCTCCTGACTTAGGACAGGTGCATACAAATGCAGCGGGTTTAAACTTTTTAACAGGCGCCAACCTTCACCCTAACCTGAAACAGTAGTGCAATATCACAACATAAAAAGACACACTGTACAATATCAATTGATATGGCTTAACGCGATCAAAAATGCATATAGACAAAAACAAGTAAACATACACTGACCGAATAAATTTGATCTATGACACAATATAAATACAATATTAATAAAAAAAAAAGATTTAAAACAATGTCAAAAAGACAACACTAATCTGGGATAAAATGACGTTAAATAAAATAACGTACACAGGAACATTTAAATATAATAATTTTGTTGTTAGGGGTACGGAAATATTTTTTATATTTTACAAATTAAATAAATTCGTTGTTCACAGTACGAGTATAGAAGTGAAAATTTATCGTAATACTAAATATATTTATCAAAGGTGGTTCATACTAAAAATAGTGAGACGAGATATAACAAAAAATAAGTAAACATTGAATAACAAAAATGCATTACAAATTGTGTCAACAGGTTAAAATAACACGAAAGTACGATTTGAGAGTACTCGCAGATACTGAAAGCTAGTTAAAAAGCCAAAAACAATTAATAAAAAAATATCATGCATCAGAGACTAAAATCAATTAAAACACATCCCAGGGATTTAGTGTTTTAACGCCATGGACAGTCTACATATTCTTATATTTATCCTAACAATACCAAGGATCATTTGAAGGTGTTTGGAAAATAAAATCAATTTTCACATTTAGCGAGTTACCATGGCAACACATCATGAAAAATTTTATATTTTCTTGATTTTCCTTCTTTTGCGCCAATTTTAAAGTATATCTGTGATTGGAAAGGTACGTGCGCACAAAAAAAATTAACATTTGGTGAGATTATGGAAGTAGCTATAGGCATAGGCGGATCAAGGGGGTGGCTGGGGGGCCCGGGCCCCCCCCCCCCTTTCGTGGGAAAAATTTGGTTGATTATATAGGGAATCACTGAAGCATGACTGGAGCGGGCCCCCCTTAGGTCAGTCAGCGCCCCCCCCCCCCCCCCCCCCCCCCCTTATGAAAAGTTCTGGATCCGCCACTGTATAGTAAAATTAAAGCTTCCCAAAAAATATTGTTGTTTCTGGGCTGCGCACAAACAAAACAAACCTTTATGTCCCTACTCCTTTTAAGGTCATAACAGCCAATTATCACAATGTCGTATTCGTATTCTTTAAAATATACAGCATAAAAGTCTAAATATTTTACATAATTAAACTAATCATCCGTTTCTGATCACAACTATTACAAAATTGTTCTAGCTTGGAATTTATACTTAAGTGATAGTCCTTAATTGGACATTTATTTATTCCTTCCCAAATATTGTCCATGGATTTGCAGTTTGCTGTTCCTTCATTTTATCTTTCTTGATTTTATAAGATTTAAATAATTTGTCGATGCGTGGGAGTTAGAACATTAGTTTCTTGATAATTTTTAAATTCATCAACGGAGATAAGAAAAGTATGTTATAAATCATGTCAGTACCGAAGCATCGACAACTAAGCTGATAATACCTCGGTAAGTTTTCGTTAAAAGGGTCTATCATATTCTGTATGTGCCTGTCCCAAGTCAGGAGCCTGTAATTTAGTAGTTGTCATTTGTAGTTGTATGTCATATTTTTTTATTCGTTTATTGTTTTGTACATAAATCATAAAAGCCATTAGTTTAAATTGTTTTACATTTGTCATTTCGGGGTCTTTTATAGCTTGCTATGCTGTATGGGTTTTGTTCATTGTTGAAGGCCGTACGATGACATATAATAATTGCTTAGATCTACGCTATTTAGTCTCTGGTGGACAGTTGTCTCATTGGCATCTTATCACATCTTATTTGTATATCGAAATACAGGTGAATGGATTATAGAAGTTTTTTAAATTTTCGCTAAAATGTCCTGCTCCCATATAAAAAAGGTCTTCTACACTTCACGCAAACGCTATTTTAATTCCTATCACTTCAAACCAAAATCTTAAATAACACAACTGATAGATGCACATGATTAATATATAATCTGGAATTAAATAATATCACCGAAACAATGATAAACATATAAAGTGCATACATCTTATCCCATGCAAAAACGTAAACCTGCATTTATCATGTGTTTGGTGTTGTGTTTTTATTTATTAATTATTTGGGGTGGGGGGAGGTCGTTTATATTTATGTGGGTTCATATTTAAGTTTTGCTATGTTGTAACCTCTGTACATAAAAAGTCGATTACTTGTTTTATTTCTTTATTTATCCTTAATTCTAATGTTTTATATAAGTTTAAAGGTTGATTAATTGATGTCAAAGATTTCAAAAGATTGTTAATTTCATTTCAGTTTATCACGACGACTAGAAATGATACCAAAGTATCAAAAATGTTTATTTATAATGCCTAAAGGAATGGCAGAAAATATAAGGATAATTAATTTGTTCAAACACGTCATCTTAAATACGCAATAGATTTTATCGTTCAACAAACAAACATTAAGTCATGATACACATAATAGAAGACTATTTTATATCCATCTAATGGTTACTATAGGGAATCAAACAATGGTAAATATGTCACGTCAATTCACAGCAATCCGAAAACAATGCAATCAGAAAAGACAGGTAAACACATGGTCTTCAATATAGACAAAGATTCTACACTAGAATAAGTCAAGCCCTCAATCGTTCCAAATGGGGAAATTGTGAAAAAATTCCATAGAACTACAGGTTCTACAAAATTCTCTTCAGGTAAAAAAAAAAGCACTAAGACATAACTTGAGACAACCACTGAAAAGGTTTCTGACTTCGGACAGGCTTATAAACATATTGAGGGTTTGCATTAGATTTTAGTACTAGACCCGGTTTGCATTAGATTTTAGTACTAGACCCGGTTTGCATTAGATTTTAGTATTAGACCCGGTTTGCATTAGATTTTAGTACTAGACCCGGTTTGCATTAGATTTTAGTACTAGACCCGGTTTGCATTAGATTTTAGTATTAGACCCGTCACCTTTTTGAATGATTTAGTTAAAAACAAATGGTCCATAAAAATACGCAAACTACAAATCATTTAAGAAAGAGCTTTTAACTTTATAACACGTTATTATAGAGGAAGAAAAACTGGTACAAGTAAAACAAATAACTAATTACACCGTATCAAACAATGTTCAGTTACCTAACGAAAGCACTAAGTACTTAAAATGTTGATATAACAATATTCAGGCGGAGGACATCTTAGTGCAAAAATCAGACGTTTTAAAATATGACATATTTAAGTGCCACATTTTTTACTCATTTTAGCGAAAAGTAAAATTATCAATGTCAATTTTCATCGACAGAATATTAAATCCATTTTCTAGTAATTATATTTAATGTAAATTGTGAACTAATGATATTCAAAACAGCACAATATTGAAATGTTATATTCATTTAAATGCAGCACTAAAAGTCTGAATGCTTTGAATCAGTGATCTCATTTGAACCATTCGTTTTTTAACTAAAATATTACAAATCAGTTTCAGGATTGAATTGTTTACTTTATTTGAATGTGCTTTTGTTTTTATAAATTAAGGCGATAGTAGTGTATCGATGTTCGTCAATCGATTAGGAAGAGACAAGGTAACAAAATCACGTTTCATCAAGTACTTTATCGGTACTGACTTTGATTGTACGTTTTGTTTCTCTACGGCATGATCGGAATCGAGAGTGTGAAGATTGAGATCTAAAATAACTAGCGAAACACCGCCTCAAATTTATTTGTCCGAAGTTATGAACCTCGTCGGTGGATGCCTTTAATTACATTTCAACGTTTTACTATTTTCATTGTCTATGTGAAATTTATTCATAATTTTTCTAGAGTTGGGCGATTTAAGATCTTGACATGGTATAAACATTTGACTTTTGTTGAAGATGGTATTGTTGACCTTTTAATGTCTGTTGGCTTTATGGTTTTTGCGTCGTTAAGTTGCTGTTTCGTTGACTTATACAACTGACCTCCTTTTAGCCCTAATACGCCTTAATACAGAAGAGACTGCTTATGACATTTCAAGCCTTAATTGCGTTTTTCGCTAAAATATGATATTGTTAGAATATTTCCAATCACATGAAACGATTTTGTAACAAAACTGTCAAAACAAAGGTCTATGTTCGACCTTAAAGTTTGCATGTCTGCGTGTCATTCCATGTGAATATTAATATTAATCTGTGGTTCATTACGTGAAACAATATTATATAAAAGAACTCAAAATAAACAATCTATACATTCTATTGCACAAAATCAAATAAATATTAATAATGCAAGGCAAAAATTTTTGAGATGGGAATTTAATTAACTGTGAAATTAGTATTTATTCGTCATTGAGAAATTTATTGTTCCCTGAAGAAAATGAAATAATCATTCAGTTAACTTTAAATCAACATTTGATCCATCCAATTGAAATACCCGTATTTGTCATGTTCGACATAAGTAACGATAGCAGCAGTAAGTAGCGTAGAGGGCTACCCCATCCCCCCTTTTTTTTTGTCATAGTTACCTACTGTACTATACATATTTTTTTTGTCGTAGTTGTACATCGTAGTAATCTTCTGTACTCAACATATTTTTTTTTGTTATTTTTTTTTGTCGTAGTTGTACATCGTAGTAATCTACTGTACTCAACATATTTTTTTTTGTCGTAGTTGTACATCGTAGTAACCTACTGTACTCAACATATTTTTTTTCTATTAAGTAGGAAAAACATTTAAGTATTTATAGATTTGTTATACGTAAACCGACCGGAATTTGTAATTTTTTACTGATTTATTTTTTTTTATATTTCCAGGAAAATGATGAGGCCAGAATGAAAGAAGATTCCAAGAAAAATACTCAAATCAGAAGTCTGCTTACAGACGTCGGATCTGAATCAAGCATTCACGGGATTTCCCGAATAGTGTCAGATCGGCCGATATACCTACGCTTGTTATGGCTAATTGCCTTTCTTGTGGCACTGTCGTTCGGGTTATACCAAGTCTCTACAATTATACATTTATTTTTGAAATACTCTGTCAAAACCAATGTAGAGGTTCGGTATAGTCCTATTGCATTTCCAGCAATAACCATATGTAATATGAATATCATAAAGAAATCCGAGTCTGATAACCTTGGAAATCAAAATTTACAGCGCATTTTGAACGTAAGTATTGCATGTGCAATTATAGACATGGGAAATTTAAAGCACACGTCCCCCCTTCCCCCTCCCCCTTAAAGATAAAAATAACAATAACGACAATTGGAATTTGACGGTCAACACTGGAATATTTGAAATTTTGTTTTAACTTTAAAAAGATATGTTGAACTCGTGGGTCTAAAATCCAAATTTTGAAGTCGAATGTTTAAACGCCTTCTTATTGTTGCAAACACATACAAATTTAGGATTTTACAAATTATATATATATTGAGCCAATAAAAGTAGAAATTACAACAGTTTCTAGAATAGAGAAAGTATCAGTCAAAGTCAAGACTTTGTGGGTTTAAAATGTCATCAAATTCGTTATTCTGGTCTTGAAATGAAAAAAATGTCACAATACCTTTAGAATCCTATTGATTGATTTGATGGTTGGTCTAATTAGTCAGCTTTTGTGATGTCACCGTCAAATCATTTACTTGTAACAAAAAGACGTATGTGACAAAAAACGAACCATTAATTTACATATATTTTAGACATAAGCCAAAGATAAATAGATATCGCTGTTATTCCGTTTGCAGTCTTTGTCTCATACAATACATGTAATGTAAACAGATATCAATAATTATCGACATTATGTAAAATCACTCAGAAGTGCTCTGAAAAAGTGTAGCTGTTTTGATTTTTTTACATTTCTACTGAGGAAATAATAGGCATGTATGATTAATTTAAAATGTTTTGGCTACAAGTAGACTTTTATTGTTTTATGTTTTAACACAATGACGAATACTGTAATGTTTATTAATTAAATCAGAGAGTTTGCTTTTTTGGTATTGCGAATGTAATGCAGTATTTGTATATCATATACATGATATTTTCAAAAGGGATCATATTCTTATTCAACAACGCTACCAACATTGATACAAACTTCAACTACGACAACACCTCCTGATACTCAACACCCTACATCTACTACAACTCGCAGTTCTATCCTGAATTTACCGAATATAATACCGAATGTAATACCGGCTACAGTCGTTACCCCAGACTTGAATTTGAACTTGTCAGCATTGTCTGATGGGAATACCTGGTCAGATTTTTATGGCAGTAGTGACCAATTATATCCTGAACCAGGGGAGTTTCAGGAAGATTACATTGCTTACCAGACTTTCATAGAGGAATATCAGAAGCTTGAGAGGTATACTGTGGTCATTATAAACACTTAGCTGATGTGATATTTGTTTTCGTGTAGATTCATATTATGTAGTGTGTAACATTATATTAATAACACATAGCTGAGAGGGTGATAGAGCAGATTGTTACCCCGAGAAAACATTGTCAACTGAGGCGAAGCCAAGGTTGACAATGTCTTTTCGAGGGGTAACAATCTGCTCTATCACCCTCTCAGATATGTGTTATTTGATTTATTATACTGAATGTTCTGTTATTACTGTCTATTAAATTTCAAATTCAATATAATATATTATGTCGTCTTGTACATAACAATCATCCGTATTTATTAAAGCGCACAATTGAGCAAGCGTCTCTGTTAAGGGTAATAGAGTATTTGCCATGGGATAGAGTAAATTGTCTCCCTCGTATTAACCAATCAAAATCTGGCATTTTGACATGAAGTATAATAATATAATAAACCTTTATATTCGTGGTTATTGGTGAGGACTATATTTGTTTTCATGTAGATTCAGACATATTATGTAGTGTCTAACTTTATAATAAACCTTTTTATTTATGGTTATTGGTGAGGACTAATTTACTTGCTTTATAAAATTTATGTTCTGGTTCCTGTACGGATAATTTCCAAAACCTTTCTATTAAAAAAATAATGTACTTGAAGGTCGTACGGTTGCCTATAATTGCTTACATCCAATTCATTTGAACTTTAGTGGATAGTTGTCTCATTGGCAATAATACCACATCTCCTTATTTTTATATTGTTATCTTTCTACGAAAACGACTCTTCATTCCATAAAAGGATACGGTCGTTTTCGACAGTGAAAATATAGGTAAGATTTGAACTAAGGTATGCTGTTTTTTAAAACAGTGAGGAAATATGTTGGTTGTACATTTTTTTTTTTCTGTGAAATATTTCATTTTTACGAATAATTCGTCCTACTTGCAGCCATATCAGACCTTATGTCGTCTCTTGATTTCCAAATCCACTTATGGATATGGTTTAATATGGTTTGAAGATTTGTGTCTCAACCTTTGAATACCCTATGATGTGATATTTGTGTTACCTTTCCGGTGTTCATATTTCTCTGAAGGTGTTAACCCTACTTCTTAAATATCATGACACACTTGATGACTTATGGTGTATCTACAAGTCGTTTAGGTTAAACAGGACAGATGCATTATGTTCTAGTCAGTTAACAAGGCAGACAATTTTAAGAGTTTTATATCTGGCTTAATTAACTTATTGCTAATGTTCTATTTTAGGAGCTTACCATTAATTCGCTGACTTTGAAATATACAATTGTTTTATCCGTTTCCCATTCCTTAAATTATATTTTACAGTTGTTTTTTTTTCCTCTTAATTATAGACAATGCACTTAAATCATATTATTAATGTCCTTGCTATGTTAACGTTATTTAGAGTAATTGTGGTCGGTTAACTATATGAATTATTCTTTAATCAAAATTAAATACTATATTTTCAACAAAAGTAATTTGAATAAAAGTATTTTCTATTTGAGGCAAATCATTTTTTTTTTTCATATTTCCCATTCAAAATTAGACAGAGTCAATGCTTAACTTTTGAACAAATTGACATTTCATTTGCACCAAAACCATCTTTCATTTGCGCTAAGATAATACATTTCATTTGTGCCAATAATACAAGTAAACAGTATAAATAATAATTATAAAGTAACAACATAGTTTCGATCGCATGATATGATAATTTATCTTACCTCCTATACATTTCTAGGAATATGATTGGTTAAAAGCAACCGCGTGGAGACCGTGTATATTCCATATTGGGTTAGTAGGGTTCCATATTGGGTTAGTAGGCGGGGCTTATTTCAATACACGGTTAGTAGTGGTGTTACGTCCCTTTCATAAAAACAACACGGTGTTGAGGAAAAATCTTAAAGGTTTCAACAGATGGAGAAATTGATGAGGAACGATTGAAATAAATTCATAAAACACATTTAAAGCTGACAAGTTGTTATTGTTGGCATTTGTTTTTGTATAGACCAATGGAAGTAGGTTCTTAATACTAACGGTATTGAAGACTGGCTTGATCATTTTGATAGGCCACTATTCTAAATACCACATGTTAAGATAGTCGGTAAGATAAATTCGTTACATAGTGTGCTAGTGACCTAATACGATATATATGGGGTCAGTAAATTCCATATGGGGTGAGAGCGTAGAAACTATGTAACTAATAATAACATACTCATCATAAATCACATTCATCAATAAACCAAAATGAAAACATTAAACACTGACCGTGCTTGACTGTAACACTAAATGTTTATAAAAGGTTTTGCTGTCCACTTTTGGAGTGGTTCTGGCTTTGGAACTTTTTGTGGTACATTTATACGATTTGTCTCCATTTTTCAAAACATTAGATATCCTAGATGTTAGATCTTAAAATAACAGACGTATATGTCTCCAAATAAACTATGTCCAAGTTGTCACCTCGAACATGTGAACATGTGAATACTATACAATTTTTTACCTCTAAGTGACTCTCAGTTTTGTATGAGAAATGAATATGAAGTCACTTACTTACCTAATGGGGATGAGATACTGGATTTCTAATACGAGACTCGTATTCAGGATAAAACTTATTTTAAAACGTTTCCGTTATATTTTACCTGTAAATTGGCGCAAAAGCATTTTTTTACGCAAAAGAAATATAACCCTGTTGTGCAAATGAAATACTGCATTTATCACAAATTGGTGCAATGCAATGCACTTGACGAAGTTGTCTGTCTTTATGTCTGACAGTTTTCCCTTTGAAACAGTTTCTTTTTCTGTTGATGAAACTAACTTAAAATATAATGTAAAAAATATTTTGACACTTGAAAATTTTATATTTCAAGAATTTTGACATAAATTCAGTAATTGTTCTTAAAATATTTTCTGGTGTTTACTACCACTGGCAGTATATCATTCTTCATTCTACAATATTTTTGTAGAAACATAAAAGTGCATGCAGGACACAAAATTGAAAATATGCTTCTGGAATGTACTTACGCTGGACAAAGTTGTGAAAGGTAAGTTTATCATTTCAAATTTAGGTTACTCTTCGAGTGAGTAGAGAAGAAAACCATAGAATACATATTTTAAAGGGATGAATTGTTACCGATATTTGAAAAAAGTAATACGCAATACATACTTAAGGGCAAACGATACAGTTTTGATCCCACGGGGATTTTTTTACGAAAATTTGCATACAAGCTGTTTTTCACCTAGTCAATTCAAATATGTAACAAAAAATATACCTTCATGTGCTAAATGTAGAGATAAATTGGGTCAACATTTTAGACATTTACATAAAATTTCGATTTCTTCGACATTTCTATCCTTTGGACAGACGTACTAAACTTGTTTGTTTCAAAAGATAGACACATGCGGATTTTTGTAACAAGATTTGGAGATATATATCTTATTACAAAAGTATACCTTTAATTTATGTAACAATTCTTTGAAAATAATTCATTTTTATCAAATTTCATGATTTTAGATAAAAAAACGGCATTTTTTTGCTGTATATTTATCCATTTAAAAAAAAATTCATCGGTGATTTCTTCATAAAAATTGGAATAAAAAATCTTCATACAGATTCAAGTCAAATGTCATAATAAAAATGAGGGGTCCATGTACTCGTTCTCAAGCTAATGCTTAATATCACTCGAAAAATTCTTTTTCCCGATGTGTGGCAGGTTGACGTCGCGAAAAAAAAATTTTTTACGTTAGCAACGTCAAGACATCCCCTGTAACTGTATCGTATGCCCCTATCTATAACGTTAACTATGATATATCGGGAAAAGATGCACTTTCGACTGATTTTTATCATTCAGACTGAACGAGTTAATGCACACCTCTTTTTAAAATTGACATCTGGCTTGATTATGCATGACGATTATTGTGCCAATTTGAGCAAATCACCAATGATTTTTTTTTAAATTAGATAAAGATACAGCAAAAATGCCGTTCTTTGACTAAGATCATGAAAATGTGATAAAATGAATAATTTCCGAAGTATTGTTTCACAAATTCAAGATACTCCAGATGCTTTTGAAAAAATCCGCTTGCGTTTATATTTTAAATCAAAAAAGTTAGATATGTCTTTCTATAGGATAGAAATATCCAAGAAACCGAAATTTCCAGTAAATGTCTAAAATTTCGATTTCTCTAAAAGTAGCACATAAATGTATATTTTTTATTACATATCTGAATTAACTAGGTGAAAAATAGCTGAAGTCCGCCTACGGGTGCTAGAATTTTCTCGCTGCATTGAAAACCCATTGTGGCCTTGGGCTGTTTTCTGCTGTTTTGGTTGGGTTGTTGTCTCTTTGACACATTCCCCGTTTTCATTTTCTATTCTAGCAGTTTTGAATACATTGATATACTAGAAGGAAGTTTGCTAAAACAATATAATTTAAACTTTATGAACAAGAAGTGGAAATCAATGATTCATTTGTTTAGTTGGCGCTTTTGTTTAATTATTTAGGTATTTTTTTAGTCGAAAAAAAAGTTGACCTGCTTGGAAAGCATTATGATTTAATCTTTACTCATATACAACTATTTACATCCCTATTGCTTTATAGTTAAAAATGTTAACACATTGGTAGCTCCTATCTTGATTTATTCTTCCAAAATATGATCATTTTTAATTTAGTTTATTGCGAATAAGACTGATATCGAGTATTGACATTGCCAACTTTATGGTATATGGGAAATTGAGCATACAGATCAATTTAAAATGTTATGTTTTAGTATGAATTACTTACAAACAGGAATAAGATCTCATATAAATCAAACAAGTAACTGCCATATGTGTGCGAATTAATTATATTAAGTCTATTTACAACGTATGTAGATCCAGTGAATTGCGGAATATACAGCAACATTTCTATTAATTTGGTATAAGGAATGTAGAGCTCAACAGTGGGTTCATTTGATAACTGTCAAAAAGGGGGGGGGGGGGGGGGGGGGGGGGGGGTTGGCGAATTTAAATTGTAGATGGAATTTATTTTATATCAGCCTTATTTAATACCATATTGCTGTCCGAGATCTGAGAATTTGTTGTATTGAAAAATATTATAAAATACTCGGAACAGGCAAAACAGATATGTGATCTTAGCAATTTGTATCACCAAAGATAATGAGTACTCTTTGGTGTTATTCATATAGTTTAACAAATGAAATAAACTTGACAAAAACTCACGCGTTGACAATATTTCGTCTTTCATGTGTATCGGATACTATATTAATGTTTCAAATATCAACCTATTTTCTGTTTTCTCACTTTTTTCGAACGTATACCAAGTACTGTGTTTATACTATAACCATATTTCCCATATCATCCGTATCAACCGTATCTCTCTCTTTTCGAAGGTTAACTAAAAATACTGACATTCAATGGTAATTAATGCAGTACACATTTGATATTGAATTCTCTTACTTGAAAAAAAAGTGTAAAATTCTATTTTTCCAAAAAGACTGATCGGAAGCATGAAAACCTATAGAAAAAAATTAGTTTAACAATTCAGGTGATTGAGAAAAGATTCATAAATGACTATCATAACTATGAAAATCTGATGAATTTAATATTTTTAGACCATCGAAGAATATTGTTACACCTGACTATGGTAATTGCTACACTCTTCAGTCTCGAAGATATATTTCTGGAACAAGCGGACCACTAGGAGGTAAAACAATATTGTATAAGTTTTGCCATGCACTTTCAGTCACTGGGTGTTTATTTGCGAAAATGTGTTATTCACTATAAAAACTTCCGTCATATTTGATCACAGACTATTTTTTTTCTCCTAAAACGCAGGTGCACCAACATACCTGAAATTTATATATTGCATATTTGACAGTTATGAGTGTTATATTTTGAATTATGATTCAGTTGAAGTTTATGAGAAAGGTCATTAATGTTAAAAGAAAGACAAATGATTTGAATAAACGTCGAATCTAATCATTAAGACTGGAGCCTTTAATTCGCTGGTAGTGAGTTGTTGCTGTCTGTCATATTTGTTTTTGTTTTTGTTTTAATCTTTTTTAGAATAAACCGGACCGTTGGTTTTCTCGTTTGAATTGTTTCACATTTTGTCATGCTGGTCCTATTAAAGATTTCCATACGGTATGGGTTTTGCTCATTATTGAAAAACTTGTCTTTGTTGTTTTTAGCAGCGATTTACATCCGTTGTTTGATGAGAGCAGCTGTTCATTGTACCTCTTGTTTAATGAGAACAGCTGTTCGTTGGACCTCTTGTTTAATGAGACAGGAACAGCTGGTAGTTGGACCTTTTGTTTGATGAATATACAGCTGTTCATTAGACCTATAAATGTACACAGTTTTGTTGATGTTTCTTGTAAAAATAAACTTCTAAGTGTGTTTTAATTATCCCATCTTATTAACAATATTGTTAAAAAATGTTTTTTTATTAATAGTAATATTGTAATATTGTTTTATCTATAAATCATTTTGAAACGGACAACGAATATTTCCCAAGGGTAATGAATAGGAACTAAAATAAACTAAATGCATGTGTGTCCGTCATTTATTGTCCCTTTGGATTTTCGCATTTTGACATGGTCTTCAATTTGTCGTTTTGGTCATAAATAAAACAAATGTGGGATGAACCAAAAGACATCTACATTTCAACATAGATTCTTCAATGATAGACTTGAGTCTATACAATATGTCAAGTTCTTGTCTAAATGTGTTCATATTTGATATTTGTGTATATTACTGTTAAGACTAATTTATATAAAGTAAATTCCGAAAAACACGCACAACGATTCACGCTGTTGTAGGAATGCTAACAATTTGTCTCCTTGTTTATTGACCATATGAAGCAATCTACGATTTCACAAAAAGAGAAAAATGTGTGTTCATTCTTCAATAATTAAAATCATTTTTATTTTATGAAATTGATTTATCGTTTGAATTATATCTAAATGTGGATTTTGACAGTAGTTCATACTGTAGCTGTGTGATACCATTTCAGGAATGACACTAACCATAAATCTGGAGAATCACGAAGCAATTGAGAAAATGACTGAGGGTTTTGGACTACGACTGGCTTTACATGAAGTTGGTAGCTTTCCGTTACCTCTGGAGAAAGGCATGACAATTTCGGGAGGATTTGAAACATCAGTAGCACTTAAATTGGTCAGTAGAAACAGAAATATCCTCACCAGAAATATACTGTATATTATGTATTCCTATGTTTGTCTTTTGCTCTTGTTGGCGAGGTAATGCAATGGTGATTGAGTTTTTGAAATATAGTCATTTGAACTTGTCCCATTTGGGGGGTAAAACCCGTATTGTAGTGAATCTGTTTTGCAGTGCAGAATATAAAAATTCACAGCCATGTCTGGTAATAGAGTAGACGTGATATTGTATGTCATGCTGTCAGCACGTTAAAGAACTGGATTTCTTAAAAGTTCTTATCGTCCTTCCCTTTACCTATAACACCCTCCAGAGCAGCTCTGTAATTCTTGTATTATGGCTTTGAGACGTGAGCAGAACTTATCAGCGACTTCACAATATCTGAGGGGAGTTATCAGCGACGTCATAATGCGTGAGGAGACGTTATCAAGCTTACTTTTGTCAAGCGTAAAACTGTATGAGGGAGAGGAAAAAGATCATAAATAGCATGATAAACAGATCATCGGGCTTTCTGTTTATAAATATCGTAAAAAATCAGCCGCTCATCACAGCGTGAAGATTCTTAGCTAGTTCGCTACGCTCACTCGCCAAAAAGGTTCACATTATGGCTCGTGACTGATATTTTACGATATCAATGAGAAGAAAACCCGATAGTCTATAATTAGTGCAAGGCAAAATTATACCACTATCGTATGCAACCTCTTTTCTCGTTAGCAGTCAAAATTTTCTCACAAGTCATCTTCATTGTCCGTTTTACAAAATGTTCTTGATTCATTGTTGAACTGGTTCTCGTTCAAAATATACATGGAATGATTGCCCCCTGACAATTATAATCTTTATTGCAAAATAACACCCATAAGGGTCAATCAATATAAACAAACAATGATACAATTATATAATACAATACAATACAATAGAACATATTTTAAGAAAGAGTTCAATTAACAAATTTATGTAAAAACACAATCATAAGCTTGTCTGACATGTGTCTGACCCCTCAGTTCTAAAGACTGCTTAATGAAGACTCTAATATGACAAACAAGTTCAGGGGTGGGGTTTAGAATGTGTTTTAGTTTATTAAATGCATCAAGATGTTGAATTATACTGAATGAATGGCTGCCTATCTAACGTCTAGTGGACACTAAATATTACGTGCATATTTAGGATGTTGATATGATAGCTATATGAATCCTGCTTTGCACTAGATCGACATGTTGAGTTCAAACGTGCTACCTCACAATGTAACTGCCCGCAGGAAGGCATGTCACCCTAGCCTGACACATTATTCTGACTCCAAGCCGACCATTCTTTCATCTTACTAAAATGTCGAGTGCTTAGCGGAATAGTAACAATTACCAATGTTCAAGTCTTCTGTTTGATCCAGCAAAGGATTCGAACCATAACATGTCGCATTCGAGGCGGGCACACTTCCACCTGACCACCTAGATCTTTGACAATATCTCAATATAACTATATTCATGACCTTTTAGAATTATCCATGAAGTGGAAAGCAGACATTTTCATAAATAAACAATCAAATTTTTATTATAACTGTGCAAAGATTTTTTAAGTCCTTGTTTAATCTCAAGTTCCATATATTCAATTCTTAATTTGAATGAATAGATAATTGTATGACAAAAAAAATAAATATAACTTTTACAATGCAGATTGTTAAAACGTTTAAACCCGCTGCATTTTTATGCACGTGTCCTAAGTCAGGAGCCAGTTGTTCAGTGGTTGTCGTTTGTTGGTGTGGTTCATAAGTGTTTCTCGTTTCTCGTTTTTTATATAGATTAGACCACTTATTTTCCTGTTTGAATTGTTTTTAGTCACTAATCATTTTGCGAGCCTTATATCTTGCTATTCGGTGTGAGCCAAGGCTCCGTGTTGAAGGCCGTACTTTGACCTATAATTGTTAACTTTTTATACATTGTGACTTGGATGGAGAGTTGTCTCATTGGCAGTCATACCACATCTTCTTATTTATATGAGGTAGTCGCAATGGTTAGTATCGTAAGCACGGAGAAACGTATGTCCAAGTTTCGTAAAATTTCACATAGTTTCGTCCCCTCTGTGAGCGTAACGTGTATAATAGGAAAATTGACATACCTCTGTGAATGAATTTGAATGATAAGCCAAATGGCTGCGTGTTTACACATCCAGTACATGCAAATAGATCGCTTTATTGTCGATAGTGAGAAATTCATCTGATCAACTAACTATCTAACAGTAGTCAACACTTGTGAAGGACACCAAAAACTGTTTACCCCAGCAACATACATAATATAGTTAATGTGTCCCGTGTCAGAGAAACTCTGTGGAATTTAAATATTTTAAGTGTCTATAAATGTTATACTAAAAGGGTTTTTCAATATGTTTACAAATGTCAATTAAATCAAAATTGTTAATAATCCTATAACAAAATTTTGATAACATATTCCATCTTTGTTTTCGAAAAAAAATAAAATGATGGGGAAAAGATAGAATTAGGATACATTTGTATATCATTTCGAATATTAATAATGTTCAAGCAGTGTTGTTTGACACACAATGATCAATAGACCTTATAAATACATCATTCAAATGTGTAAAGATTAGTTATTGAAAAATCACATGTTAAATTTTGTAAATATTCTCTACAGGTACCTAGAAGATCAACTAACCTAATAGTGATGGGAGAGTTGGGGCAATACCCCCAACTCATGAGGTTATTCTTAATATGTCTAAATTTTGGGCAAGACTATCAGAACAAAATAACTCCCTCATTAAAGAAGCATTTGAAGAGTCTAAAATTTTATCTAAAAAATATAACGAAAATTGGTTGGGTGGCATTTATTCATTATTTAAATATCTTAGTTTAACTCCAGAATATTTGTTAAATCACAAATCTAATATAAAGACAAGCTAAAAGTATCATTAAAAGACTCAGAATTAAATATGATGAAATTTGGTTCAATCAATTAAATGATGACAAACCTGGCATGGCGCAAGGAAATAAACTACGAACTTTATAGACTATTTAGAAATAATATTGGCATTGAAAAATATTTACTGTTAAATAATTGTAAAACAATAAATGAGTTAACCAAATTTAGAATCAGTGCCCATGAACTTGAAATAGAAAAGGGAAGACACAAAGGAAAACCCCCAGACAAAATATTTTCTAAATTATGTAACAATGACATTGTTGAGGATGAAATTCATTTTCTTCTTCAATGTCCATCACTTAAAACTGAAAGGTCCAGTTTCATTTTAGATTTATCTTCTAAATTTTCTAATTTTAAATTTCTAAATCAATGACTAATCAAAATTTATATGGTTGATGTCAAATAAAGATCCAATAGTTAATAATATAATGATAAAATTAATAGTTTTATAAAGACTAGAAGAGCAAAATTAAGTAATAAGACATGAGTAGCCCCCAGCTCTTCCTTCAATAATACAACGGTACTATTGTGTGTATTGTAATATTTCAATAAAAAAAAATTCACAATTACTTGTACACTTGAATTTAAATTGTAATTGTACTGATCCTCGGGGCGTCTTGATTGACAAATAAAAATTGTTGTTGTTGGTGTTGTGGTAAATTATGCAGAAAACCAGAAATAATCAAATTAAATCATAATTGAAATCTGAAGTTGTTTATGGTTTCATTTGCGTATAATATTGCGTCTCAAATTATATAAAACTATGACTCATCTGCACTTCTTGCTTCTTTACTTACAGAAGACAATACAGAGAAAGGGGCCCCCGTATGGGGACTGTGAAGATCCAGTAGAATATTTTAAAAAACATCTTGTTCGTTACACAACACAGGTTTGTGCATTTTTTGTGTATTAAAACAATTAATTTTGCTTTATATGATTGATTTTATAATCCTATAATTTGTACAGGTCTGTCGTAATCCATTGAAAATTACTTTTCTTTGGATTGTCTTTAGTGGATCTCTTATTATGTGTAAAAATGTTTGGCTCCTGGCTTGAGAGAGGTATGTAAACATGTAGCGTGGTGATCCATGTTTGTGAGCGACAAAACCTCCCTTTACCCGGGACAGTACAACTAAAACTCAGTTGAATAGTGCTTGACTCATCTGATCGGTACGAAGTACGAAAAATAACTAAACATTTTACAAAAGCCTAACACCAAGTCCCGATCAATGCAAGAGTACTATCGAAAGCTAGTGCAAAACCCAATGCCAGCTTATGATTAAAGTACCATATATTGAACATGCATGTTTAGGATGAGAACAATTAATGTGCTATGAATACCAATATAAAAATATGAAGATGTGGTATGATTGCCAATGAGACAACTCTCCACCAAAGACCAAATATATAAAAGGCCCCGAAATGACAAATGTAAAAAAAAATTCAAACGAGAAAACTAACGGCTTTTTATTAGAACATGAGATCTGAGAGACGGTTAACCAACTAAAAGGCAATTTCAATGAGCACAATGTTTGTTTTTTAAATAGCCTTCATTAGGTACGCTGGAGCACAAATATATATAAATCTTTTGGAAGGTTTTAAAACTTAAAACTGGCAAAAGAAGAGGCAAAACCATCGACGGTCACTTTATAATATATAGTAAACCTTGTAAGTTCAACTAACAATTCCCTTCTTAAGGATATCCTTGATAAATAGCTGTTTATGACATATCGATGCATCCATGCATGACTATGGAATCAAAGTACTGAAGTGCTGAACATCGGATGCCCGCAAGTTCTGGTGGATAATCACAGGCACTTGTCTCATGAAAAATAAAATATCTCTATACCTGAAAGTTAGGTTAAGGTACATTGATTTATTTTTTTTCTGTGACAAGTTCCTGTGTGGATGATGAATAAATGACAGAGAATTCAATCTCACCGTAATAATTATCATATTGTAGTGATATAATCATTTGTTATCAGTATAATCTGGTTTGTTGTTATTTTATTATATTAATATTTGTACAACAGTTATATATATATCAGATCATCTTTAAAATAACTCTACCGGCAAATTTTCATCCATTTATACCATCATTCTATTCTACTATTCTAATGATAGTGCAGTGCAAGTGCATGGTGGACACTCTTCTGTAATAATTCGTTTTTCTAATAGGTTTGATTTGAGTATGCATTCGTATTTCTCCCGCTAATGAATAGGTATCAGTGATGAAATTAATATATAACAAGCGATAAGAGATATTCATCCGCAAACACAATTTTCTGTACGTGTGCATAGATATTAATGATTTTTTTACTTATACATATATATATATATTTCTCACGACAAAACATTTTCATATAATTTATTTATGTTCTTAAAAAATATTTTCATGAGTATTCATCGAAGATTCATCGAAGAAATGAATTTATAACAAGCGATAAGGAATGTTATTTTGCACTCGATAATATCCGCGTATTTATACGAAATACGTTCGGTTATCAGTCAAAAACGCAAGTCACGTGGGTAGAAATGTCTGCGGCAATATAAGACCGGAATGCCCTCAAGGTCATCCGCTGTAAAAATGATCAGTTAGTTTAAATTCTTTTAAAATAATAAATAAAACAAAGTTTTAATTGATATGCAATACAACAAATTCATAAATAGTCAGTCAAAACGATAAACAGTAAATATTAACCTTCATCTACAAAATAAATGACAAAATGTTAGAAAAGTGTATCTCGCTTATAAATGTAAAATATGCTCGTCATTATACGTGTTAAATTGGTTAGTTGGGAACTAAACTGAATAAATGGAAAAGAGAACAACCTTCTGTAGTCGAGAAGACAGAACCACGGCAAAACACATACGCAAAAAATATTCAGAATGAAAAAATATTTATATAGCATTCTCTTGAAAAATTCATGTTATTTATATTAAATTTTCTTGAAGAATCTCATGTTACCAATATTAAATGATCTTGAAGAATTCCATGTACCAAAAATTTGCCTATCACACCTTCCTTCTTAACTTACACCAATTACAACACTGAATTTGACTCTGTTATTGTTTTGAAGGGTTGCATACAAACATGTTGGGAAACTCATGTCACAGCACATTGTGGTTGTATTGCTGGCTATTTGACATCAGAAATTCACTTCTTCACAGATCATAAATTAAATGTGACAGAAATACCCAATTCAACTGTCACTGGATGCTATACAACAGAAGGTAATTTTTATGTTTCATTTACATGATATGTATGTGTATTAATACCTACTTTTATAAAATTTCATTTTTTATTGATATTGAGGTCGTTAAGGTAGTAACAAATGGTAACGCATGGTTTACAAAATTGATCCCAATTTAATCTGTCTTTGACAGCCTCGGTAGTTTTGTGTTAGCATGCTGGTTTCGAGTGCTGGCGGTCGATGGTTCGAACCGAGGCGGCTCAAATCAAAGTTTTGAAAATTGGTATTCCCTGCTTTTCCACTCATTATGCAGCATATTGGAGTAAGAGCAAAGACTGGATGGCTTGGAGTCAGTATAATGTGTCAGGTTGTGGTGACAAGTTTTGGAGTCAATATAATGTGTCAGGTTGTGGTGACATGTTTTGGAGTCAGTATAATGTGTCAGGTTGTGGTGACAAGTTTTGGAGTCAGTATAATGTGTCAGGTTGTGGTGACATGTTTTGGAGTCAGTATAATGTGTCAGGTTGTGGTGACAAGTTTTGGAGTCAGTATGATGTGTCAGGTCGAAGTTATAAAAATCAAGAAAAGGTTTAGGGGTACAGATTTCAAAACTTGTAAAAAGTCAAAATTCGAAGGAAATTTATAAAAAGTAGGGTATAGGATTTAGGATATTAATTATAATCAGAACGAATGACAAATCATTTGCATTTTATCATCACAGTAGAAATCAAAGTACTCAAGTACTGAACATCGGATGACCACAAGTTCTTGTGGATGGTCAAAAGCACTTGTCTCAGAAAAAAATCACATATCTCTTTACCTGAAACTGAGGTTAATGTACGGAGAGATTTTTTTTCTGAGACAAGTTCGTGCGGGGATGATGAATAAATGACAGGAAATTCAACTTCACCGTAATAACTATTATATTGTAGTGATATAAATCAGTATACACTGATTTGTTGTTATATATCATATTAAAATAACAGTTACATGTATATATGATTTCCATCCATTTGTATATCATTCTGTTCTACTATTCTAATAATAGTACAATGCAAGTGCATGGTGGACACTTTTCTGTAAAAATTCGATTTTTCTTAAAGATTGGAAACGAGTAGGCATTCATATTTTCCCGCAAAAACAATTACAGAGTTACCGGTCCTTGTCGGTATTGTCGCAAAAGGTTCTTTGAGATATTCTTCCGCATGCTTGATCACAATTTTTCGGTACGTGTGCATTGATATTATCAATGATTTTTTACTTATATATATATATCTAACTACAAAACATTTTCATATTATTAATTTATGTTGTAAACAAAAATATTTTTATCAGTATTCATTAAAGAGATGTATTTATATCAAACGATAAGGAATGTTATTTTGCACTCGTTTATGTGCGCGTATTTATCATGTTTATAGATCGGTTACAAACCCAAAACTAATTTACATAATGGAAATCTAGGCGATAGCAATACATCGGAATGACCTCAAGGTCATCGCGATGTAAAAATTAATGTGAGGGAAAATTTGGAAATAGCGTTAAGAATTTGGATATAAATATATACAATTTTCATTTTCACACCTCAACATCAAGGGAACCGAATTAACAATTAACGGTCGGTGGTTGCAAATTTATTGTATAAAATACTAAGTACATGTCAAGGTGCATGTTTTTTGCCTTTATGTAACTCAATTGTATTAGAAACAGAATGACAAGTACAAGTACATGTATACTATTAGTGATAGACTTATTGGTAAAGTAATCAAAATTTGAATTATACTCTATATGGGGCACTATTTTTTTGCCAACCTCAGAGGGATCGCGTACACCCGGTGACACCCCTGGATCTACCTCTGACCATCCAGATAATAAAAAAAATCTGGAAAACAGATTAATAATTAACAAGTAAGAAAAAGAAAAAAAACCTCTGACCCCCCTCAAAGAGAGTGAAACAAGTGCGTTGATACGTGATTCTTTAGTCTGTATAGCATCCCCGTCGTATGATTCCATGAAATTTCGCCAAATTAAGATCAAATTATGTTATAATCAGTTTAAAAATTTACATTTCAGAGAAGGATTGTTTTGCAAAACTACGACGTGATTTTCTCACGAGTGTATCTACATATTGCACATGTCCGCCTCCATGTTTGTACGTATAAACATTCAGATGTTTTTGGAGGGAACAATAGTCTAATGATTATTTAATTATTATACAAAATAAAATACCAGAAAATGAGTTTAAACGAAGATATTAAGATAACTTTTAAGAGACTGCAAGCGAATTGAGTAGCATTTAACTGCAGTTTGTTGACATAGCTGTACAGTAAAAGCTTTTTTGATATAATAAATTATGGTCGAATAATAAAGGAGTCAACATTTATTATTTAGAAAACATACTTGTTTTGGCATTTCTTTTCTAAAACGTAACACAATAATATCTGTTTTCTCTATATTTCAGTGAAAATGTCTATACAACGTCATTTTCCGGAGCGATATGGCCACACGAGACAAAGTTAGTGAGTATATATGTGCTTTATCGTCTACAGATTAACTTGAACAATGAAGCCAGAAATTCTCATAGTTTTATTGACAATCTCATTTCCTTACATGCAAATTTCTTATAGGTATAAAAACAACCTTTATTGTGTATCATGATAACTTGTTATAAAAGTTAGCTATACAGCATAATGTCTAAAGTTGCTGTATAGCATAATTTATGTCATTTAGACAGAAATACAATGAAAAAAGTACAAAACCAAAAAGTCATCTAATAGTATATTTCAGACTTCTTGCCCTTTGTTGGATTAAGCTTCATGAAGAACGCTCACAAACCCAATAATAGGAAAGCCAAGATGCGAAAATGACCAAATATGGACCTAAAAAGAATAGCCAAATTCATCTAAGGTCAAGGTTTGCTCAGAGGAGTTTGAACCTAAGTTTCATAGTAATTTCTAAATTCATCCACGGAAAATGTAAGAAACGTATGTTATAGACCATGTCAATACCGAATCACTGACTACTGAGCTGATGATACCCTCGGGGACTAACAGTCCCCTGGCAACAGTATCGATCCAGTGCTAAAAAATGAAAATAAATAAACTAAATAACACTTAAATGCCATGCATAATGAAGCCAAAAGACCTATTTAAAAAAAATGAAAACAACACGTTATAAAGTTCATGCGTCCGAAGCGCTTGTCTGAATTTACTTTCATCAGGAACGCTCAAAGCCGAATATTTGAAAGCCAAGGATGTATAAAAACCGAAACAGTTGGAGAGCTATATTACCAAAAAGAATCTAAAAAAAAAAATAGTCAAATCCATCTAAGGTCAACTTTGCCTGAGGTTCAAACCTTAGTTTCTAATAATTTCAAAGTTTATTAACGAACAATTTTAGAAAGGTTTGAATAGATCGTTTATATCTGCAGATCTGTATTTTTTACCAAAATTTAAAATGATAACTGACCATATTTTATAGGCGGAGCTAAAAAATACATCGTGTGCAAGGTATGAGAATAGCACAGCATGCAGACTTGATATGTTGACAAGTTCTACTCTCAGGTATGGATATCCTATTGTATTAACTATTGTTGATAACCGAGTATTGATATCTCCTGAATTATTACATCATATCCTTTCTTTTTCGTTACATTGACAGGGCTGGTCTCTTGTCCAGTGCTTGAGGTGTATGCTCTCACACAGTTATTCTAGATACAACTTCTTGTATGTTAACTTCTTTACGTTTTTTTTTTCTGTTGGTCTTTATGTTATAGGAATTATAATGCCATACGATTGATTTGCCATTCATGCATTATTTCCTGCCGAGTTATCTAGCAAAGATCATGTTGTGTCCCATGGTCATCTCAATGCTTGGTTGTTTCTGTACTTTACAATTGACATTGTCTGGCAACAAATTACAATGTTTGTGAGATATCGCTGACCGGTATGGTTTATTACGGTTATCTGTTGTAATAACCCCTCATATCTGCATGTCTTCAATGCATAGGTGTAGCGTTACCGACACCGAACAAATAATTCCACATAGGTGTAGCGTTACCGACACCGAACAAATAATTCCACATAGGTGTAGCGTTACCGACACCGAACAAATAATTCCACATAGGTGTAGCGTTACCGACACCGAACAAATAATTCCACACAAATCAGCCGTCTTCAACTTGCCTTAAGTAGCGAGTTTTTGCTCCAAGCTGTATGCCTTGCTGCTATTTTGAGAGAGAAAAAAAACGCAATAAAAGCAATGTTACTTTCTTTTGTTTTTTGTCTAGTGCGTGAAGAGATTTTGCTTCATGAATTAATACACCATACCTCTTCCCTTTTGTTTCTGTGCATATGAACAAAAGGAGATATTGAGAAAATTTCAGTGAGAAAGCAACCCAATGGTCTTAAAAACAAGTGTCTATACAATATGTCAAGGTATAAATCGCCCGAGTCTAGAAAATATTTTTTTAATTGTTATTTTTGGAGGGTTAGTTGTTTTCTCATGGACTTTCACTGAAAAAATGACCCAAAAAAAAAATCAGAAAAAAAAGTCTTGATCTCATAAACGTTACTGAACTCTGATGTACTAGCGGATTGTAATTGAGAAATAGTGTTTATATTTTTTGGCTATATTTGAGAAATGAATAATGCATTGCTAAAGGCCATATTTTTTGTTCTCTGTTTATGATCATTTGATACAATTAAATGTTTACTTCTTTGTATACTAGCGGAGAAACATAATCACTTGGATTTTCCACATAGCTTTCCATAATCGCAAGTTCCGCTTCAGACTTTCATGATGAAACATATTACATGGGTAAAACCTAATGATATCATAAAAATGGGAAAGACTATGAACTATTGCTATTTCGTGTATTTTTAAGGACAAATTTCCTGAAACTTCATATCTACTTTGAAGAACTTAACTATGAACAGATTGTGGAAGAACCTATGTATGACGTAAGTTTTTATTATATTTGATACGTTGCAGCTTCATTAAAAAATATTTGTTATACATGTATCATTTAAATTACTGCTGCACTAGCACTATTTGCCGGGACTAGATATTTGCGCTTTCTGATAGGACAATGGCAAAAATTATTAATGTTGTACTAGATATATTCAATGTCTCGATAGATAGAAATATATACCTAAAATGATACGTCGGATAGCTTCTCGAGATATGACAAAGAACAACGCATGTCATATTGACGTAATTCTAAGTTCTTCTGCTCTCTATGTACTTTTTACTTTTTGTAGATAACCCAAGTGATTTCTGATATTGGTGGTTCTTTAGGACTGTGTATCGGAGTCTCATTATTATGTGTTTTTGAAGCAGTAGAAGCTATTGTAGGAGTTTTATTGGCGCTGAAGAGAAAAATACAAGGACAGACACGCGTTAAAGCACAATTTAATTAATCATTCAAAATAATTATCTACCAATATAAGGTGGACTATCTGACAAATTTTATTAGGAATTACTTTAGAATTATCTGAAACCTGACCCTGCCAATGGGTCTCATCATTTAGCGTTCTTAGTCGATCGTCAAACATGGGAAGTCTACTTTTTGTAAATATAGTATTCCAGTTGTAGAATTTCAGGAACATCTGGATGCACCTGTACCAAACTATGATACTTAACAAAAACGTTAAGACTGGCAAGATGTGGAGAAACATGTTATTTCACCTACAAACACATTTTCTGGCAACAGATTGACCTTTATTGACATATATCTTTTTTTTAAATGACTTACCTTATGTAGTTAATAAAAATGTATAAAGATGTTAGAATTGTATAAGAAATCTAAGTAAAGATACGGTAATTTGGTGAGAAAGTCAAGATACGATAGTTTGGTGAGAGAGTCAAGATACGATAGTTTGGTAAGAGAGTCAAGATACGATAGTTTGGTGAAAGAGTCAAGATACGATATTTTGACGAGAGAGTCAACATACGATAGTTTAATGACAGAGTCAAGATGCGATAGTTTGGTGACAGATATTATTTTTCATCGTACCTGCACTCATTTTCTTTAGGTCAGTGACGAAGGTTTTTTTTGTAAATGTCAAACTTAAAGCGTTACACCCCGGAAATTTTTTGCTACAATGTTGGAATATATTTTTCTATAAGAAGCACATATTGCTACCATTTTTGGAAATAAGAACTAACTTACCATGATACTTTATCTGATATAAAAACACCACATATAAAGTATCAAACAATAGACTGACCATGGGTCAAAGGAAAGTCCTCATCTTTTATTGAAATAGCCCTTATACAGTTATGTACACTTATAGGGTCGTACATCCTGTTGGTGCCTTATTATGACGTCTTCACACAAAATTTGTTGGACATGTATCCCCGCAACATTATCTCTCTACATCTACATAATACTTTTAACTGAGTTTAGCTACAAACTGTGAATCACAACTATACAGGAACAATTCTGTCATTTAAATCTACATGGTTTTTTTCTAATCAAGGAAAACAGATTTTGCTTACTCTTACTAAATTTATGCTATGGACAATTACTGTTTTTAGATAAACCTTGAAATTTTGTACATTTGTTCTTTTTTGTTGTTACTTGTTTTAATTCAATGAGTAATTAACAAATACATTTTATTGTTTCTTGTGAAGAATGTAAAAAATTGAAGATAATTGTAAATTAAAGGGGCATTAGCTACGAGATATAAAAACAATTAAAATATGATTTTTTTTTGGTTCAATCATTAATGATAGTGAAATAATGAAAACTAGGCGTTTTCAGCTATTTAATGGAACAGAATTTCAACATTGAAAGTGAAACCAGGATAAACCATTTGGTTGATTAATACGATTCACAACACAAAACCTCATTCTTATACAGGTAAAAACGATGATTAACATTTTTTGTTAACCTATAATATGAATTCAGACAGACCTAGAAAAATCCAATTGCACATGTTCGCTATCTATTTATATCTATATCTATGTGTATATCGGGTTATATGACCGTCGGCAGTCTTCGGAGGTCACCTCGATGGTTAATTAGATGGCGTCTAGACTAAAATACACACAAAAAGCTGATACATATTATAGGGTCCATGCATCGTAAATTGTTTATTTCAGACTTTTCATAAATTGGATATACGTTTTAGTATGTTATAAATCAAATATGAGAATTTGAGTCAATCAAGTTGGTGAACATGAATTTGACAGCTAATGCCCATTTAAAGGAATTAGTGAAATGTATAATGATAGAAACAACTATAAATGCACGCGTGTGGTTTTATATGTATATCAATAAAAGGTCTCTTTTTGCCAATATGTTACATGCTTCTTATGTTTATTTTTTGCTCTTTTAGGAACAGTCCATATGCTTGGATTTTACATTAATAAAATTATTATCATACCCTATCTTTTCTTTTTGTCAGTCATACGTCTGGAGAGTATTACATGTGTAGAACACAATCTGATAGATATAAAATAAGTATGTGTTGGGTATAAAATTCAACTGGTAAATATAAGCCACCAAACACGATAAGTTAACCAAAATAGAAAACTATGATAATTTGTGACATTGAAAATTTAGAGCGCCTATCGGAAAGACAGCTGCGAGTTTCTTAAATTGACAAAGATCTGCCTGAACTCAAGCATTCGACTGAATGAAAATATTTATGATATAATTCTCTATTCGATGCTTTTATAATTTGATCATATGCAGGTTGTAATATAGTCCGCTACTTTATAAAAATGTGCTATATAGCATTCTGGATGTGTATGTAGATATATTTTAGTCGTTTCTAACTGGTTTGACAAGAAGGGGTTTATCAAGCTATAAAACAAGGTTTAACCTACCATTTTCTTCGGAAAGTGCATGTGCAAAGTCAGGAATATGACATTTGTTTTCCATTCGTTCCGTTGGTTGATTGTCAAATTTTGATTTTGTCATTTGTGTCGAGCCTGCGACTTTTGTCGCAAAAGCGAGACATAGCGATCCTACATTCCGTCGGCGTCGTCGTCTGCGTCCACAAATATTTACTCTGTGGTTAAAGTTTTTCAAATTTTAATAACTTTCTTAAACTATCCTGGATTTGTACCACACTTGGACAGAAGCTTGTTTATGATCGTAAGATAGTATTCAAAAGTAAATTTTGTTAAAAAAAAAGATCCTAGTTATCCGTATTTTACTTATAAATGGACTTAGTTTTTCTGCCAGTTAACATTACATTCACTCTGGTTAAAGCTTTCAAAATTTTAATAACTTTCTTAAACTATCCTGGATTTGTACCAAACTTGGACAGAAGCTTGTTTATGATCAAAAGCTAGTATCTAGAAGGAAATTTTGTAAAAATTTATTTCCTGTTTTTCCGTATATAACTTAAAAATGGGCTTAGTTTTATTCCAGTTAACATTACGTACAGTCTGCAGTTAAAGTTTTTAAAACATTTATTAGATTCATAAACCTTCCTTGATTTTTACCAAACTTGAACAGAACTTCTTACAATCAAAAGATAGTATCTAGAGGAAAATTTTTAATAATTTTTTTCCCATTTTTGTTGAGTCTGCGACTAACAGCAAAAGTAAGCGAGACACTGGGTTCCGCGGAACCCTTACGAATTTTTTATAGACTTACCCTTTTTGATTTTACCTTGGAGTTCGGCATTTTTGTTAATTCTTTTTGATTAATTAACTTTCGTCGTACAGGTATGTGTTTAAGTTTGCAGGTTGACTTAAAAATTAAATTTCTAAAAGTCTCGATTCATTTACCATAAGAAAAAGTAAAAAGAAACAATTTGTACGCTGATGATATTGTACTTATTGAATGAAAATTATTTATAAATTCTGTTAGATGTTTTAAGCTCAGTAATGCCGAGCTGCCGTTTGGGATTAGACAAAAGTTGTTCATTTTAGGAATCCTTTGGTTCAACAAACAGTAAAGTCATTAACAAACAGTAAATTCATTTATGTTAAATGATAACAATAAAATATTCTCAAACCAATAGACTCAAGTACTGTTGACGGAATTTTTTGTTATGATGAAATGGCGAAAGTTGTAAAAAGATCTTCAGGTCAAGGATCAATATAAAATAATGAGATGTGGTATGATTACCAATGAGACAACTATCCAACAGAGTCCAATAGCGTTGATCTAAGCAACTATATATCACCGTACGGCTTTCGACAAAGAGAAAACCCCATACCGTATAGTAAACTATAAAAGAACCTGGCATGACAAAATGTGAAACAATTCAAACGGAAAAAACCAACAGCCTGATTTATGAAAAAAGCAAATACATGTATGACAGACAGCAACCAACACACATTGAATTACAGGTTCCTGACTTGGGAAAGGCACATATATAATGTGGCGTTTTTAATATAAAAATAAGATGTGGTATGATTGCTAATGAGACAACTCTCCACCAGAGACCAAATCACATGAAGTTAAGTAACTACAATTCACAGTACGGCAGTCAACAATGATCAAAACCCTTACCGCATAGCAAGCTATAAAAGGCCTCCAAATGAAAAATGTAAAAAATATTCAAACAAGAAAACTTACGGCCTGATTTATGTACAAAACAGTGAACGAAGAACACATATGATATACAGCAATAAAAGACAACCGCTGAATTACAGGCTCCTGACCTGGGACAGGCATATACAGAATGTGGCGGGGTTAAACCTGTTTGCGGGCACCCAACCCTCCCAAACATAAGACATAGGTGTAAAAGCACAACATATGAACAAACTATAAAAGTCAGTTGAAAAGGGCTTCACTCATCAGATTGATTGATACAAAGTACAAAACGACTAACAAAAACACTAATGACAAAGTACAGAACTGAGGGTACTCGCAGTAACTCATAGCTAGTTCAAAGCCAATAACATATAATAAATAATTCATATTGGTATCAATCAGTACATATCCAACATATTTAGTGTAAATACGTAATTAACCGTCTGTGAAAGGCATGATCCTGTTCAATGCCAAAATACAAGTACATAATATTGACATGATGTAGGACTAAAGTTTTCATAAATGCATATCAATATAAAAATAAGGAGATGTGGTATGATTGTCAATGAGACAACTTTCCACCAAAGTTCAAATGAAGTGGATGTAAGCAATTATAAGCAACCATACTTCTTCAACCATGAGAAAAACCCAAACCCTATAGTCCGCTATAAAAAAGGCCCCGACATGAGAAAACCAACGGCCTAATTTATAACAAAAAATTTTACAAAAAACAAATATGACAAACATGAAGCAATGACAACCACTAAACTACAGGTTCCTGACTTGGGACAGGCACATAAAGAATGTGGCAGGATTAAACATGTCTATGATCGCTCATCCATCCCCTAACCTGGGACAGTGGTGTTACAGCACAACACAAGAACAAACTGTAAACATCAGTTGCAATGGGCTAAACTCAAAATATCAGTAAGAGGTTAAAAACAACTAAATAAAAACAATAGACAAAGCACAGAAATAAGAATACTCATGGTTACTGAAAGCTAGTTCATAGCCAATTACAACTAATAAATAAACCATGTTAAGCTTTGTTTTAATTTATAAAAGAAAACAATGTATGTACCGATAAAAACACTATTTAAAGATCTTACCAACATGTAAAATTTATATCCTTTATAAATGAATTTATTCAAAAGATCATTGAGTTTACATGGATCGTATCTAAATTTTTGGGCTTTATTAATAACATTGCCGAAAAATTAGCATGTGTGATATCCCGTTTAAAAAAAAAGAATTCCACGGGAACAGCCAAACTTCAAAATCAAACCTTTGAAATAATATATAGTAAATGATTTAAGTAGTTTATGATAAAAAAATCTCTGACTTAATTATTAATCAGTTCTACAGGTGTAATACCACCATTGATTTTCCCCATTCATCTTTGTTAAATTTGCACTTTTCAAAAAAATTGTGCAGTATTTATCTTTGTTTCAAATAAAGAAATACTTGGCATGAGTTTTATCCTGTCCAGTACAATAGACAAAAGTTCACATAACATTTTGTTGCATATAAGAAAATAACCATCACTGGAAGTTAACCAATCAATTTTCACCCCTTTTTCTCCTAGGAAATTATTTCCTACAACTGTCAAATTCAAGGGAATATTTGTTTTCAACCCTTTTTCGTATGCAACCGGATGTGACATACTATGATTTGGTGGTATTACACCTACATATATTATTTTCATTGAAATCTAAAACGTCACTACAGGCACTACCAAAGCGGAGGAGTTGTAAAATAGACAAAGAAGGGACCCAAGGAACATCACTGTTTAAAAAAAGGAAAATTAACAATAGGGAAACGAAAAATTGTCTCTTTTGTTGTATGTTTTTTTTATTTTCCTGTGTGAAACTGATATATCTAAATTAAGAAAAGGACAGTTATTGTTGTTAATTAGAGAACTCTTGATTATCTAGAGCAAAACTATCATCAAGGTAACATGAAGTGTTATTTTAATCAATTAACTGGAATAAAGACGGGTCTTTACTAACTTTTGCCCTAAACTGTGATTCATAACAATATAGGAAAGCAGTCTGCTATTAAAGAGTTTTAGATTGTGGAACCCTAAGTAAATCTGACGAGGGGTTTTGGAGAACTGCTCCAGACAAGTTCAAGTTTTAAACAGCAGCGGAAGAGGTAAGAGGAAGAATTACAGAGCAAAACCAATAAGACTTAATAAGTGCCCAATCAACTATTTTTTAATGAAATTTGTCCTTTTGAAATGTTCTTTATATGGAAATTGCAATGTAATCTTTCACGCCTTCATTTCTTGTTCTATTTTTATGAAATTATATCAAAGGTTTATATCAATAAGGTTTAAGACGAGTCGATTATCAGGTCTGATCATCTCTATTTACAGGAGTAATGCACTCAGAAATATAAATCATATGGAAAATTGTAAGCCAACTCATACCTACATTTCTTCAGGGACATTTATGAAAAACAAGAGGCTCTCAAGAGCCTGAATCGCTCACCTGTATTTCAGGGGAGAAGATTTTTAAATGTTAGCAAATTGTGTAAAATTGTCTTTAAAGGGCAATAACTCCTTAAGGGGTCAATTGACAATTTTGGTCATATTAACTTTTTTGTAGATCTTACTTTGCTGAACATTATTGCTGCTTACAGTTTACATATATCTATAGTAATATTCAAAATAATAACAAAAAACTGCAAAGTTTTGTTAAAACTACCAATTCAGTGGCAGCAACCCAACAATGGGTTGTTCGATTCGTCTGATAAATTCAGGGCCGATAGATCTTGACCAATTAAACAATTTTCTCCATGTCACATTTGCTCTAAAAGATTTAGTTTTTGAGATATAAGCCAAAAACTGCATTTGACCCTTATGTTCTATTATTAGCCATGGCATCCATGTTTGTCGATGGATCAAAATTTCGGATACAATTTATAAACTAGATACCCTAAGGAACATTTAGTTAAAGTTTGAAGGTATTTGGCCCAGTAGTTTCAGAGGAGAAGATTTTTGAAATAGTTTACGACGACAGACAACGACGACAGACGACGGACGCCAAGTGATGGCATAAGCTCACATGGGGCCCTTCGGGCCCCGGTGAGCTAAAAAAATTTAAAGAACAAAAAATATATATATATTGGAGTTATTGTCCTTGGACAGATAAAATATGTTTGGCATTGGATATTACAAAGCTGTTTTGTTTGATTGATAGTGTTGGTGCTTTGCTATTTCTATCCTAACATTTGTCTTGTACAGATTTTCTTACTGCAAGATATTTTATTCCTGTGATTTATAGTTATTTTAATGTTACTCTTTATATTCATTTTTTGTTGGTGATATATATTTGTTCATATAAAATTAATACTGTTATAGTAGCACATTTAAAGCATGAGTGCACACGCTGAAATGGCTTGCCAATTTTACTGATCCTAATTGATTTTATGGTGTAAGTCTTCAAGATAAAGTGTTTACTACATGTATCATATAAACTTACCATTATCAAAGAACCTAGTAATCACATTAATGGCACCAATTTTACTGTACCAGATGATATGTCTTTTCAGGGATGCTCAAAGTAAAAATTTGTAAGGGTTCCCCGGAACCCAGTGTCTCGCCTACTTTTGCTGACTACTAATGTTAACTGGAATAAAACTAAGTCCATTTATAAGTAATATACGGAAAAACAGGAAATAAATTTTTACAAAATTTCCTTCTAGATACTAGCTTTTGATCATAAACAAGCTTCTGTCCAAGTGTGGTACAAATCCAGGATAGTTTAAGAAAGTTATTAAAATTTTGAAAGCTTTAACCACAGAGTGAATGAATGTAATGTTAACTGGCAGAAAAACTAAGTCCATTTATAAGTAATATACGGATAAACAGGATTTGTTTTTTAACAAAGTTAACTTTTGAATACTATCTTATGATCACAAACAAGCTTCTGTCCAAGTGTGGTTCAAATCCAGGATAGTTTAAGAAAGTTATTAAATTTGAAAAACTTTGACCACAGAGTGAATGTTATGTTAACTGGCAGAAAAACTAAGTCCATGTATGAGTAAAATACGGATAAACAGGATTTTTTTTTTTACAAAATTTTCTTCTGGATATCTCATGATCATAAACAATCTTCTGTCCAAATTTGGTACAAATCTAGGATAGTTTAAGAAAGTCATTAAAATTTGAAAAACTTTAACCACAGAGTGAATGTAATGTTAACTGGCAGAAAAACTAAGTCCATTTATGAGTAAAATACGGATAAACAGGATTTTTTTTTTTACAAAATTTACTTCTGGATACTATCTTATGATCATAAACAAGCTTCTGTCCAAGTTTGGTTGAAATGCAGGTTAGTTTAAGAAACTTATAAAAATTTGAAAAACTTTAACCACAGAGTGAATATTTGTGGACGCCGCCGCCGACGACGCAGACGGAATGTAGGATCACTATGTCTCGCTTTTGTGACAAAAGTCGCAGGCTCAACAAAAATGATTGAGAGTCCAAAACCTATTACAAACGTTGAAGTGCTGATGAAACCAAAAAGGACTAAACAAAAAAAGACAAACCCAGAAAATTAATCGTAGCTATGCATTCGGGAGATACATTCCTTAATTTAAAATTATGATAACTTGCAAGCAAATGATGTCAGTCAGAATAACCCTGCCTAACAGACATGTTCACCTTCTAATCATTCCATACACCAAATACAGTCAGATGAACCCTGCCAGACAGAAATGCACACCTAACAATCATGATATGCAGAAAATATTGTTGACATATTGCTGATAGTATCGAGAAACAGACAAAAACACAAAAACATAACATATGACTAATGAACCATGAAAATGAGGTCAAAGTCAGATGATACCTATCAGACAGACATGTGCACCTCTCAATCCTTCCATACAACATTAAATTTTTGAAGGCCAGGTAAGTTAATCAGTGAAACAACTAGGAATAAAATGAATAAATGGAAACTACACATCAAAGGAGGACATTTTTTTAGAAACTTGACAGCTATCATATAGGGATCACTTTTGTCTTATTGTGTTCTTTCACAACTGCAGCTGTTTCAAATATGTAAAGAAAAAGGGTAATGCTTAAATTAATTTATTTTTTTCCATATTTTAGGTCTGTTTGTTTACATCTATAGAACACATAAGTGACCATGCATTCTGGTCATGTAAACAACAATATTACAAAATTCATATGTATAAACATACACAAAATATCCTAATAAACAAATATTGCTATCATACAAATAGATAAATTAATTCTGACAACATTGTTTTAAATTAGATGATAGACTATATATAACTTTGGCTTCTGTACATATAAAACAACTTATAAATGATTATTCATGAAAAATGAATGAAGGTTGAAATACATAAAAAAATCATGAGAGCTTAAAAGCTTTACAACAATGCATTAAACTGTTAACTACAACGTTAACCTAGATTATTTTAATAATATTTTTATTTAGAGTCTACTGTTCATAGGTATAACTGTAAAATTGTAAATCTCATTAAAATCAGCTGTTAATTTTTTCGTTACGATACTTTCCACCCTAGAAATAAAAATTAAACAGGCGGCCCGTTAAAAAATTAGACAGCCGTGGGTAAACAGCTGGACAAGGAGAGAAGAGAAGTCACAGAAAGAAAAAAATTGACAGCCACGAGTGAAAGACTGGACTTGAAATGGGGTGTTTTGGACTTAAAAAATAGGAGAGAGAGGGTTAGAGGGAGCTTAGCGTTTCACAACATTGGATTTTAATTAGATTGTAGAAATGATATCATTAGAAAACCCTAATATCAATTGGTTACAGATTAAGACATATACCATGCCTTAGAAGAAATGAAATTGGTACATCTTGGAAAACAAGCACTGTCTATATGTTCTTAACAAATAGCCATCTACAGTCTGTTAGTTTATTATATCTCAACAAATATTCTATATACATACACCAGTGTATCTTTGCTTTATTAGAGATTAATTCAGATGTTGACTAAACAAGTAATACATACAATGATTATGCATAAATATATCTATCAGGCTTCTAACCTCAATTTCAAAAAAGTCATTAGATTTACCAGTAAATTTGGAACAAATGTTCAAATAACTAATGTTTGTAAAACAAACAACCTTTTGAGAAACAAATGCCTATGTAGATTTGACTGAAATGGAAAAAGAAATTGTTCTTTTCTTTGGCTTATAAATAATTATATAAATACACTAGTTTTATATACTTCTATAATCCCCAATATACATTTAGATTTAAATCTGATTGAAATGTTAAAAGACATTGTTTCTTTGGCCTATAAATAATTCTACTAATAAGCTAGCATTAGAAATTTATTTTCTATCTCAAAATACACAGAGAGGAAAATAAACATCACAACTCTTTGTATCAAAATAACACAATGCCCAGAAAAAAGTTTCTAAAAAAAATTATGGTATGCATAAATTTAAATATTTCAATTTACCAATGGCAAATAGGGACTAGAGTTAAAACTTATCAAAACTTTAACCAATTTTGAGAATTACATGTTCAATCTAAGTACTACAATAAATTGATGTTATTTGTTTTGTCTTATGCATCCCATTTTACAGTCAGTTTAAAGAGTCATAACAATAATTACAGTCAAATGTCAAAAGTATATAAAAGTTTAAACTCACCAAATCTGAAAAACAATACAAATTTCAAAGCTCACCCACTTAAATATTCTTAGAGTTTTTGAGCTAACCTACTTGTTGGTAGAAGAGTATTTTTGGCAAAGTTTGTACTCTTTTAATTTTCCTTAATATTTTATTGAATTTAGATTGTTTTCTAAAGTCAGCAAGTTGACCTTATGATGTCACTACAATAAAATCACAAACAAATCGTTTCAACAAGTCGGAGCTAATACTTTTCTTAAGTTAGCACAAGTGTAATTTAGGGTAGCCATATTCAAATAGCAATAACTTTCTTATTTTAGAAGATATTAAAAAAATGAAGTTCCAGATTAAAGGAGAGATAGTGCAGAACCATTTTCAAAAGAGTTGGTAAAATGGTCATCATATCAACATTTCTAAATGACTATGTATGGAAGAAATTTTGTCTGTACACCAGTCTAAAACTAGCGATCAACTTGAGAGATACTAAAGATCTGTTTATTTTATCAGAGAGAACATAAAAAATGTTACATTAAGTGGGTCTGAGATTTTTTACTTAAGGTTCGGTTAAAAAATAAATAAATTTTGAATATTTGGGATTAAAAAAGTTCATTTGAATGAAAATAGATCCAGCAATTAATGAATTGTGGAACATGATATTAGAAATTTGGGGCACTGTCTCTGAAAGTATTAATTTCGAAGATAGAAAATTGCAAAAAAAAAAAAGAAAAGTTTCTAGAAATATGGTACCTATTTAATATTTCGTATTTGTATTATGAGTAAGTGCATCATAGCAGTAGCTTGGTGCTTCTTCTTATATTTAGTACCTCGTCTTGTCTTCATATCTTAACAAATAACAAAGAAAAAGCATTTAAAGCATACCGTGTTCCATTTTCAAAAATTAGTCTATTGTGCCAACTTAATCATTATTCTGACATTTAAAAAAAAAGAATCGTATAGTTTTAATGCCTTTTTGCATTCTTGCAAACTTACAAATAAGTCCCAAAAAGATTGTAAATCTATATTTCATATGTATATATATATATAATATTGTTTTTATCTATCTTAGAAAATATAAATGTAGAAACAATATTGCAAGAAACTATTGTTCATTTTTAAATGTATTTAAAGTTACATGGTATTACTTGTAATTCCTTGCTGACTCCTTAATTCCAGTGGTGAATATTCAGGCATAAAGTCAATTAAAGTTAAATGACACTTAAATTTTAAGTGTCGAATAACTTTATTAAATTTGTTCATGATTTATTCCAAACATAAAGTTAAAACGTTTAACTTAAATGACATTTGTGCAACCCAGTCAAGGTTATTAATGTGAAGATAGGTTTATCTATATTTGATGCCACATATTGCAGAACTTGAAAGTCAATTTTTTGTGCAGCAATAATATTGATATGATTACTGAAGTTCACCACTTTCTATATTGCACTAGATGATTAACAGTATATCAGTAGATGTCTTCTTCACTCTATTCCAAAGGTACTTGTTTCTTCGACTGCAGTAACCAGTTTCTCATATAACATATCAAATGAAGTGTAAGGGGGAAGATCCACTCTGTTGAAGCAAGTATGAGCTCTGTACAAATAAAATAACAAATAAAGAACTTTAAAATCAAAGTAACAGAAGATCACCTCTTAATTCATTGCAATTTTTGTTTAAGTACTATAAAAATCGTTAAAATTCTTCTCCATGACCATTTCAATAACAGAAGAGGACATCGGTTATACAATTATATTTTTATTATGTTGTTGTTACTGGACCTTCTACAATTATTTTTAAAGTATAATCAGTTACTTATTATGACTACTGCCTTCAAAATAAAGATTTGTATCAATAAAAAAGAAAACAAATGGAATATGAAGGATTTAAGTGTCACTTCTTAATTGTGATGAAAGATCTACCACTTATAACCTTCTTTTGTCTCTATTTATTTTCCTATTTCCAGAAGAAAACCTATTTCTAATATTATTTGTGGTGTTTAATTCTGTGTTTCTTCATATGGGAATTCTTCCAGGTAATTAGTTCTATTTACAGGTGCCAATTGTGCATTGTGGACAACAGGTTGCTGTTAAAATATTATATTTTGTACATTTTAAATTGATAGGTTTTTTTTGTATTTTGTTGTCTAGTAATCTTACTGGACAAGGAAACTTATTTAATTGATTTGCATTAAAGTAACAGTACACCTGACATAACAGTATCGATATACCTAACGTTTATGGTATATCTGGTGGTAATACCTTACCTCGGAAGACTAGTTGTACGACCCCATTTCTCTATGCAAAACTTCCTAGGTCCATTACTACCTCTTAAAGCAGAAAATCCCTCATATGGTATGCTAGATGTCCCAGTTACAAACTGTAAAATAATGTTGATTATCTAAAAATTCCTGACAATCTGTAAAATATTCTATCAGAATACTTGTAGTGTGTGAAGTTGTCAATATTTTAAGTAATGAATATTTTCAGTAATATATTTTTGATCAAATTAGGCTGTGTGAATTGACATGATGTGGAAAGAAAATTGATAACATGCATGCAGTAAGTACCATGCAGATATTTGTCTTGTCCAGTTGTCTTGTAATGTTACAGTCTCATATATAGTAACTCAATATTTCATACTCATATTTTTTCGGCATATGAAACCTCTTGTCGTTAAAGAGTAAGGATTATCACTGTAGCAGAACATAGTCAATTAACATAAAGGCATAAAACTTAACAAACCATGTCAAATCAGCTAAATCATTACTCAATCTGTATAGAATAGTCTTTAATATTTTTTTAAATTTCAAAAGATCTGAACTTGAATTGTAAAATCTGCAAATATCAAACATAAGAAACCTGCCTCGTCCACTCTGTGTTTTTGTTTGATGTATTTCTATTTGTATCCATCTGATGAGTTAAGCCTTTTTCAAATGATTTTTATAGTATGTTCTTATTTTGTACTGTTACACCACTAACCCAGGTTAGAGGGAGGGTTGGCGCCTTTAAATTAGTTTAACCCCGCCACATTCTGTATGTGCCTGTCCCAAGTCAGGAGCCTGTAATTCAGTGGCTGTCGTTTGTTGCTGTGTAACATATTTGTTATTTTCGTTCATTATTTTGTTCATAAATTAGGCTGTTAGTTTTCTCGTTTGAATTGTTTTACATTTGTCATTTGGGGGCCTTTTAAAGCTGACTATGCAGTATGGGCTTTGCTCATTGTTGAAGGTGACCTATAGTTGTTAATTTCTGTTTTCTGGAATTTTCTACTCCATACTGTATTTCTACTGATTAGCTGACAGTTTGCTTTCACAATGATAGTTTTTTTCTCGCTTTTGATATTTATTTCAAATACTACTTGGTTAATTCAAATGTCCTTGATTTCATGTTTTAACTTAGTTATATGGACATCCTATTAAAAGCAAGTAAGACAAACCTGTAAGAGACGGAGTCTACGTTCATTGTCAAACTTTTCTATAGCCTGCCAGAACCACTGTATAACAGGATGCTGGTCATGGTAACCTACAATATGGAAAGGTTTTTAATTTATTATACTATAGCTTTGTTACTGCTTTAATTGAAAAAGGAACATAACAAGAATGAGTTGTAAATAAGCATCTACAATATTGTACTGCCATCTCACACATGTATGGAATACTTAGACTGAGAATATTCAAATCTTTTTTCATTAGGATTGAGGCAGAATAATGCCTCCCTGAGGACATACTAATAAATCTTTGAAATATAACAAAATATTTTATAGAATAACTTGATAAAAAAATTTGAATGTTGAAAAATATTCAACGAATGACCAAACAACATATTAATTTCACAAAGGAGTGAACATGAGTAAATTATCAGTGTTTTTCAGCCACAAGTTGAATATCTTTCAAATTTGAAATCTTGAATCAATAAGTTTTTTTATTACATTGACTTTCAATATAAATATTGTAAAAATGCAAGGAACTAAATCTTTTTTCTATGTATTCTCACTTCATTTTGATGCAACTTTGTTGACATTGTCTTGTCACCACTTATTGAAGTATGATGTCAGAGGAGTGAAAATACAGGATTACTTCATATTTGAGAAGAGTGTTTCTATATAACTAGGAAACCATGGTTTTTTCATGGCAATCAATGTAATAATACCCCTGCTCATTTGTTTAACATTATACACAAATGTTATGTTAACAAAATATTACTGTTTTGGCAAAATCAAAAAGACATTAACTATTAATTACACTGCTTATATACCATTATGCAGCATGAATATTGAAGTTGATATAATTTACTAGTTACTTCTTACACTCTACTGGTCAGAAAACAACAATGAAATAACTGTCAATTCATTGGAGTATGAGTGATATTATGTTCTTTATGAGAATGAACATTCCAAATATCAATGTTCTTCATAAGATAACAAATCAGAAAACAATTGAAAGACATTAAAATTTTAAAATTCACTAAGTCTGATGAGGGAAGTGACCTTATGTACTGTCAGTAACTTAGATGCAGGAATGCAAATGAAGCAACATGACAAATATCAATGGCATATTATGTGTTGTCACCAGTATTTCATGATCACTTTTTCTGTCATATTATACTTTCTCTACCTACCACACCCCAACATTTAACATAACAGATATATATTGAGCCACTTGTTGCCTGCCTTCACAGCACATATACCTACCAGACCTATATTCTGTGTTTCTTCGCCAGTCTTTTACATCTATCTCAACAGTTCCTGCTATAACCAGTTCTAGTTCTCTAGCATCATACATAGCTACCATACGACTGTCTAAAACCTAATAAAAGTGGTTAAAAAATTAAGACCTATGAAAGCTTTTGCCTTTATAACTAGTTCTTAAACTTGCTTGACTAAATCAGCGTCATATTCATAAGTGGGTTTGAATTACCGACTTAGATTGAAATACAGAGATGAAAAGTTCAAAGAAAATTTCTATTCATACTCATCTTTGGTAAAAAAAATATCATAAAAATATATTGAATGTCCTGGTTTTTTTTTATTTTGTTGTGTGTAACTGCATACTTAAGATAGAATTATTAAATTATTATATCAAAATATAAACTGATCAAAATTTGTATAGAAATACTATAGTTATAATAGGTTATAAAACTGGTAATTTTACCGCGTAACTATTATTTCCATGACTACCAATTAATTAATATAGTATAGTTTGTCCTTGTGTCGTGATGGTGCACCACTGTCGCAAGTTAAGAGGGTTGGGCGCCCGCTAACATGTTTAACCCTGCCACATTTTCTATGTGCCTTTCCTAAGTCAAAGCCTGTAATTCAGTGGACATCATTTGTTGCTGTATATCATATTTGTTTTTCGTTTATTGTTTTGTACATAAATCAGGCCATGTTTTCTCGTTTGAATTATTTTACATTTGTCATTTTGGGGCTTCTTAAAGCTTATTATGCGGAATGGGTTTTGCTCATTGTTGAAGGTTGTACGGTGACCTATAGTTGCTAACTTCAACCTCATTTGGTCTCTGATGGAGAGTTGTCTGATCTCCTTATTTTTATAATTATCAATTATCATGCAAATTAGGAATAACTATGTTACTATAAAAAATCCCTTACCATTTGTATATTGCCATAGCTACAGGTAAGTTATTATCACTTAATTTAAAATTGATAGGCATAAAAACAGTTGTGGTAAAATTAAACTTATATATAGTATTTCTATGTACAATTGAAATGTTTTCTACAGAAGATAGACATTAGACTGACCTCATTAAATCCTCTAACTACACTTTCTGTCTGTTCTGTGACACCTCTTTCTAACCTCCATTTTACCATCTTTTCTATGTATTCTTTTTTATTTCTCTCTGTTACAGACAATGATTTTCCATTTGGTTTTAATTCCCTCTCTGTAACCTGTTAAAAAAATTATAAATTATATTTATTAAGACAGGAATTGAGGTTAAATAGTTGTGTGTAGATGTAAAAAGAAACCATTCATGCCATACATATAATATATAGGAATTAAAGAAGAAATAAATATAGGTAGAATTCATAATACATATAATCATTTCATCAATCTAAAGCAATATGAAATTAAAGATTTATCTTAAATGGAAGATATTTTTCATTTTTTTCTTAAATCGTTCTGTTTTAATTGGAACAATTGTAATTAACAGAAGGAGACTAACAATCCTATTACTATGTAGAAGGTCCAGTAACAACAACACTTTAAGGAATGCTCCAGTAATTTATTGAGATCGACATGTTTCGGTGGCTAGGCCACAGTCATCAGGATAGAAAACAATACATAAAATCATGCTGAGGTACAAAATCTGATTGAGAAAATTAAAACGTCACAATGTTGCTATGGTGAGTTACTAACATTATAAATAGCAATTGAAAGAGAAAATGAAAGTAAGTACATGTATATATGGAAGTGAACTATTAAAATAAAATAAAATAAAATAAAAATACAATGTTTTTGTTGTTAAAATGTTTGTTAAAATTGTTCTGCCATCATGTGTTAGCAGTCTTGCACAGTGGAACGAATTATACAATAAATTATTGTCAGTTGTGTTCTGTGTAAACTTTGTGTTCAATTAACGTCTTTATTTCCAAATATAGACAATATTTTTGTCAAAACAAAGTAGTTTTAGGCCAAAAAAGTATGTTTGTAGTACCCTGATCAACCCTAACTTTTCTTTTTAATTGAAAATTAGACAAATTGTATTTTCACCAGTATTGTTTTTAACAGAGATGTTCTTTTTGTTCAACCACTAGCTTTATACTGAAAATCATCAACAAGTATTGTGAAAAACCGAGACAAAAAAAATATCTAACTGACAAAAACACATTTGACAAATGCCAGCTAACCTGAAATAAAGGTAAAAGTAATATCAATCCTCTTACGGAAACAAATAAGGCAATTTCCAGGTTTGTTGATTGAAAAAAAAAGTTTTGCAGACCTACCTACCATACTTCTTTTCAGCAGGTGACAGTAAACACACATATTTTTTAAGGGCCTTATCATGTTATTATGCATTTTTCAAGGTTAACTTAACAAAATATTTAAGAGAATTGTTTTTCTTTTCATTTAATAAAATGATATACCTGTCCAAAAACTTCTTCATTAACAGAAAATGTCAGATCCATATCCAGGTCAGTAATATCATTCTCTTTAATCCACAGTAAACTCTGGTGAAATTCTGCATCTAAAGTTTCAACATCTCCCAGTGACCATTGTCTGAAAAATATCAAACATTATTCTTAACATTAACATCTAAAGATATTAAAAGATGCAAATACATTGTTACATTTCTGAACTAGATTCTTATCATTTCTACCCCCCGCCATCTTTTTACATTTGACTTTTAATCAAAAGAGAGGAAGAAAATATAACTCTTTCCATGACACTTAAATGACCATTTTTTTTTTAAATGATAAAGATAATCATTACTGTCACATTTGAATTGCATCAAAACCCCATTTAAAATGTTTGTTTTTCAGCAAATGAAGGATTTAATACATCTGCATCTTCCTACTCCTTCATACATGTTAAACTAAAACAAATATACATTTTTGTGATTTCCAAAACAAACTTTACTTTAGCTAATAAAAACTCAAATAGCATGAATTTCTTTCTTTTTTTCTTGTTTGTTATTTTCTGCAAAATTAGTTGTTTCAATGTTATTACAGCTATTCTATGTTTCAAAATGTATCTAATTTTGGCCTTTACAGCCCCTTGCCTTTATGTGTGTATGTTTTTGTCATCAGTTTTACTTGAATATGCTACGGTTTTTATTGACCTTAAACAGAAAGAAATAAATGGGGAATGTGTCCATGGGCCACAGATGATGCCCCAGCTTGCATATCATATAAAGTTATAAAGGGACACAACTGAAGAACAATACAAGTGACGCTACCCAAATTTGTACTTGATCTGAGTTTTGTGGTAATGTGTATAAGTATCATAACATTTGGTTGAGGCTAACTTAAGTTAGAGAACGGAAATGAAAAATTCAGCAATTTTTCCATTTGTAAAGGGTCATAACTCGAGAACAGTAAGGGTGACACCACCAAAATTCAAACTTGATCTGTTTTTTTGTGGTAATAAGCATTGTGTATAAGTTTCATAACAATTGGTTGAGGCAAACTGAAGTTGGAGAACGGAAACCAACTTTGGGACGTACAAACGGACAAGGGTAAAACTTAATGCCCCCTCCACTACAGCAGGGGCATAAAAAATGTGTGATTGATCTTCTTACCACATATTTGAAAGAGCTACAAGTATTAAGTTACCTTTAAAAATGAAAATGATATCTTATCTTAAAGTAACTCACTAAAAGTGTGTTATTTTCCAACCTTCTGTTAGTCTAGGGATGGGTAGGCAACCTCTAAATATATGAAGCCTGTATATATATATATACTTTTTAAATAACATTCACTTCAGATTTTTATTTTTTTTTTTTGCTCAAAATATATATGGTTTTAAATGCATAAACATGTTTTAACTTTTTTGATGATAATTTTATGAATTTTACTGTGAAACTATATTGATATGTACATAGCATGTGTTAAGTGTCTCATAAGTCAAATTTATGACTGGGTATTGATTGTTTTATTGAATACTGTGATATGTAAATATTTTGTCAATCAATATGTGACACTATAATAAAATAATTATTATTTATTATTTATATATTGTGTTTATTTTATACTTACATTCTCAATAAAGCTTTATAGAAAGGTCTGGTAAAGAAAGCATCCAACAGATATTGGTGCACCACAGCTAGTCCAAGTACTCTCCCAGCAAATCGAAACCTAAACAGTAAATATAAGAATATCATAGCTTCCCTTTCATACTTTGGAGAAGCAAACAAACAACTCATAAAATTAAAGTTTTACACAGGATAAAGAAATTATCGTTTACAATAGCGGAGCAGAGGAAATGATTGCTTTTAAAGCAGTTTTGTGGAACTCATTTCTGGTGTAAATAATTAGAGAACTTGTTAACACATAGAAAATAATTAAGAGAATAATATAATGTACAAATATAAAACTGCTATTATATTTACTTTGTGTGTATGTGTTGTTCAATTGCAACAATTAGCAAAATTCTGTTAAAATGTTCAAACACAGTATCTTACCATTCATGATGGTTTTCTACAATAGTAGACATAGGACTGACTTGTACAGTGTATGTATCATTAGCTGAGTATTCAAACAGGCCATAATATGGATTAAACAATTCTCGAGATAACAGGAAGAAAAATTCTCTAGCTGGACCACCATAATCCAACCTGAAAACATACAAAGAATAACTACATCAGTAATTAAGGAAGTTCGCTACTCAGTTTCAAAATAACAAGCTTTTCATAACACTAGTGTATACTGAAAGGGGATAAATAAAGGAAGCAAAAGAGCAAAAAAAATATATAGGTCAATTTGCTTGTTTTCGAGATATTAGCCATTGAAATTTTGGCGGGAAAATGTTTTCTCTTGACTTTTCATAGCTTTATCATTGACAAGTTAAAGCTCTCAAAAACTATTAAAAAATAACAAAGATTTTGTAAGACTTTTACAGGTGGCTTATAATTAAGCATTTAAAAGATTTATAAAAAGAAAAATGGGGGTCAATGGGCAAAAAAATTTAATGCATTTGAATGGATAAAACCAGAGGATTCCGAAAATCTGACAAAAATTCCAAAATATGACAAGCGAACATCCTTAAAATCAACAAAATTTGAACAGAACAAATGTAGAATAAGTATTCTCTTTTCAGGAAGAGCTTTTACATCAAAATATGTGTTTCCATCTTGGAAAGTGTTTTGTACATGCCAGCAGTCAACAGTATTGTTCTGCAATTTAAGTTTACTCAAAGAACATCACAGATCAAACCTTGGTCATGTTGGTACATCTACTAAAATGGAATAGCTTAAATTGTGAAAAACAACAAATTTTTATGAATCATGTCATCTATGTTTCAAACATTCTCCCCATCAAAATGATCTTTTAAATTACAAATATTTTACCGTCACAATTAATTAATCTTCTTTTTATCAGAATTATCATTATATCCAGTAATTGCTTACCCTTCTTCTCCAACAAAAGTAATGTAAAGTTTACTTTTCATCAGATCTTTCTTTGGTGTGGACATTATTTTATTAAAAGCATCCTCTAAAACATGATCTCTTCTGACCATTAATCTAAAACACAAAATTCACCAACTGTATGTAAATTCAAAATTAATAAGTGAAACTGCAAGCTACTGCTCACTGATGATAACCCCGCCCAAATATGGATAATTTTAATAGTGTAAAAATATGTAAGTGTTCGGTAAACAGGAAGTTGTTGAGTGATGAATCTGAAAACGCATCACACGGTATAGCTCACTCATATAAACCTTGAAACCAAATTTCAGAAATCCTTGTAATGTAATACCTGAGAATAATGCGAGGAAAAATACTCATGGGATGGACGGACGGACAGACTGTCGGATGGATGGACAGACAGAGGTGAAACAGTATACTCAACTTTTTTAAAGCGGGGGTATAATAAATAAGGTTGTGAGATATATGTTATGTGAGTGCTTCTTTAAAGGAATGTAACTTGTTTGTGTTTATGATTTTGTTTATATATTTTTTTCAATAAGGACATCTTGGTGGTCATTCCCTTCTAATACAAATAAGGGATGATCTATACATAAGAAAGTAACTCCAATAATAGTTCTACAAGTAATGTCAGCAAAATGTAAGTGATCTAACTTGATTTTTTTTTATATCTTTGTTACATTCTTTTACTATCATGATAGCAAGTTCTGTGTTTAGCATTTTTGAATCATGAGCTTATCTTATTATTATTTTCTCCAACACAAAACACTTACTTTAATTTGGATGGGCCTTGTCCATAGCCTTTGGTTTCTAGTTGTTTGTAGAACTTGCGTAACTTTGCTTGAAAATCTCTCTTCTGTGGAGCATGTACTCGGACTCTTTGAATATCTAAGAGCAAATTTATCAAATGTAGAAGTTTTCAAAATTAGCTAATTTTTCATGTTCGTGTGTCTCAGTTTGTAGTTAAACTGTCCAATAAATTTTAAACAAAATATTTCTTTCTCAGCATGAAATTTATGAAATTTGGTAGAAAAAATTAAGTAAGGACATATGTATAAGATAAGATAAGATATTTTTATTCCAAATAAATGGCCCATGCATGACCTCTCCATGGAAGTTCAAGCTGCTGCTGAAGAATCTTTAAAATCTGTGCTTCTTATGTTATATAAGCAACTTCTAATCTTAAATGCAGCAGTATAATGATAACTTTTCCCCTTTTGAGGTAACTTGGACACACAACTGTACTTAATCATGCCTCAGTATTATTACTGGTCATTTATGTTCAAGGATGGCATCAGAAGAGAAATTCAAGAAACTAAATTTTACTTCTAACTACTAGGAGCAGTAACAAAACAAATCACCTTTGTTACAAATGTTTCAAAGAGTATACATTGAAGTATTTTTTTATTTTTCATTTGTAGAATTGGTAATAGGAAATAACTTGAATTTCAAAACAAGCTACTGAACAATATAAATTCTAGTATTTTCAGGATTGTTGTCATTGTAAATTTGAAGGACATTTCCAGACCAGAAAGACTGAAATAAAATTCCAGGCTTATTCTAGTTTTCAAACTAGCTTTTGAACCCTGCATATCATCTCTAAATTGAGGTGTAATGTTTAACTGTGAAGCGATTTTTTGAAGACTTACTTGGAGATCCTTGACTGGTTTCAACTGGAGAATCAGGTCTTGGGGGTTGCAACAGCTGGGAGGGTATGTAAGACATAATATCATTCTCAAAAACACTGAAAAATAAGGAAATCAATTGTTTTAATATCTTAGCAATGGATCAAAATATTAATCAACATGTTCAAATATCATTTCTAAAAAACTTTAAGTAACTCAACAAAGTGGATAACTGTATTATTTTCTTTGTCTTGTGGATAAAAATCTACTATACTTCTTAGCCTCTACTTGATAAATTTGTAATAACTGTGTGATGCTGATACCACTTCAGATCAATAATAATTAATTGCCACTAATTTCATATTTGTGTTATTCTGTCTGTAGTGATCTCTATATACCACATAAAATTTCTATCAACTATAAAGAAAATTCAAAACCAAATAAAGTAAAGATGCCCCCCCGAACCACATATTTTTTATGAGAACACAAAAACGAGTGCCATATAAACACAAGATGTGGCATGATTGCCCATGAGACAACTCTCCAGCAGAGAACAAATGATGTAAAATAAAAGTAACTATAGGTCTCTCTTGTATGTTAATGTGCACAATAGTATGCATGGATGACCAAAGAAAACATTTACTTTTATTGGTAATTTCCCACCTGTTGCAAATATGTTCCAATTCATCATGGCATACTAGAGTAAAACCCCTCAGCCAGGATGATATGCTTTTGAAATATTTTTCATGGTCAAAGAAGCATCAAAACACATTAACTAATTAATATCTAAATTGGATATTTAAATTTTTATATAATTTGCTGATGTGATATTATGTCAATGTTTCTACATGTATATTGACTATTTGACATTGTCATAGCATCCAACTTAAATATGGAAGCATTACAATACCTTAACAATAAGATAAGATCCAAGTCATTGCACATTCTCTCCAGTGCTTCAGTACCACCAGACTGTATTTTATTGACTTTGTCTCTTAACTTAGAAGTCGATGCATAGGTTGGGTATTTTTCTTTTAAAATGTCACCTGCATTTGGCTGCCTCAGAAAAGATACTACTTTTTCATTGTAAGCTGGAAAAAAATATGTAAAATAAATCTTACATACTGATGTTAATTACGCATCTGTACTATCAAAAATGTAAACTTCTGTCATTTTATGTTATCAGATAGTGAAATAATAGAAACAGTGCCTGATTGATTTACCAGATACATCAGATTCAGATTATCATTTGTGCACAAAGATTAAGAATTTGTTGATTTTTTAATTGTTGCTTCTTATCAATCCATGAACTGTTAAAATGTTACTTTAAATGAGTTAAATATCATAATTTCTAGGACTAAAATAAACCTGGTAGTGAAGTTGTAATATCACATATTTTTTTTCATGATTTTTTCTTGATTTTTTTATACCTAGCTAGGAAGAAATACTAATTTCAAACTATAATGTATGCATTTTCTGTAATGAATTTTTATAAATCTGTATTATTGTAGAGTTTTAATTAGTGTGATTTTTATTGACTCATTTTTCAAATTAGTAAAAAACATTGCATTAATCATGTTAATTCATGACTCTATAAAATGAAATTCACAAAATTCTTTTTGTGATGGAAAATACAATGAAAAATTACATTCACATTTATTCAAAATAAAAATTGTGTAAAAAAAAAAGAAGCTTATAATGGTTTTTTTCAACTCAGATTGTTATCGTTATATTCCTTCTAATCACTAACGGATCTATTACATTTATATTTCAATATAAATAAATTATTACTTTACATAAATTCTACATATAAATAAAATCGTTGTCTTGTAATCAATTGTCTTCAGCACTAATGTAGATTAAGCCCATACACACCAAAAAGCGGTTTAAGAATTTTGACGGTTTGTTTGCCTTTTTCATCAAATAAAAAATAAACAACTTTTATACTTTAATGTAGCTACATACTTTTCACATTTCAAATAAAGGATTTTTACATAGTGAGATGTATACACAGTAAGGAAAACATATATGCTTTTATGGCAACCCTATACTTATCCTAGGCCTTTCTTTCAAATATTACACAAGACCACAAATGTCAGCTTATCTCTCAATCATTTCCTTCAGTATCAAATCAAAATATTTGATCAATTTACATACCTATCTTATCTTTTGAACATATGTAACTCAAAATAGATATAAACCCGCTGCATTTTTATGCACGTGTCCTAAGTTTGGAGCCTGTTGTTCAGTGGTTGTCGTTTGTTGGTGTGGTTCATAGGTGTTTCTCGTTTCTTGTTTTTTATATAGATTAGACCGTTGGTTTTCCTGTTTGAATTGTTTTACACTAGTCATTTTGGTGCCCTTTATAGCTTGCTGTTCGGTGTGAGCCAAGGATCTGTGTTGAAGGCCATACTTTGACCTATAATAGATAACTTTTTATACATTGTGACTTGGTTGGAGAGTTGTCTCATTGGCACTCATACCACATCTTCTTATTTATATAAATATATATTTGTTTAATAGAGAATATCAACTTACTTGTAGGGACATCTGGTTCATGTACAGGAGGTCGGGCTTGTGAAGCTACCTATAATAATAATAAAAAAAAAGTTCAAAATCATAGTATTTCACCAATTCACGAATGAGGAGATATGCTAAAGGACATATTTGGCCAAAGTTTCCACAAAACAAAAATGACAATCAAAGAGCTGAAAGCTCTGAGGAAAAATGACTCCACTGTCTCTAATATTGTGATATTTTTTATGCAAGTCTTGATTTTCACATACCGTAATAAGTTTCACATTGCAACATGTCTCGTAAGCATATAATTGATATTCGTATATGTGTCTGTTTTTTCAGTACAAATGAATAGGTCAAGACTACCTGAATGATCTACAGTATCCAATTACTACTGGCTGTTCGTTTGTACTAATAAAAAGGTCAAGACTATTTGAATGATCTACAATATCCAATGACTACTGGCTGTTCTTTTGTACATATAAATAAAGACTACCTGAATGATCTAAAGTATTCTAAGTAATGTGATTTTTTTCTTGCAATTACATTTTTTCTAAATCAAGAATATAGACTACTAGTATCCTTTTCAAACTAAATGATTATGAAGAGCCTGTTGTTAGCAAGCTCTTATACCCCACATACTCATTAAATAAGTTACTAGTGACCTAGTAATTTCTGTTACTTGAAGCAAATTATATTTCTGTATATTTAGACAATAGTATAATATTGTTTTACTAGTTTTATTTCACCTTGAAGATTAGACAAATAGGGATACTCCTTCGATTTTTTATTTCATGTCAGTCAGGTCGCTTTATATGAAACTTGAAACCACTTCTCTGCCATATTGTTATTTTATAGCAACTCTGCCCTTGACCATGTTGACCCATGTAATTGATATTCATTCTCTAACCAAATATCATAGTCAGTTAGTTTTTGATTTTGCACTCCCACACCACCTTTCATGTCTTTCAGGTCAAATGTCTGTCTCCATTTAAGTTAATGACATTGAACAATCATGGTATTAAACACAATTTCAATAGTGATAATGCTGTTCTCGTTGGTCACCATATATTCAACTTGGGTAGCATTCCAGTTATTGAAATTTGTGTCAGATTAGAACAATGATCTAGATCTTTAGGAATGGATCTTATAATTTAATATGGAGCCATAGTATGGGACCCCTACACGGTAACAAAAAAAAAACAAGCTTGAAAGGATACAATGTCAAGCGGCAAAATCTACCACCAGAGATTACAAGTCAAAAGAGGATGGACGGGATACGTCTCTAAAATGCTTGCTGAACTGGAACTACAGCAAGATCTCCAGACAAGACGAACAAAGCGTTGAAGCCAGAAGTTAATATTTATGTAAAAAGTAGTTGAGGGGCTGATTCCCGCTATTGAACCATATTGTCATTCTATAATATCACTGCGTAAGTATTTCTGTATTGGCCTTGTTATTGGTCCATGTCTTGGGTGTATTGGTCTGAGGCGAAGCGGAAGGCCAATACTGCTTGCCGAGGACCAATAATAAGGCCAATACAGAAATACACGTAATTAGTATCTTTATTAATTAACTACAGTGTTACAATATTTTTTTTATTTAATTTCACAAGAGATAAACATTTTTACCTTGAAGTGGAACTATCCAAATCTCAGTTTCCTTTTATAAGATGCAATATCTAATGATTCCGGGTGCCGTTTGATTGCTGGCCGAGAACCAATAATAAGGCCAATACAGAAATACACGTAATAGTATCTTTATTAATTAACTACAGTGTTACAATATTTTTTTTAATTTCATTTCACAAGAGATAAACATTTTTACCTTGAAGTGGAACTATCCAAATCTCAGTTTCTTTTTATAAAATGCAATATCTAATGATTTGGTGCCGTTTGAAGTATCTTCAGCCTTTTCTCATCTGATGAATTTTTCTACCCTTTCCAGTCACTATAAAGTGTTACAACTTTAATTTAGACACAACACATAAATAGTAATTGGAAAGGTACTGCCATTGCATGTGTAATGCAAATATATTTAAAAAAAAAATAATATAAGAGTTGAAATTGATACAACTATCCATAAGCCAATTGACCAAAGAACGAAGATTTGCACAATTACAGAATGCATATGCCTGGTTCGGGTTTAAAAATAAACGACCGTTTAAATACAAAACATGAGAAGCGACAGTAAACAGTAAAAATCGATTTGTACCATCGGCATCGACATGATGAAATTATGAGGTCGTCAAGAAATGAACTTTGTGATAATTTACTCGTTCCCCAAACCTGAAATAATACCATCGTCTACTTTCAAAATGCTTTTTAAATGAATGGGACCGTCTTTAACCTATAATATATATGCCATACTGAACGTTTCAGTTTGTTTATGGTGATTAAACTTGCGTCTTACAAACAACTGTTTACTTTCGGTTTGAGTTTATCGTGACTTACGATCTAAAAACTAGAGACGTTCCAAAATCCTGTTTTGTAAACAAAGATTCATATGCACCGCGTGGGTATAACCGTATTACTAATTTCCGATTTTTAAAATCTTCGTAAATCTGGATAAAGACCAGTTTCTATCCAATGGATATCAAAATGATTCCGATTTTCACTTTTTTAATGATTGTAAAGTTGAAATGGCATGAAAGGCTGACATTATTTAGGAGAACTATTTTGTCTAGCGATTGCTGATCATTGGATGGTAAAAAGTCCAACACCATAACAAAACGATCTATTTATCATGTATACATACCGATTGTTTACGATTGTAAGACATGTGCATAAAAGTGAAACCTCGAATAAATATGAAAAATATAACAAAGGGATAGCTCCAAATTCCATTTAAATTTATAACAAAAAACATATGGACAGGTCAAGATATCTTTTTGGTAAATAAAATAAAGCATGTAAACTGGTTCCCGTCCGACTACAACACTTTGTAAGAGTGTAGCGTAATACAAGCAGATTCCAGTTTGTATGTAAAATCAATCTCCCATACAGACAGAGTTGTCGTCCTTTCCTCCTCAATTTGGAGGAAAGGACGACAACTCTGTCTGTATTGGAGATTGATGTAAAATAGTAAATATGAAACCGAGTGCGGTAGTCGGAGGCAATAATCGACTTTCGTAAGTTCTGGTCAATGGTATCGGAAACATGCCGCTGATAGCGTCATTTTCCAAAAACTGCTCATTGACATATGTATTGGTGAGAGTGCAAAATATCGAACACATTTAAGTTTGAAAGAAATATTAACAAAGTGTTGTTCATATTGACAAACACAAATTGTCAAATTGGTACTTGCAAGCGATTTATATTTGCTGATCCAAATTCTATGCATTTTTCACAAATCTAGTAACAAGAGTGCACACTGAAATGTCTTGTCTGCTTTACTGACAATTGATTTTATGTTGAAAGTCTTTAAGATAAAGGTTTAACTAAAAGTATCACATAAAGTTAACACTTTTAAATATCCATGGCAATGAGGTCAAGGTCAGATAAATCCTGTCAGATAGACATTTACACCTTACAATTTTAGCCCAGTGGTCTAAGTAGTTGAACTACTGTATCGCTAGCCTGTCAACACTGAGGTTGTGAGTTCGAATCCCACACATGGCAGGTGCACATGACTCCAATCTTAATTGACTAAGATTGTCAGTTTTCCTACTGAAGGTCAGTGGTTCTCTCCAGGCACTCCGGCTTACTCCACCGATAAAAACTGACCACTAGGAAATAGCACAATATTGCTGAAAATGGTGTTAAACACCAATAAATCAGTCAATATGATATACGGAATCATCCAAGATTATTGAATAATGATATATAGGTCACTGCAAAACTTACAGAACTATGATTTCTTGGTGAATCATCAACAACCCTAACTCCACGATTTCTGCCGGTAAAAAGATTTGCATGTAGGAAATCTGTATTGATAGGAGGGACATCTGTAGGTAGTCTGGGATCTAGGAATGTTGTTAATCTTTTATTGTGATCTATGAAAAACATCTGGAAAAAAACAAAAAACATAAAGAGCAACAAGAATGGTATTTTATTTCTATACAATGAAAACAGTATTTTTCTTAGGCAAATTTGTAAAGGATAGTTAAATCTATGCCAAAGTAAGTTAAACGTAACTACAGCAAGGTGACAAGTTATTGTTTAGTAAGATAAGAAGAAAGAATGTCAAATGAACCAACCACATTGACATTCAAGCCAATCATATAAAGGTTTTCTTCCTTTTCTAAGACTGAACTTTTAATGTATGTATTTCACTCGAAATCAGTCAGTAATACTGCATTGAAGAGGAGTTTACTTTTGAAATTATTTTTTTGAATTCTTTTGAAACAAATCTGTATACAAAAGCAAGCTTAGATATCATTTTGTCTAAAAATGTTAAATTTTCCAAAACTGAGGAAGTCATAAAGGGATCTGATTTTCAGTAGTTGTTGTTTGTTGATGTGGTTCATAAGTGTTTCTCGTTTTTTATATAGATTACTGTGGATTCATTTATTTTTGTGGGTACCAATTTTCGTGGATTGAGGAAAATTTGCATTTTCTTGGATATTTGATTTCGTGGGTTAGCCAAAGTCTGCATACAACCTTATAGAAAATGTGTCATTTGTTGAACATCTTAATTCATGGTTCACCTGTTCCCACGAAATCCACGAAAATTGATATCCAACAAATAATAAACTGCTTCCCTAAGCGCAGCTGGATACGCCCACAGAGGTCCAACCCTGAACAGTTGGGGCAAAAATGGACACAATATTCAAGCTTGATACAGGTCTGAATTTGGATTGTAATTAAATATTTGACATTTTAAAGGTTTCTAAATAAATGTAGTCAAAGAACTTGAAATTGGTTATATGAATTGAATTTATATTCAATTAAAGATTTCTTGCTGTTGTGCAATACACTGTGCTGTTGCACAATACTAAGTAAATCTGTTGTCAGACTATAAACAAATTAAGTTCAATTTCTTCTCAATGTCATATTTGAAATTTATAAAAATCAATAGGGAGATTACATTAATAGCTATAAATAATTCACCAAAGTTTCATGAGAACTGATGAAAGCATTTTTGAGTTATTGTCAAAAAACTGGAAAATCCCCCCTTTTTTAATGAATAAAACCCCATAACTCAGAAATGTAAAATCTAAAATTTATAAAATTCTAAAGGGAGCTTACATCAACAGATATAAACAATTCACCAAAGTTTCATCAGAACTGCTGAAAGCATTTTTTAGTTATTGTCCGAAAACTGGAAAATCCCCCTTTTTTTATGAATAAAACCCTGTAACTTGGAAACGTAAAATCTAAAATTCATAAAAATCGAAAGGGAGCTCATGTCAATAGATATAAACAATTCACCAAAATTTCTTGCAAGTTGGTGAAAGCACTCTTGAGTTATTGTCCAAAAACTGGAAAATCCCCCTTTTTTTATGAATAAAACCCCAAAACTCGGAAACGGTAAATCTGAAATTTATAAAAAACGAAAGGGAGCTCACGTCAATAGATATAAACAATTCAATAAAGTTGTTATATTGGTTTAAGCGTTTTTGAGTTAATGTCCTACATGTTGACGACGGACAGACGGACAGACAGACAGACGGTCAATGGTATTCAATGGTATACCACAATACATCCCGTAAACGGGCGTATAAAAATGAAACCAACCGCTGAATTACAGGCAGCCCTTTTAATGGATGAAAGCATTGTGGATTTTTTCTTTTAATTTTTTTCATGTGTCAGAAAAAAGATGTTCAATATTTTGTATTCTAAACTTCCGGGTGAGGAGGTAGTATATGTCAAATCAATAAGTGGTGAAGAGTAAGTTCTAGATTTCACATTTAACTTTTTTAACTTCCAGTTTGATGATGACAATGTCCAATGTGATGTATGAGCAAGACATATTATGGTGATAAAACTGATTAATACAATTTTACCTTGCCTCCCCTGTCAAACTTCATTTCCCAGTTAGGAGGCATTTCTTTACTGCTATCAGAAAACAGGTTAACAAAAGCTACCAAATCACGATTATGTTGATACCTGTAAAAATAAGATATGCTTTATACAAAAGCTGAACATTCAAAATTATGTTGATACTTTTAAAAATATCACATGTACTTATACAAAAGCTACAAAACACAATTATGTTTATATCTGTTAAAAAATAGTACATATACAAAAGCCAACTACTAAAGATGTTTGTAAATGCACTTATAATTTCTGTATATGAGAATTATTTTACAATCATTTTACAATCATTGACAATAAACTATGAAAAATGCAGTTTTCTTTCAATTACATATTTTTGAATTCTATAGGGACAAGTTCACTACATGTGCAATAGCACAGTTTTTAGATATTTCTATTGCACGTTCAAGGGATAATATTCACCAATAATCATGCAATAACCCTTTTATTGTATAACAAAGCTTGAAATACTGTTTAAAACATTTTTTGTCACTGCTGATGTTGCAATATGATATATTATTGCACACTAACTTTTTGTTACAGTTTGTATGAAATATTTTGTTGCTATTCAAATCAAAATTTTGGAAGCAAATATTTTTCTATAAGGGATAATATCAAAATTTCTTCCTTCTTCTGATTATATTATTGTGATGGCAAAAAAAGATAATCATGCATGATGACATCTAATAGAAAAAAAAACAATTTTGTTTATGATTATTGACAAAATTGATATAAATTAGAGAAAGGAAACAAAAAATTCAGCAATTTTTCCATTTGTAAAGGGGCATAAATCTAGAACAATATAAGTGACACCACCAAAATCCAAAATTGATCTGTATTTTGTGGTAATAAGCATTGTGTATAAGTTTCATAGCATTTGGTTGAGGCAAACTAAAGGTCGAGAACGGAAACAAAAAATTCAGCAATTTTTCCATTTAAGGGACATAACTCTAGAACGGTTAAAGTGACGCCACTGAAATTCAAACTTGATCTGTTTTGTGGTAATAAGCATTGTGTATAAGTTTCATAACATTTGGTTGAGTCAAACAAAAGTAAGAGAACGGAAACCAATTTTGGAACGTACGTACGGATGGACATAGACGGACAAGGGTAAAACTTAATGCCCCCTCCACTACAGCCGGGCATAAAAAACAGCTTCCACTACTGTGTTATTTCTTTAATATTACCAATATTTATTCAGTAGTTTACAAGTTATAATAACTTAACATATTCCAGATTAGCATGTTTATTATCATAAAACCATCTAATCATGATTCAGGCTGTGTGTGAAGGTGTTACAATTATCAGCCATACACTCATCATTCTGGAATTATCATTGTGAAACAATATTATGGCAAAATGGAGGTACATATCGTTTCATCATTTAAATTTCATGCCTCCAAAATTACCAGGCATTTCTGTTGTAAATAAAATTACTACATGCAATTTCCATTGTGATGCAAAATTGCCAATAACCATTGGAAAATATCAAGGTGCAAGAAATAATAAAATAACTAAGGTACTTTATTAAAATTATTAAAATTTATTAATAAACATACCTGTAAAAATTTTTGGAGTCTCTTCGTGTTTTGTGTATCATATGCTTTAAAGTGCCATTTCTATTGTATTCAGCCATTGCCCTCTGTAATGTAGTAAAAATAACCAACATGTATTTACTGCTCTTAGTTATAACAATGTTTCAAATATGAAGGTCTTAAAACAGACACACACAAAAATGTGTATAAAATTTGTGTCATTAGAAATTAAATTTAGTTTTACATTCTACTTTTCATATTATATATTTGGTTGAATAAAATGCTTTGGTAAATACAATGCAACAAACAACACACTCCAATGAAACTGAGATAACTGCCACAAGAAACCAAATAACCTTAATAATTACAGGATAGGTATTCGATCTAAAAAGGAAAATTATGCAAGTACACAAATTAAGTCCTACACAGGGCTGCTAAAAAATATTTGACCCAGCCGGACATTTTTTGTCTTATCCCGATTTTAATCCCTTAAGACTAAGTAACAAAGGCAATTATGTAAATCAGTTGGCCATCATATAACCAATGAATGACATTAAAAAAACGATATTAAACTTTACTTTGATATAAATTCGATGTTCTGACATAAACTATTAAATTGGCAGTGTATCATTCGAAGTGTGCAACATCAGCGTACTAATATCTGCCTATACCATGTATACTCTTTATTTGTACAAAATAACGTTGTCAAAAACTTTACTTTTGTTTTTAAAAGGCACATTTTCCTAATACCGGATGTTGACTTGACAATGATAAAACATGGACCAGAGACGGATACGTAAAATCCGTGTACGTTTTCAAAGCATGATTGAGTGTAAGAAGCTCTTTCCTCGTTATTTCTTCAAGAAAATACTCGAAATGAACGTAAGATAAAGGTATCAATGATAATTTTAGCATTTTTGAAGAAATTAGGATGCATAATTAAATTTCCCACCTGCGCATACACGTGTACTTGTTCAAACAACGTGGTTTTGACGATTTTTCATTTAAAACCTTTTCAATTTTTCCATGAATCATATTTATAAACGTATTTCTGATAATTTTAATCTTTTGGGCTGAATTAATTAGATGTAACCCGCTTAAATGTAAGAAAATAACTTTGAATAGACCGATCAATGTCCATTACAAAATAGTTAACCTGTCACCTGAACAGGTAAATTTCAGCTGTCCGACTACTAATTAGCCTTGGTTAAAATGAGAAGGTATTAAAGTAGGGGTTGTTTTGATAGTACTTAATCGTCATGTCACTTTTATGACTGGAAATGTAAGCCTGTTTAAGGCAAAACGTAGGGTCAAAAAGATCGCATAAAATGTTAAAATGACCGTCTCTTAGGAAAGCCTTGAAAACTGAAAAGTAGATGACCGTTTCATGCTTATCCCAGGCCGACAATGTCCGGTAAATTTATAAATGTCTGGAATATATGACTGGTTTGGAAGCCATGGTCCTACAGGTGATATTTTCTGGTATTACATAGAATATGTTAAGACAATCATCTGACCCAAACACTTACATCATTTTGCTGTAAAAGAGGGAAGAAATCTGTCCTGAGTAAAAATTTGATCGCTGGTGGACGGGCATCGTCCGGTTCTGGCACCACAGGTGTGGGGATTGGGGGTACAGGCATGGTGGGTGGAGGAGGTACTCTAGCCTGGGCTGAAGTCTGGGGACTACCATCACTGCCACCAGATGATGTGTTCTCAGCACTTGGTGGTTCAGGTTCTGGTCGTTGATTGATTGTCCTTCTGATACTCTGATACCTGAAAAATATCAAGTTTAATAGTACTTAATTAACAAACACTAACAACACACTAAAAGACTCAATCACAAAAAAACATACTTAAAGACCCTATTTCATCCAAACATAAAATTCTGTTTATTTCTTTATTATGTATAACTAATACAGATAAATGACCACATGTTAAGAACAGTTGTTTCAGTTGCTTGAATACTTTTTATCTTTTCTGACCATCAAAATTTTGTAATAATAAAAGTCAAAGTATCTATAATTATAATGCATGTTTATGTATGTGTATGTGCACACACACAATTATATGACTGTTTGATAATGCATGTTTATGTATGTGTATGTGTACACACAATTATATGGCTGTTTGTCTATGAAGGATTTGAGAACTGGCTGTTGGTGCACAAATGTACATGGACAATGACATCTATGGCAACTAATATCTGTTGATAAAATATCAGGTCCAAGATCTGCTACTGGATAACCACAAAAACATATTCCTACCAGAAATGGGTTTTTCAAATGCTTCACTGTAAATATTTGTTTACTTGATATCAAAAGAAGTAGGTTTACAAATGGTTTATAATGGCCTTTTAAATCTATGAAATTTCAAATTTGTAATAATTTATTATCATTTACACACAAACATGACAAATGAATAAGGAAGAATGGTAGTTAATACCTTAACAAGTAAACCATATTTCTATTTACTGTAGCTGTTCAAAATCAATCTTCAAATGTTCATGGTATTCTTTATTATACAGGTTTTTATATTTTAAAATCATGGAGAAAGATGTTTCATTTTTGTATGTACATTAAAAGTGTTTTACCGTCTGTCCAGTTGTTGTCTTTGTTCTGAGCTGATTGTAGGACGTCTTTGTATGGTGTTCTGACCACTAGATGGTTTCTGCCATGTTGTTGTTCTGTTGATATGATCTATATAGAATATCCTCCCATGACTATCTACTCTTGCCTCCCAACCTGATATTAATACAATAATCATGTTAAACATATAGGCAATGTATTGTTGGGTAGCTGAGTATGGGGGAAACAAAAACTCCTAACGAAAGCTAAAATTCCTCTATATAGTTCAGTTGTAATATGTAATTAAACAGATTTCTACACTTTAACTGCCTTATCATACATAAACAATGTATTAATGGAATTTCTATTGGTTTGATACTGGCTTGATTTATAGTATATTTTGGTGTCTCCACCTCCAACAATCACAGAGTTCAGTTAATCAAACTATTTGTAAAATCAAAATCATAATAATGTAGCATCATCAATGGGCAAGAAAACACTTAATCATCATCAATGGGCAAGAAAACACTTAATCATCATCAATGGGCAAGAAAACACTTAATCATCATCATCATCAATGGGCAAGAAAACACTTAATCATCATCAATGGGCAAGAAAACACTTAATCATCATCAATGGGCAAGAAAACACTTGATAATCATCAATGGGCAAGAAAACACTTAATCATCATCAATGGGCAAGAAAACACTTAATCATCATCAATGGGCAAGAAAACACTTAATCATCATCAATGGGCAAGAAAACACTTAATCATTATATTAAATATCACTCACTTTATGTTAACAGACCTTTAAAACATTGCAAGGACTTGCATGAACCATAGGACAAGGTTGTGAACAATTACAGGTCACGATTTAGTTTCTTTTTGAGTACAAAAGGAATAAATACATGTGATGAAAATTAGAGCTATTAAACATGTTAAATAATTAATGGTTACCAATAACAAGTGTTTTTGTCACAAAATCATATTGCCCGGTATTACCCATTTCGTGAGGTATTGCCTAACCTTGAATTTTCTATCTTAGTTTTCCTGCCTGGGTATATACGTAAGACTTTACCAACCCTGCAAAATTTTCAAAATTGATAACATCTGATTGCTAATATGATTACCTGGAGGTAAGGGGTCATCCCCATGTGTTGGGTCTACCTTCTGGAACTTTTTCCTGGCTGGTAATTTAGGAAGAGGTGACTGTGGCTCTGTAATATAATAGTTCATTGTAATGCATGCAGATAATGTAACTGTAAATAATAGAAATTACTTTCTAATTATGAGTACGAGGGAGATGAGTTTCAAATACTTACTGAAATTTTTATTGGCAAATGTTGTGATTTCATTTTTTTGTTTTTTTGGTTTATTATAAATAAAGACATGCATTGGGAGTCTGGGCAATCAAAAGCAAACAAACATTTTTTATGAGTGGCTGAATAAATGTTCATGTCAGAGGTTGACTATTTGTGAAGTTCTAAGTCCTGAGCTAACAAATTTCTAAAAGACTTTTGAAAATTATTACAGAATGTCTGAACCATTTATGATTACCATGATTACAATTACAGCAGAAAAAATATAGGATTTACTAAAATTTTGACATTTATTGCCAAAAAAAATGCAATAAGCAATATATTTTCAATTTCATGAGATACATGCAAGCATTGATGGATAGGACTTCTTATTGGAACCATCTGTTAGAACATACATTTAAACATCTGAAATATCACTATGAAATCAAAGCCCTTGATTTGCATGTAATATAAACAATTGTGGATATTCATGATCAATTATTGTTTCCAATTGATAAAACAAGCTGACTATCTAAATCATATTTCTATCAAATAACAATTTATTTTTATTTACAGTTAGAAAATATACTTGTAGTTCAATAACTCAAGCTTGCTGGAAGTATAAAAAAAATATAAAGTAAGACAAAGAAGGCTAACAAATTATATTTGAGTACCAGTTAACAACCTAAAATGAAGAGGGTTCATTTCAAAGAATGTTCCTGTTTTGTTAAGGACAACTGTAGTAGTTTTTATTCTATAAATCAAGTAAAATGCATGTAAAAGACCAACACTTTGTACAATGATGCATGTCAGGGATTCTTACAAGAGATATGATATGTTATACCAAAAGATGCAGCAGACATTAATCACGTTTATAATGCATCTAGTTTTGAAAGGTCTTGACACACAATGGAATTTTACACTAAAATAATGTTTAATTTTTGTTTTGGTGATGATCATATTTTGAATGTTGAAGCAGTCACTTTTTAAATTCTGATAGCATCCGGTGTATGCAGTATTTCTACACTCTTTTGTTTTTGTGAAAATACAGATTTTGGTTGTTTTTCAAATGGTTTATAGTCACATTTTTATGAAATAACTAAATGATTATAAAAAAAAAAAATGATTGACCATGTTCTTCTATAGCTGATGAATATGTTCTTAGGTTAAGTATGAACTTGATATTTCCAGTACAAAAATAAACATGTATGTCTGACCTAAGATCTTGGTGATGGCCTGTTACCATGTGTCCTATGTTTTATCAACAATAAAATAGAATTCAAGTGAAATGTAAACTATTGTGTTAGTCAGCATGGTCAGAGAAACTGGTAAAATATAATGTACAAAATTTCTGTTCTTTTATTATTTTTAAGAAGAACATTATGGGCTGTGGAATTTGATTTTCATGAAAACTGATAATTTGACACATATGGGAGAAAGTCTCATTTTTCGAAGACTTATAGAGCATCCATTTTTCAATGAAAATATTGGATTTTACAGTGAATTTTTCATCCATGACCACACATTTATTAATAAAATGTAAGTGTGCAACTTGTATTTAATCTAATTTCATTTAGGTGAATTTTGTATGCAATACTGAATCTTAATGTGCAATATACTGTGTTTGTATGTATAGATAATACCTGGGATTTGTGCTGAAGTTGATGCTTGTGGCTGAAGTTGAGGCTGACGTAACTGCCACACAACTGCAGTAGATTGTTTTTCTTCTGAGGTACCATTTACTGGGCTTGCTGTTGCACCTTGACTAGCAGTCTGATCATGCACAGCAGGAGATACTGATTCTAACGAAGACATCCCAGATACATTTTCCATCGTTTCATTACTAACACTAGAATTCTCACAACCTGAAAAACTACTATCCTGGCCACTAATAGATTCTGCTTTTGATTTGTGTTTTTGTTTTTCTGTCCATTGCTGAAGTTGTTGCACAATATGTTGTCTATTTTGTTGTTTTTCCTCCTCACTAAGCATTCGTGTTCTTGGCACTATCCTGGGAGGAGAAGCTGACACTGATGTCCTATCACAAACTGGCCGAATTGGTGTTGTGTGTACAGAATCACTTTGTTTATAAGTCCTATCACCACAACTATGTTTATGTTTGTGACGTGTTTTATCTGTGACTGAGTCTGAATATGACGTAATGACTGACACAGGACTTGATCTTGGACTACATTCTACAGAATGACTAACAGAAGTGTTTCTTTTGCATTGACTGGCAGACACAACAGAATCTATAGAAGGCAAGGAAGATAACTGAGCAAATAAATTTCTACTAGAATCTGACAAATTAATATCACTTGTTGATGACGTGTCATTTTTTGTTGGATCACTATGTGTTTTCCTTGTTTTTTGTTTCACAACTAAATCACAGTTAGAATTATCAATGGTTGAAGCTCTGGATATTTCTACTTTATGAGTAGATCCACCCTTTAGTGAACCATGTTTTGTCCGTATAATATTATGTGGAGATTCTTTTTTTACATTGACTGGACCACCCACAGCCCCTTCTGAGCCACCACTGTCATTTGAACCCAAGAATGCCTCTGTACTATCAAAACTGTCTTTTGTTTCCTCCTCTACTGCAGCCTCTGCCAATGCTGGAAGAGATAACTCATCAGAATTAGATGTCAGACTGATAGGACTGTATGTCCTTGGTGGCAAAGGAGGGGGAGGTAACTCTAATGAATGGCCTTCAGATATTGCCACTGGACTCACAGAAGATTTGGGAAAGGGTGGTTTCTCTAGTGTCCTTTCTGGAGTCCTTGGGGGTAAAGGAGGGGCATCACTATTCCTACTTCGAGGGGGTAGTGGTGGAGCTTTGTAAGTTCTGGGAGGTAACACAGGAGGGGGTGCAGTCTCATCATTTCCCCCTTCTACTCCCATTAATGTTAGCTGTACTTCTACATCACATGAACTAGCAGTGCTCATTATGTCTTCACGGTCCAACACTGATTCTGATGTTTCTATTCTTTCTGCTGAAGAATTCCCACTTGAACTATCAAATGCATGAATAAATGTCAAGCCATTTAAAGCTCCATTATTTCCTAAAGAAGGTCCTATTTCCATTCCTCCTGAATTATCACTATTAGGTGCTGTACCTATCTCATCACTTCGTAAACTTTGTGAATCTATATGACTATTGTAACCACAAACTATGCTAGGCACAGAAGCAAGATTAGGAGGACTACAACTTAATATTTCTGCTTCATTTTCTGCTAGTTCTATATCAACATCATCAGGGATTCTTTCATGAGGTAACGATATGCCAGAATCTTCCTGATCATTATCAACATTTGTGTCACAGTTGCCATTAGTAACAGATTCAGGATCTGTGTTATGCCGTTGAATTTGAGGTGATTTTTTAAAACTAAAACTTTCTTCTGGAAGAGACACCTGACGTTTGTTGGGAGCTTTTTGTCTAACTGTTGGAAATGTAAAGTGTTCTGAAAAATAGGTTGTGTTTTTAATACTTATGCATGTTATGCTTAATTCACTTAAACAACAATACAGTTCTTTCTTAGGTAAAATAAAACTAGAATATGTGTCCATTGAACACAATGCCCAGCTCACACTATCACATATTCATGTTTAATGAACTGCAAATTATTGACCAAATCCAAAATTTGGCATACATTTTGACAAGTTCACATCAATATGAACATGTGTACTTAGTTGTTTCAAGCTGACACGACCATAACTTCATGGTAAACTTAAACATTTGAACATATGTAAACTATTGTTGCCTAAATTTAAACCAATAGTTTAACCTATCTCATACCAAAACTTTAACCTGATAAACAGTTTGTTGGACGAGAGCACTATCGTAGGATAGGTATGATTAAAAACACAAATGAAAGTATTTTACTCTCTGGTGTACACTTTTAACAACAGTGTATATACAAAGTGATGTACTTAGTTTGGTGGAAGTTCTGGCTTAGCATGGTAAAAAATTGAAGTTCATTTACTACTTCTCAAACGTTGTTGATCATGTTGATATTCAACTAGTAACCTAAATAACTGACAGGTTTTTTCCTCCCCCCTGTGAGGTATAATCCCTTGTACATGTTAAATGATAATGTGTTCAGGAAGAGACATGTTCCTGAGAGATGAAAACATTTCATCACTATCCTACAGTCACAACTATGCTTCCTTCCTGTACAATATTGTCATTAATATTTCCTAATACTTTCTTTATAAAATTCTTTATCATTATCATAAGAAATTGTAGACTACTATACCTCCAAGGTCCATCTCTACTTCAGCCATAAATCTAAGTGAGCCTGACACACTGTCTGATGGATTACGTCTGGTTAAATCTAAGTCAAATTCAGCAGCCCTGAAATTCAGCATTGTTAGGTTAATTAAACATATGGAATCTATTAATGTGCAGTATTTAGATTTAAAGGCATCTTTGATACTTTTGTTTTGTGTCCTTTGTTTTTTTCACTTCTGTCCCTTAAAACATGTATTCATGGGATTCATTTTGCTTTTAAACAAAAATTAATAAACTGTTTTCATTATCATTTGTTCATATATCTAAATGATTTTCAGTTAAGAATTGTTGTATTACAACTTTAACAGCTTCATTTCCATGAATTCAAGGTTAAAAAAATGTTCAGCATTTACAAATTTTACTCAGCAATGACATTATGTCAATTCTCTGTCTTCCTGAACTAACAGATGATTAATAAAGTGTCAACAAACTCTGATTTTTGATAAATATTTTTATCTAAAATAATAAAAGCTGAAAGTCTGGAGACAAACAAAACAAATGATTTCCATACTGAACCACAAAATATAACTATATAAACTGAACTACAAGATATTTATCTATATAAAAAGCATAGCCACAATTATTCAATCACAGTATTAACAATGTTTGTAAATTCTCATAATCATGTAGAAGAATGCACTTCTGTGTTATATCTTCATTATATTTACATCTGTCACCAGCTAATAACATATCTAATATTAGCCAAATATGTCAATTGTCTAAGTAGTATAAGTGGGATAACACTTGTCTCTATTAATGAATGAATCTAAATTTACCCTGTAAATACTTTAACTGGTTTGTACCACATGTTTCAACATTTCTGACACCATCAGTATTTTCATATATATATATCTATGGTTATTGTATAAATTGCATGTCTATGTTTTTTTCTTCATTTTTTTGTTATTAAAGAGATGATTTTTAGTAAATGACAAAGCAATGTGTCAAAGGTTTTTCAAGGCTACACAGAACATTGCTGTTGTATGTAAGTTTCCATTATTCCATTTACTCTTCAACACAATTCTAGTAAAACAAGAATGTGTCCATAGTACATGGATGCCCCACTTGGACTATCATTTTCTATGTTCAGTGGACCATGAAATTGGGGTCAAAACTCTAATTTGACATTAAAATTAGAAAGATCATATCATAGGGAACATGTGTACTAAGTTTCCAGTTGATTGGACTTCATTAAAAACTACCTTGACTAAAAACTTTAAACTGAAGCAGGACAGACAGACGAATGGGCGACGGATGGATGAACGAATGGACTCACAGTCCGAAAAACATTATGCCCCTCTACTATCGTAGGTGGGGCATAAAAACGTAATAATTTTACTTTGCAACAAGCTAAATTGGTATGAAAAGTGTGAGAGGTTAAACTGAAACAACTCTCTAGCTTCCCTGTTTCACTTCATATACTCTGTGTACATAACAGGGTAATCATGGTAATATCCCTGCTCTTAAGGACTGTTTATACATTATAGAGTAACATTTGGTAAACACAGGAACTGGTTTCTTCAGAACCCTGTGAACATTGTAAGGTAACAACCTACCCTGGAACTGATTTATTAAGTACTTTCTGCACAGGAAGAGAAGCTTTCCCTAGAAATCTACTAATAGTGGGACGGCTCTTAGCAAATTTATCTTTGATTTCAAACTCAATGACATCAGCAGGTAGGGTGTCTAGGGTAAATGTCTGCAAACAGAAAACATGAATTAATTGTAATCATTTCAACTTAATACAAATTAACAAATAACTAGGAGCTAATTAGGTGCTGTGTTTTTGCCTTTAAACATTCAGATATTATTAATGGGTATTAGCTTTGATTTAAACAAAAATTTTTAATTTATAGCGGAATATTGAAAAAATATTTTGCTTTCAGCAGTCAGTTTGGTTCAATGTTGTCGAAATAAGCTCAAACACATAACTAATGTACTATTGGCTTGTAAGTCAATAATTCAACCTCATTTGAATCCATATTCATAGGACCAACAATTAAACCCTTAGCTGGAGATGGGTTATGGAAGAGTGTAGCGCTAGCATGTTCAGTTATTGAAATGAAAAGAATGTTCACATTGATAAGTGAAACAAGGGAGTCAGCAGGAAGAATCATTTGGTTCCCAGATTTGATTTGACAGAGTGTAATATTCGTCTTACCTGTTTAAAAATTTGTAAACAAGTAAAACAATGATTTAATAATTTCAGACATCTATGACATGACAAATCATACAGACTTATAAAAATCGTCATTATATGACTGCACGTGCTTGTCTGTCTATTTATATCTATATTTATGATTATATCAGGTCATACGACTACCAGCATTCTTCAGAGGTCATATCGATGGTTAATTAGATGGCGTCTTGTCTAAATTAAACAAGAAATGCTGATATATCATAACGTGTCATTTCTAACTCTATTGGACTTTTTGCAATTTAGATATATACGTTTTAGTATGTTATAAAATCAAATATGAGAATTTCAGTCCAATCGATGAATATAAATTTGACAGCTAATGCCCCTTTAACTCAAAAGGTTATTAAAAAATACTAAAAAAGAAGATGATCTTATACCTGATTTTTCCAGTGTGGATTAGTCGTATTACTGGCTATAGAAGTTCTTCTTTCCTGATAGTGATGTACTTGTGGTGAATACACTTTGCTAGGGATCAATGTCATTTTAACATAAGGGTCAGGATTAAAGAACATTCCCTTCTTCAGGTTACATGCTTCCAAATCTGAAAGAATATATATATTTATATTTTTTCGTTTGGGCTTGTATTATATTTGCCTTCGGGTTTATATGATCTGTTCATCCTATTTCGACTCTTCAAAATTCAAGAATCTATCCTAAATTGAGGTAAATTATATGGCCTTCCAAATACCGTTTTGATTCCTAACATCACTAAAGAGACATTAATTGTCGAAATCCAGATATGGTGTACAAATTTTTGCACCTCATGTTTGCGTTATACCATCTTTTCCGCAAGTTTATTGTTTTCTGTTGGGTATTAAATTAATAATAAAGATCCATTTTGTTACATCTTGTAATCCGTTTATTTGGCAATCGCCAATGGCAGTCAGCAGGGTTTAAGAACTCCCGTTGTTCGACCTGTTAGTCAAATGCGTTTTGTTTAAATATACTTTTTTCACTTTTTTGGTCTTTTGAAAATGTTATTTGTGCTGTATTTAGACCCCTCTACCAAGAAATTTGTTTTGCATGCACACGTATAAAAATTGCAGTTTTTATCCAACGCAATCATAGGTTTGAATGTTGTTTTCAATTTAGACTTATATATATATATATATATCATATTAAATAGTTGGATCCAAAACTGATATAGTCATTCAATTTTAAATAGCTAAACTGTGGTTGATATACATGATAGTTTAATAACTTATGTGAGGCTTTCAGTAGGTTTAAAAGTGGACAACTGACCGGTTATCGCCATAGGTTTTGGGGACACTTGAGGCCCCAACAAGTATAGATCAGAAACCTTGAAGGGGCCATGTATTCTGGATGTGAACCTTTTGACAAAAAAATCGCAGTAAATATTGAATTCACTTAATCCATGTAAATTTTTAATAAAAAATCTGAAAATTTCTTCAAGATCTACATACAGCATTTCGTAGTCATATTTTTTTCATCCTTTACTATTGAGACTACAAAAAGATACCTTTAATAACTTATTAATTTTGAAAATTTTCAGATGTATTATTATAAGTTCCACACGTATGAAATATTTCTTTGTTTTGGAAATAGTCAAGCCATAACACGACCGTCTTAATTTTGAAAATATCCCATTGAAAATTATGCAAACCAATTATCAGATCAGTGAAATTCGCGGAGGACTTATGTAAAATATAATAGTCAGGTCAAGAAAATATGATTCTTTTGGAAATTTTAAGCAATAATCATAAATCGTTTCTGAGATACGGCACGACATGTGAAACCCCCCCTTTTAAAAAAAAAAAAAATCAATATCCCTAAAATAAAATTTTGAATCAAAACCAAAAAGTATACAGATCTTTAGATTAATATAACTAAGAAGTGTGTAAAATTTTAAGCAATAATCATAAATCATTTTTGAGATACGGCGCGACATGTGAAAAACCCCTCCCCCTTTTTTTACAAAATACTCAATAACTCAAAAATAAAATTTTGAATCATCACCAAAAAGTATACAGATCTTAAGATTAATATAACTAAGAAGCATGTAAAATTTTAAACAATAATCATAAATTGTTTTTGAGATACGGCGCAACATGTGAAAAACCCCTCCCCCTTTTTTTATAAAATACTCAATAACTCAAAAATAAAATTTTGAATCATCACCAAAAAGTATACAGATCTTAAGATTAATATAACTAAGAAGCATGTAAAGTTTTAAGCAATAATCATAAATCGTTTTTGAGATACAGCGCGACATGTGAAAAAAAACACACACCTGTTTAAGTTACTAAGTCCCGTAACTCAAAAAGTTTTAATCTTATTTTTACCAAAAAGTATACAGATCGTTTGACCATCAAAAGAAACTACTATGTTAAGTTTCATGAAATTTGGATAAGTCGTTCTCAAGTTACGGTGCGACATGTTTAAGCTGGACAGACAGACGGACGGACGGACAGACGATATTTGTATACCATAATACGCCTCGTCAAAATTTTTACGGGCGTATAAAAATGTGTGATCAGTTTTAAACATCTCAAACAAAACTGTAGGAAAAGTTAATACATAAAAAAAACCATGATAAAAAACCTGCTATTCTCTCCCAATCCATCCTGCATCACATTAATAACCACTTTTGTACACTTAACAATCCTGCCAAGAACAGATTACATTCATTTTCTTTATAAATATCCTATCTAATTTATAAATTTATTTTTCTCTTAAAAGTGGGCAAAATTAGCTTTGTTTGAAAATTGTAAAATGAACACATGTAGATATAATAATTATAATTTTTTAAAACAGTTAAAGTACTTCAAATAAATGGAGAGTGTGTCCATGGGACACAGATGATGCCCCGCTTGCATATTAAGTTATAAAGGAACATAGCTGAAGAACAGCAAAAGTGACGCTACCCAAATTTGTACTTGATCTGAGTTTGTGGTAATAAGTATTGTGTGTAAGTTTCATAACATTTGGTTGAGGCAAACTTAAGTTAAAGAAAAGAAACGAAAAATTCAGAAAAATTCAGCAATTTTTCCATTTGTAAAGGGGCATAACTCTAGAACTGTATTTTGTGGTAATAAGCATTGTGCATAAGTTTCATAACATTTGGTTGAGGCAAACTTAAGTTAGAGAACAGAAACGAAAAATTCAGCAATTTTTCCATTTGTAAAGGGGCATATATAACTCTAGAACGGTATTTACGTCACCAAAATTCAAACTTGATCTGTATTTTGTGGTAATAAGCATTGTGTATAAGTTTCATAACATTTGATTGAGGCAAACTAAAGTTAGAGAGTGGAAACCAACTTTGGGATGGACGGACGGACACTACAGAGGGGGCATAAAAAGTAATTCAAACACTGTTATCTGGGTATTATCAAAGAATAGTTATTCTTTATGTGCCTGTCCCAAGTCAAGAGCCTGTAGTTTTGTAGTTGTCGTTGGTTCTTGTCTGTCATACTTGTTTTTCGTAAATTGTGTTGTTATAAATTAGGCCGTTAGTTTTTCTCAATTGAATTGTTTCGTTTTTTCATGTAGGGGCCTTTTATAGCTGACTAAACGGTATGGGTTTTTCTCATTGTTGCAGGCAATACAGTCCCCTATAATTGCTTACATCCTCTTTATTTCAACTTGGGTGGATAGTTGTCTCATTGGCAATCAAACCACATCTCCTTATTTTTATAGTGCACAACTGTTAAGTTGTCTTGTAAAAAACACAATTGAATACCTGGCAAAACAGATATTCACCTTTCTTGGGCATATATAAATACATGTTTACCTGACAAAACAGATATTCACCTTTCTTGGGCATATATAAATACATGTTTACCTGACAAAATAATTCGTACTATGTTCTTCTTGTAATCCACTAATGCATGTGTGTATTCTTCATTTGTATATTTCTGTTAAATGAATAATCAACAATTACAACATAATTGCACCTTGTACATAATTCAAACACTAGTATAATTAGTTTTACAATCAAAGTGTATACCTGTAAAAGTACTAAGGATAGTAGTATAATTAGTTTTACAATTAAGGTGTATACCTGTAAAGTACTATGGTCAGGTGGACGTCTGTAAACATGTCAAAATGAACTGCTAGACAATAATTATGCCATGTTTTTGTATGAAAACCAATCTGAAAATAGCTATAAACTTGTTCAACATAACACTAGATAAAACTTCTTTTCAGTCAAAAAGGGATTACATCATAAATACTTCATCTTGGATAGTAACAAAAAAAGGTTTTCTTGTAACAAAAAAAGGTTTTCTTGTAGTTAACTTCTTAGTGGAATTTGTTACACACCACTTATGTGAATATTATAATTATATTTAAGATAATTTTTGTTTTGTGAAACCTGAATTTGTACTGAACCTTAAGTTGATAAACAACAATACTATAGTATTTTGTCAACAGGATCTGATTGAATTCTGTCTCTTAAATTTAATCAGAGGATCTGAACATCAATTGATTTATTAAAGTTATAATGGAAATTTGCTGTTTTATAATAACTCATGGATTAGTGATTATGCACATTCTTTGGGACAATGCTTTTCTCACAAAATGTCTGTATCAAAGGACTTTTATTGTAACATGTCATTTTATAATACATTGTTAAATCCACTAGGATTGACTTTCAGACTTTTTTTGTCCATCTTCAATATATGATAATGTAGTATGTCTCTATAACCCTACATTCTAACAGTATTGTAATATTCATCTCTCACCAGAGGCAACATCTATTATTAGGACCTTGTTTTCACTGCTTAAGAATGGCCTTTTCACAGAAGTACTGCATTTAATAAAGATCTAGTGATAAAAATAAGGTCTATTACATTTGATAGTCTAGTAAAAGTATTTTTTGACAAAGTGAAAAATTGTCTACAGCTGTTATATCAAATAGGTAAAGTTTTCTTTATTTACCTTGAAGTATTTTTTGCCAGAAAGTTTTTATCCAGCCTGACGTAACAGAGTTTAAATATTCCATGCCTTAATACATGGTACTTCTATTGTCAACTGTATGACAAATGAATATACACAATAACGAATCAGTAATGAACAAGAATTGGAGCAAAATATAATAATAATAATGTATGATAACATGTCAAAAATATAATAAGCCTGGTAAACACAAGATTTTTATCTTTTACTAAATTAGATAAAACCTGTGTTCATACTACTTCAAATTTACTATAACTGACCCAGTTTAACATTCATACTTTAAAAGTATTTTGTCAATATTTAAATGCCCTTATAAGTCATGTAAATGCTATGCAAGTTATGCCAGAGACACAGTATGTTGTGATGTTACAAATCAGGTGTACCCCACGACACTTACCTACACCCATAGAATGAGTAAAATACTTGAATGCATCTGGTGACTATAAACTACAATGATAGGTATCAATTTCTATTGTAATATGATCAGATACAGTCATCCTGTTATTTCCTGATCAAATACTTCCCATCTCTTTTATTATATCCTGATATACAGTTTTTAAATGACATATAAAAACAATGTGACAGATCAATTTTGTCTTAAAGTTATTTTTTCATTCATCAAATTTAATGGGGCCATTAGGGATACCTAAAAAATCTTCACTTTAACACCAGCTGAAAACTTGAGCAGAATATTCTTGTTCTCTTTTATAAAATAAATTACGTTAGTTTATTTTGTGTATTAATATCTAAATTAAATTTCTTAATTTTTAGCATGCAAAATTTTCTAGATATCATCAATTTTCCCTACTAACTTAATAGCAAAAATTTAATTTTTATTTTCTTCTAAATGCACAATAAACACTCTTACCAATTCCAGATAATATGAAGTAAGGAAATTGTTTAAAACTTCTACATGTAATCTATTCAACAGATTTTGTTCATTTTAGATGTCACCTCTTAATCCAATTAATATGAGATTATCTACATGGTTATGGATTAAATGATTACAAATTAGCTATAGGATGTAAAGATTTCTGGTACATTAAGTAGGAAGTCATTTCCATATAAGATAAAGCTTCATACAAATGTCTGATAAATCTATATACAGAATACAACTAACGCTTCTCAATGATTTCATATCAAAGGGGAAATCTTTTGTCATATCTACAGACAGTAATAGCCTTTTCCCCCTTTATCAACGAATAATCAAAAAGTTATCCACAAGTTAAATGTGGTTATTTAATGCTGTCCATTAGCTATACTTTTCCAACAACTGGGCATTACAGTGTTTTTGGGTAATTTTGTGATTTCATTTATTAAATTGCTTTTTACTTTCTCCCTATTTCATTATGCTTTCTACTGATGGAATATGTGCTGGATAACATCAGGTCATACACTAATGACAACTATATAACTATTGTGGCATAAAAGTCCATTAATGATAACAAAACTGGCAAGGTCATGGATCATGTATGTCAAAAGGCAATTAAGGGAGAAGGATTCAAAAAGGGTCTTACTAATTTCATAATATACACAGTCAGAAAAGGTAAACGACTCAAAGAAAGGCATACCTTGATTATCAAAATAAAGAAATAAGGATTTGTACCAGTTCAGGAAAAAATTTCCACAATAACAACAATATATTCCCTGTTATACACTACTTTAAAACTAATAATATCATAATCATATTTCTCTCTTGTTTATGAATGAATTGATGCTAAAATTACAACTTTTAAAAATCATTCCCATTTTCAAATGAGCAACATACTGGTTTAATCAGCCATTTTCCTTCCCCGTTTTATATTTAGTTCGTATAAATATAGTCTTTTCTTACCTTAAGCATACTTTAATTCACCTGGAGTATAATACACTAGAGTGTATAGTTGGAAATAAACATCATTTAGTCACATTTGATAAAAAAAAAATACCTTCATATCTATAATTCCTAACATGCCTATCTAAAGAACTTTAGGTTTATTTCAAATAATTAAATTCAACATGTTCTGAGCAGCAAACATCTTAAAAATTAAAGAATAAAGCTGTCAAAACCAAGTAATAAAAAATTTTGCATTTTGAATCCCTTGATTGAAATAAAAGAATAAAAAAATTCTATTACTGATTGCTCCTAGTCTTTATTAATGCATTAATAGAAAGTAGAGCTTATATAAATGAGACAGGAACACAAAAACACAAAACATTAAGAATTCTTGAATAGTAGTCAAGCATCCATAATACTTGATTCTAGACAACATAGACAAGGTGTGAATAGTAGTCAAGCATCCATAATACTTGATTCTAGACAACATAGACAAGGTGTGAATAGTAGTCAAGCATCCATAATACTTGATTCTAGACAACATAGACAAGGTGTGAATAGAAGTCAAGCATCCATAATACTTGATTCTAGACAACATAGACAAGGTGTGAATAGTAGTCAAGCATCCATAATACTTGATTCTAGACAACAAAGACAAGGTGTGAATAGTAGTCAAGCATCCATAATACTTGATTCTAGACAACATAGACAAGGTGTGAATAGAAGTCAAGCATCCATAATACTTGATTCTAGACAACATAGACAAGGTGTGAATAGTAGTCAAGCATCCATAATACTTGATTCTAGACAACATAGACAAGGTGTGAATAGTGGTCAAGCATCCATAATACTTGATTCTAGACAACATAGACAAGGTGTGAATAGAAGTCAAGCATCCATAATACTTGATTCTAGACAACATAGACAAGGTGTGAATAGTAGTCAAGCATCCATAATACTTGATTCTAGACAACATAGACAAGGTGTAAAAAGTAGTCAAGCATCCATAATACTTGATTCTAGACAACATAGACAAGGTGTGAATAAATTCAACAGAGATTATATAAGATGTGTTATCAGTGCCAAATTCATTAGTGGACACAAACACCAAAATATAACTCCTATGGGTCAGGCACATTAACAAATAGGGGGATAAACTGGTTTTGTGAATAGTAAGTCCTCCTCCTTTTCTAAATCTTAATCAGTAAAAAAACAAAATCTACATATTAAGACTTAAAATTCAATTCAGCTCAGAAAAGCACTGAACTCTACAATAGTGTTTTTAATGACAAGAACACAGGTATAGAATATGATTTTATAAAGAATAAGACAAACATGCAAGGTCAATTTATCTGATCGAATTTCATTAAAACACCAATTTCCCAGTGTAGTATTTGTTTGTATATTATGCACAGTGAACATCATTTGTCTTACCTGTGAAATCAAACACCCACGCAACTGTTTCATTTAAATAATTCCTTTTGGAAAATCTATATAGAATTCCATTAAATCAAACTCAACATGGACAGACACTAATAAAAATTGTCCTGACTACATTTGGTCAACATGCACAAGGCCATAATGTTTAACGATTGGTCATGTGTAACATTTTTACACCTCATTGACAAACCGCAATGAAGATCAAACAACATGACAATAAATTACTGTGATCCCCTAAAGCATTAGTACAGCAAATTACATTTAACTTCACACTGTTACAGTTAATGATATCAAATTGAGGTAATCTGTACAAATATGGGATAGATTCTCATCTATTTAACATTCAAGTCATTGGGATTGATCAGGTTTTCTAGTTAATATTTTATAAATGCAGTCAAATTTCTGGAAAATTCTACTTCATTCAGTTATGCTTTTTGAGGTATTGATTTTATTTTCAATACTTTGAATTGTCAAATTTCACTGAAATTCATTAAAATTAAATAATTGATCACTGAAAATACATAATATGGGATGGAACAGAAAAAAAATTCCTTCACTACCTATATCTTATTGAAATGGCAAATCAATCAAAAAAATAAATGAAAATACTCAATTTTACAATAAATGTCCAGTTGATCAAACAGTATGGAATAAGGATCTAACTGTTGATAAAGATTAAATATTTTTTAACAAATTATGGCAGTCTGTGAATAAATTTGTAACATTTATTGCCATACAACCACACTATAACTAATATCAGGTGATTGAAATGTTTCTTATAATATATAACAAGTTATAATATATAATAAGGGACTGAAATGTTTCTTAAAATATAAAATAAGAGGAAAAAATGTTTTTATAATAAGGGACTGAAATGTTTCTTAAGACACAAAATAAGGGGCTGAAATGTCTCTTACAATATATCAATAAGGGGACTGAAATCTCTCTTACCATATAAAATAAGGGGACTGAAATGTTTTTTTCAAAATATAAAATAAGTGGACTGAAATTTTTCTCACAATATAATTTAAGGGGACTGAAATCTTTCTTACGATATAAAATAAGGGAGCTGAAATGTTTCTTACAATATAAAACAAGAGGCTGAAATGTTTTTTTACAATCTAAAATAAGGGACTGAAATGTTTATTGCAATATAAAAGGGGACTGAATTGTTTTTTTACAAAATAAAATAATTTTCATATAATATAATATAAAATAATGAATGTCAATGAGACTAATATTTGTTTATATGATTATGGACTCCAAGCCAGATCCTGTTCTTCTCTATAAGATTAATTGAAGTATTACATGTGAACAATCCAGTAAACTTAGCCAGCTATCACGCTTCTTCTTTCACATAAAAATAAGAAGATGTGGTATGATTGCCAATGAGACAACTCTCCACAAGAGACCAAATGACACAGAAATTAACAACTATAGGTCATAGTCTACATACAATATATCTCTCTATCACATCAATGAATTGGAAGTTTAAGATCTGAAGACACGTTTTAACATGCTTTAATAATACAATATTAGACACTTATCTGATTTTTACTAGTTAAATGTAGGATTTTTTCAATTTGCAAAATTTGAACACTTTCTTGCACCAATCAATCTTTATGAAATAGTTTGATTACAATTTTCTTTCAAAGTTATGGCCTGAAACTACATACTGTAACTTCATCTTTTAACCAGTTTATGAATTATAAACATGATGATTTTTTTGCAATCCAACTCATTTTTTTATCTTTTATCAATGAGTTATTTCAGTCTATTCTCTTAAATTCCATTAAATTGAAATGGCATCACTTAGACTTATAAATTAAAATATGAAAAACTTGACCAAAATATAAATATACAATTTAACTGGATAGACATTTCTTCTGATGTGGATTCATTTAATTTCATGGGTACCAATTTTTGTGATTTATAGTGAAAAATGTATTTTCATGGATATTTGATTTTGTGGTTTTTCAGTCCACATACAAGCCTATACAAAATTTGTTTTAGTTGAACATTTAATTTTGTTGTTTACTTATAACCACAAAATCCAGAAAAATTGGTATCCCCAGAATAACAAGAAATGATTGTAACAGGATGCTGTTACGAAGTCTCCCAAACGAAGCTCCCATAATTCGTAATTCCCAGGGTCGCCTGACATTGGGCAAAGTCCAGTGAAAATTGGTTTGGTCCAGTAAAGTTATATGCATTAATGATGCCTGGGGACTAACCCTGTGTATCATTCAAATCATCTTGGCATGACAAACCAGAATATGTATGGTTTAGGGGTGGGGATCTCAACCATTTACAAGATACAAGAACAATGGGGGTGGGGGGAACCCCTGGGGACTGACCCTATACGTCATTCAAATGTTCAAGACATGACAAACAGGAATATATATGGTTTAGGGGTGGGAATCTCGACCATTTACAAGATACTAGAACATTGGGGGTGGGGGGAATCCCTGGGGACAGACCCTATACGTCATACAAATGTTCGAGACATGATGAACAGGAATATATATGGTATAGGGGTGGGGATCTCGACCATTTAAAAGATATTAGAACTTTCTCAAATGGCAGGGGGTCGGCATGACCCCTTGGGACTAACTCTGTATATCATTCAAACCATCTTCGCATAACAAACAAGAATATATATGGTTTAGGGGTGGGGATCTCCACCACTTTCAAGATATTAGAACTTTCTTAAATGGCAGGGGGTGGGGGTGACCCATGGGGACTAACCCTGTATATCATTCAAACCATCTTCACATGACAAACCAGAATATATATGGTTTAGGGGTGGGGATCTCGACCACTTACAAGATATTAGAACTTTCTTAAATGGCAGGGGGTGGGGGTGACCCCTGGGGACTAGCCCTGTATTTCATTTGATGTGCTTTATCATGACAAACCAAAATATATATGGTTTAGGGGTGGGGATCTCGACCATTTAAAAGATATTAGAACTTTCTCAAATGGCAGGGGGTCGGCATGACCCCTTGGGACTAACTCTGTATATCATTCAAACCATCTTCGCATAACAAACAAGAATATATATGGTTTAGGGGTGGGGATCTCCACCACTTTCAAGATATTAGAACTTTCTTAAATGGCAGGGGGTGGGGGTGACCCATGGGGACTAACCCTGTATATCATTCAAACCATCTTCATATGACAAACCAGAATATATATGGTTTAGGGGGTGGGGATCTCGACCACTTACAAGATATTAGAACTTTCTTAAATTGCAGGGGGTGGGGGTGACCCCTGGGGACTAGCCCTGTATTTCATTTGATGTGCTTTATCATGACAAACTAGAATATATATGGTTTAGGGGTGGGGATCTCGACCATTTACAAGATATTAGAACTTTCTCAAATGGCAGGGGGTTGGGATGACCCCTGGGGACTAACCCTGTATATCATTTAAACCATCTTCACATGACAAACCAGAATATATATGGTTTAGGGGTGGGGATCTTGACCACTTACAAGATATTAGAACTTTCTTAAATGGCAGGGGGTGGGGGTGACCCCTGGGGACTAACTCTGTATATCATTTAAACCATCTTAGCATGACAAACCAGAATATATATGGTTTAGGGGTGGGTTATCTCAACCATTTACAAGATATTAGACCTTTCTCAAATGGCAGGGGGTAGGGATGACCCCTGGGGACTTACCCTGTATATCATTCAAACTATCTTAGCATGACAAACCAGAATATATATGGTTTAGGGGTGGGGATCTTGACCACTTACAAGATATAAGAACTTTCTTAAAAGGCAGGGGGTGGGGTGACCCCTGGGGACTAACCCTGTATTTCATTTAATGTGCTTTATCATCTAGAACATTTTCAATTAAAAAGATTGTGTCTATCACAAACGGTTTTCAATTTATAATCAATTGAAAATTTTTAAAAATAAAATCCCATAGGGTTCTATAGTAAAACCCTCCTTTCTGTTTGCCCCCCAAAGTACCCCTTTATAAACCCCATTGCACAAACAAAACCCTGATTGCACCACTAGACATGTTAGTCTAACATATTGTGAAACCCTAAGTTAATCTGACAAGCGGTTTTGGAGAACGGGTGCGGACAAGTTCAAATTTAAAAGCGGCGGAAGAGGAAGAAGAAGAAGAATAATAATAATAATAAGAACTGAGCAAAACCAATAAGTCTTCCCAAACTTCGTTTGGGAGACTTAATAATGTATCAACAGTATTTGTTTTACTTTCAGGCCCAAAAAATGTTTTGTCTGTGTCTATCAATTATAAGATGATTTTTTTTCTTCATTTCTTCTGAAACTCCTATTGTGACGTCATGAAAAAAGGTGACCATGCCTGATGACGTCACATATAAAGAACACAACTTTCTGCAAATCTTCCTCATATATTATGATATTTCTCCACTCTCAACAGTTAAATTTTAATTATTTAAAAAGCTCTGCAAGCCTCGCGCTTTAAATATTAAAATTTAACTGTCTGGAGTGGAGAAATATCGTAACACACTTGTTGCAGTGATGGAATCTATATATAATACTGTAAATTCAGAAATTATTGCGAGGTTTTTATTAATGCGAATAATGCGACTGGGTGACTATCGCAATAATAAGAACTTGCATTCTGATATCTGTTACATATATCTGTATGCAGATTTTCATGATATCGCAATAATTAATCTCGCATTTTTGTCCATTCTTGAAAAATCGCAATAATAAATGCACGCAATAATTTCTGAATTTACAGTACCCTCCTGACCTTTAGACCAAGATTAATCCCTGTTGTGTTTTTTCTTTTATGAATCTTGGGACCTCCACCCATTGATAAACCTTTCCAGTCTTTCAGCAATAGTTTTGCTAGACACACTTATTTGCTAGCTACATTTACCCTCCATGTATGACTGTTTCTATACTTCTCAAGAGTGATATTTGAATATACCTACCTTTCCTGTTTGACTATTGATGACTGTCACAGATGGACTTGTGGCTACTATCTGACTGCTATTACCAATATAGTACTTAAAACAAACTTTGGTATTATCTGGAAATATAGATTACATTTGTTATAGATAGATAAACAGCAGAATTGTATTTAATAAATTTCCCTAATTTGGGCTTTTACTTTGGAATATGTCGAAATTTTGATTATCTAAAAAAAATTAAATATATTTATATTTCAATCATTTATTCATTTCAAACAAGAATACCAAAATTCACATCAGCACTTTTCATGACGATGCTGCCGCCTGCCGGACGACGACAACGACACCAACGTCAAACCAATATACGACCGCAAAAATTTTTGTGGTCGTATAAAAATTGATCCTTTGACAGTCTAATATTTACAACATATATGACATAAGGAGAATATTTACATCATAGAGATAAAATATAATGGAATTTTTATGCGACTGTCATACAAGTGAGAGGTTTAGCTAGCTTTAAAACCAGGTTTAATCCACCATTTTCTACCTAAGTACACAGTACCAAGTCAGGAATATGACAGTTGTTTTCCATTCGTTTGATTTATTTGAGCTTTTGATTTTGCCAATTGTTAAGGGACTTTCTGTTTTGAATTTTCCTTGGAGTTCGGTATATTTGTTATTTTACTTTTCCAAATCACACATTTTATAAAAAATCACAAGTGATCATACAAAAAGTTTGCCCCCACCCTGTAATCCTATAATTTAAAAATAAGAAGATGTTGTATGATTGCCAAGGAGACAACTCTCCACAAGAGACCAAATGACACAGAAATTAACAACTATAGGTCACTGTACAACCTTCAATAATGAGTAAAACCCATATCGCATAGTCAGCTATAAGTATATTGAAATAACTCAATTAAATTATCTCCCTTTAACATATGTACATCCTTTACACCTAATTTTCTTCACCTGTTAAAAGTTTCATCAACATCAACATCAGTCAAGGCATATGGACAGACAGATGGAAACACAGACAGACGTACGGAAACAGCAGAGTAACAGATAACCTCTTGGTAAACTACCTTTACCAATACTGTAACCTGATATGGGAAAGACAAGCAGAATTTGGGACAGAAAGACAGAGACCAGAAAACTATCATAGGTGGGGCATAATGACAGAAGCACCATGGGTGCATAATCTCAAACTCTTTTATCTAAAAATTTGTATGCAGTATTTCAAAGTAAAATGCCTGTTCCAACTGACAGTCCAACTAACAGAATCTACTGTATATCTTATACTTTTTTTAATGATTTTGACTTGAGAAAATAAATGTAAAGACCTTTGAAGCTGAGCACTATGCTTTAAATTCAAATACATTGAAAAAAACAAATGCATAATTCATGGAAACTTCAGAACAGTGCTTTTTTTCAATTGGCCTTCCATACAACATAGTTTAATAATATTAGAATGTGCACAAATCACAATGCTTAACATGCTTTATGTACATTGTAAGAATAATCTTTGACATTTATATATAATAATTGCACATCTGTGGATAGATTTAATTTCAGGGATACCAATTTCCATGATTTCAGTGGATTGAGGGAAATTGCATTGTAGTAAAGTGCAATTTTTCATTCAATCTAGGACCATTACTCACAAACTATGCTTACAAGGACCTGACAACACTCTGTTTTATTTTCAGTTCTGATAACTTACAAATCAACCAATGAAATGTCTGCTTTCAAATTTTTGAGGGTGTGTTTCATTACAACAAAACCTGAGGATCCTGATCAGTCATTAAAACAGAGAAAAGATAGATTAGTCAGATCCTTTTAAGCAAAGGGTGGACATAGGATCACACAAAGCTATATACTTCAAGACTTAGAGCATATCAGGAAGTTATTTTATATATTTTATTTTATTTTCTCTAAAAAAAAGTCTTGAATTGACCAAAGTTGGATTCTCCATTTCTGTATGTGGCTTTCCTATAGTTGTAAAGGTTCAATATTTTTCATGCTTAAACAGGTTATACATGTAAAGTCAAAAGTTACAAAATGAAACTTTTGTAAGAGGGATGTGCATGACATTTCTTTAAATAGAAATAAGCCTATGTTCCAGAAACCAGTTATGATATCTAAGCTAACAGGTTTTCAATTTCAAGATTTTGAAAATCTTATACTGTGGATTCATTTATTTTTGTGGGTACTAATTTTAGTGGAATCAGTAAAACTTGCATTTTCGACTTCCTGGGCTCTCGGTCATAAAACTCAGTACTCGGAGTACAAAATTTGTGCTTGAAACACCAAATCCATGATTTTGATTGGTTGATTTCTGAGTCTGAGTACGAAAATCGTGCTCGAAAGTTTTATGACCGCAAGGCCTGGATATTTAATTTCGTGATTTTGCAAAAGTCTGCATACATGCATACAGAAAATTCTTTATTTGTTGAACACTTAAATTCATATTTCACCTGTACCACAAAATCCATGAAAATTGGTCCAACAAATAATAATGAATCCACAGTCATTAATAGTAGTCAAAATCATTGATATTTTATGTCATGCATTGTTGTATACAAAGACTGTCCATGATGTAGCTTTGTAATCAAGGAGCATGTTGTAAAAGTTTATTTTTCACACATATCTGTTCAAATGTAACTTAAAATTTTGATGGGTTATTTTTCTTTTGCATTATTGGTATTTTAATGAAACACATAACAAACTGAAAAACATTTAAAACTTTAGCATTAATTATGTTGATGTTATTTCAATAATATTTATCAAAATGAAACCCAATTAGTCTTTATCGAGGAGGTGTTTGTAATATCATGGGGGTGGGCATGGCCAAATCAAATAGAATTAAAGTTCAAACTATGGTTCAAAAGACATGAGGAAAACAAAATTTTATTAAAATTTCACAAAATCAAAAGCTGCTGTGACATTTCACTTATTCACCCCAAAATAAATAAGTGTCTTCCTCTCTCCATTGGGAATAATCAAAACAAGTTTGGTAATAATTGGACATACAGGTCAACAAAAAACACCCAGTGACAAAATTTTGATAACATTTTAGTTTATGAATAGCTGCTATGAATTTGAAATTTTAGACCCCTAAATCAACAGGGGTCTTTCCAATCATTTGAGGGGCATTATCAAACCAAGTTCAGTAAAAGTTAGACATATGTTTCAAAAGATAACAACTGGAAACAAACTTTTGACCAAAAGCTGATGTGGCCTTGAAGTTTGACCTAGTGACTCTCAGTCTATTTATAGCTGATGTGACCCTGACCCTATGACCCCAAAATCAATAAGGATCTTCCTTTTCTTGTGGGCTACTACCATGCCAAGTTTGATCAAAATATTCTTAATGGCTGTCTTTGTTGCAATTCAGCAAAAAAAAAATAGTTTAAAACAATGCATGTAAATAAAAGTTCTCAACTAAATATTGATCAACAAAGCAAAACCATCATTGCTGCCAATCTTCAGTATCATAACCATCCATACTATAAGTATAAAATAGTAGAACTGCTCACCTTCTGTGAATTTGTACATTACATCATGTAGATCCCAAAGAAGTTCTCCTGTCTGTCCTCCATTTCCTCCACGACCTTTACTGTCCCAAAATTTAGACTTGTCACTTTCCCCTGATAATAAAATATAGGGATTAAGTAAAGAACAAGTATAGGCAATAATAGAAGTCATCTTCATTTTTTGTGTTACAACAGCTATTTACATGAAAACAAATCTCATAATTACCTTCCAATTTCCCATATTTTTACAAATTGGTAAAGGTAATTAAGAGGGTAGTGTATGTATAATGACAATGATATTAACTGTTGTTCCAAGGTTATTCAGTTTAAATTCAACCTTTTAGATGTATAGTGAGTCACTTAGAAACTGTGTAATAAAATAAGAGTGAATGTTGATGAATTTTAGATGATAGAACTTGTAGTTCTGAGGTAAAATATTTTATAAAAGAGAGGCGATAGATACCAAAGGGACATTCAAACTCATAAGACGAAAAATGAACTGACAATGCCATGGCCAAAAAAGAAAAGACAAACAACAGTACACAAACCACAACATAGAATACTAAGGATAGAGCAACACAAACCCCACAAAAAACTGGGGGTGATCTCTGGTGCTCTGGAAGGGTAAGCAGATCATGCTCCACTTGTGGCACCATCGTGTTATTCTTATAAGTACAAACCCGATGATAAATCTAATTCTGTAGGTCACATTTGGGGAAAAGAGGACAGGATTGAGGTAACGACAATTATAGATGTACTTTATATACAGACAGATATTCCAAACAGAATAATCAAAACCAGTGATTTAAAAATAAATAAAAGAACAGAGTTCCAATGTCCCTCGAGTTGCACATATTTAATCTGTTCTGTCCAAGGACAATAACTAAAATTTTTTTTTAGTTTTCTAAAACTATTGAAATTATCTTACTAAGGAGTTGAAGACTTGAGAGCAATTTCCGATATATTTTTATATTTCCAAAGGAAACTCATTATTAATATTTGATCAGTACTTATTTTTGAAATTGTCTGAGACATTACAATTATACCTTTGATATGAATTTGATAGAAATCTGGAAAAAATTGTACATGCGAGAGCACTTCCAATGCAATTTTCCATATAATCAATGTTTCCAAGGGGCATAACTCTTTTAAAAATAATTAATCGGCACAGATTTTCAAACTCGTTAAAGACATTGCTGATATAAACCAATGATATAAGTTTCATAAAATTCTGGCAAGAATTGTACACATGAGAGTTTTAACGATGCAATTTTCCAAATTATTTATGTTTCCAAGGGGCATAATTCTTTTAAAAATTATTGATCGGCACTGATTTTCGTACTTGTCCAAGACATTGCTATTATTAACCTATATTATAGTTTCATAAAAATCTGGCAAGAATTGTACAAATGAGAGCACTAACAATGCAATTTTCCATATAATTAATGTTTCCAAGGAGCATAACTCTATTAAAAATAATTGATCAGCACTGATTTTCAAACGTCCAAGACATTGCTGATATAAACTTATGATATAAGTTTCATAAAAATCTGGCAAGAATTGTACACGTGAGAGCGCTAGCAAGACCGGACAGACAGATGCCCAGTATTTCTATGTCCCTCGCAACATGTTATGTGGGGACAATAAATCTGAGCAAACTATACATATGTTTTAACACAGCTTCTAATTCAATCTTTTCTCATGTTTCTGGTCTACTTTTGCATCAACCATAATTTTTTTAAACATTCATGTGCATTAAATGTACAGTTAATTGTTTGCGAGTATTTGTAAAGATCATTAAGCATATGCTAAAAATGAAGTCTGGTTGCTGAAATATTTCAGATCATTATACATTTGGTATACATGTTTAGTCTTGTTGCTGATATTTGTATTGATCATTATACATGTTATACGCATGAAATAAATGTATAGTCTGGTTACTGATATCTGAAAGGATCATTATTCATTATAAATGTGAAATAAATGTATAGTCTGGTTACTGATATCTGAAAGGATCAATATACATTATACATGTGAAAATAAATGTATAATCTGGTTAGTGATATCTGAAAGGATCATTATACATTATAAAAGTGAAATAAATGTTAGTCTGGTTGTTGATATCTGAAAGGATCAATATACATTATACATGTGAAAATAAATGTATAATCTGGTTAGTGATATCTGAAAGGATCATTATACATCATAAAAGTGAAATAAATGTATAGTCTGGTTACTGATATCTGAAAGGATCAATATATACATTATACATGTGACAATAAATGTATAATCTGTTTAGTGATATCTGAAAGGATCATTATACATTATAAAAGTGAAATAAATGTTAGTCTGGTTGCTGATATCTGAAAGGATCAATATACATTATACATGTGAAAATAAATGTATAATCTGGTTAGTGATATCTGAAAGGATCATTATACATTATAAAAGTGAAATAAATGTTAGTCTGGTTGCTGATATCTGAAAGGATCATTATACATTATAAAAATTTAAGTGAAATAAATGTATAGTCTGGTTACTGATATCTGAAAAGATCATTATACATGTGAAAATAAATGTATAGTCTGGTTGCTGATATCTAAAAGAATCATTATACATTATACATGTGAAATAAATGTACATGTATAGTCTGGTTGCTGATACCTAAAAGGATCATAATACATTATAAATGTGAAAATAAATATATAGTTTGGTTGCTGATATCTGAAAGGATCATTTTACATATAAATACATGTGAAATAAATGCAGATATTTGAATGGATCATAATATATCATCACATGTCCAATAAATGTATAGTTCAGTTGCTGATATCTGAGAGGATGATCATATCCCAGAAACAAATATATATAAATATATTATGGATAATTTTACATTTTATAAATGTATAGCCTGATATCTTTCTATACATGTAATTCTGACATACCTGAAGAATATAAACCTATCCAATCATCTGCACTCACATCTTCTTTTATGTCCCATGTTACTTTTATTGTTGGGTCCTTTGACAAATCAACTGCTCTTGTACTAACATCTAGGAATGATAGATTTTGTGGTGAACCAGCAGTAAGGTCATTTTCACTGTTGCTTCTCTCCCTTATATGAACTCTCTCCAAATGTGGAGACTGTGGAATAGGCAAAGATAAATCATCTACAGCACAGTTGCCTAAGGAGCTTGATGCTTCTGCCATATTGGATTCAACTCTACATACTGAATTTGCCTTCCCTTAAGTTTACAATCAACCCATTTTTGCTGACTGTCCTCAACTAGATGTAAAATCTTACAAGATCCAAACTTATCTGCAAATATATACGTAATAAACATGATAAACAAATTTTTTTGGTTATAATTCATAATTCCACAAATGCAAGGAATACATACAATGCAACAAATTTGATTAGCCATTATTTTGTGCATTAGAAAAACATTTCCTGGTAACCTGCTGCATTTTGATGATGCCCTTCCCTTTTTTCTGGAAATATTTAAAGCCATGTCCCTTTTCAGTTGTATTTTATAATGACCTGGTATAATTTATGATACAAAATGTAGATGCAGCATTTCACCTTTAAATAACACCATTTCCAGTTTATATTTCCCTTTGATCATGTTGATCAAAATAAAAAATTGTAATGGCCGAAATTTCACAGAATTTTGTAATTACTTTTGAACAGTTTTAAAGCAAATGAGTACCTTTAAATCTGGAACAGCCCTAACAAAAATTCTCTGTAGCCAATTCAAAAAACCTTGGAAAAAAGGTGAAAAAACTATGCAGTGATCATAATGTTTTTCCTAGGCTATTTCAAAATAGCAGCTATTCATTTATTTCGGCCACAATGCTTTGATTAGCAAACCCTACGCTTCCCGCTTCGTGAAAATAGTATCTGCCATGTATATTTCTTATTGATAAGGGAATTGACAAGTGACAGGTGATCACACGTTTTGAAAATCACCCAACTGATAATAGGCAACACATGGTGTGCTGGAAATTTAAAAGCTCACAGACACTAGTAAAAGTTAATAGAGGCCTTCAACACAAAACAATATCCATAGACCATAGTGTATTGTTAAGCTTTAATAGGCCCATCTAAAGTACAGGTCAAGAAAAGTCCAATGCAGTGAAAATCCCATTAAAGGCAATTGTGGGTCTCCACATATGCATGTCTCTCATACTTATATTTCTTATTAAACAACTATTCAATAATTGATTCTCCTTTTTTCCTTCCAAGAATGACAATATGTTTATTTGTTATTGTCTGTCATCAAAATTATGTAAATCAAGCACCTTAATCAAATGGAAACATTCCAAATGTCTTAACCAAGTGCAATCTAAGAAACTTGTGTCCTTGTGTTCACAGTAAATGCACACATTATGATAAGGCCATCCAAAAAAGATTGTGGGTTCCCCTAAACCTGCAGGGTCAGTTTTTTTGGTGTCATCCGTAAAAAAAAGAATTGATTCACTTTTCATACCATTTTCAATGAAGAAATTATCAGACAATTAAAGCATCATTGAAAATTGTCCGAAAAGAGGGTCAATTCTTGGACTTGTTTGACATCATATCTTTTTCAATACATATAATAGTTTACAATAGCTTATAACAAAATTAAGAACAAAATATTATGTCGAACAAGTTAACTTCACAAATTTCCTGTTAGTGGTTTAAGAAATAATTCTCTGTAGAGCAAAACTGCATGTGCCTTGTTTTCATTTTTTTCACAGGAAAATCAAATGTAATGAAACTTTTTCCTGCCTGCTGACCCTTTCAATTTTTCTTGTGTAATATGTGGTCTATGGATATATCATTTCAACTTTGGAATCTGAGTCAAAAATACTTATTGAGTGGTTCCGGGTGAATAAAATGCAAGCAAATCCCGAAAAGTTTCAAGTTTTGGCTGTTGGCAAAAAGACCTTTGAACAAAACCCATCTATACATATTCAAAACTCTAATCTTACATGTGAAAAAACAGTAAAATCATTAGGCATTGAAATTGATTATCAGTTAAATTTTGATGTTCATATCAGCTCAATCTGTAGGAGGGCATCACAGCAATTAAATGTTTTAAAACGTTTGGGCTCAGTTTTGGATAGACTTAAATTAGTAAACTTACTATTTTTCATACTTTTATTCTTAGTAATTTTAATTTTTGTCCTTTGGCATGGCATTCTTGCACCGAGAAAAATTCCAAAAAATCAGAAAAGGTGCAGGAAAGAGCACTCTGTTTTGTATATGAGGATTTTACCAGCCCCTACGAGGACCTCTTACTTAAAGCTAAGGTGCCCTCCTTGCAGATCAGACAGATTAGAAAAATGGCTCTAGAAACTGTTAAGATTATAATATAAATAATATAGCTCCTGTGTGCTTACAAAATTTGGTGAGTGTCAATAAATCTAAGTATTCTCTCAGGTATGTAAATATTCTGGATGTTCCACAGGTAAAGTTAACCCCTTACGGTAAAAAATCTTTCAAATTTGTTGCCGCTACTTTATGGAACAGCCTTCCAAACCATTACAGGACTGAAAATAGTTTTTCACATTTTAAAAGTCTTGTTCAGTCCTGGAACGGTTTGGAATGTCGCTGTTCTGCTTGCAGATAATTCTTGAGATGTTTTATTATTTATGTTGCTTCTGGTTGCTCTGGTCTAGCATGTTTTATTTCATTTTAAATTTGTTGCTAAATTTTTATTGCATGCTATGTAAGTGAGATTTAACTTCGTATTACAGGTTGTTTTATATGTCAAATTAGACTGTTTTTATGTTATGTATGTTTTTATATTCGGTCAAAAGCTCCTTAGAGCTTGTGTTGTGTCTTTTAACTTATGCCGAATCAAAATAAAGTTTTCTTATCTTATCTTGTTAAGGAGAAATCAACATTCAATTTTAAATGGCCTAACATGAATTTTTGTAAAATCCCTCTTAAAAAAAAAATTTCTGTCAAAACACTAAATGCATATAAGTAATAATGTGGCCAAATTGTCTATGGAAAAAATGACTACGGTCGAAAAAAAACAGGTACACCGATAACCAAAAAATTGGTTAAGATTTTTAACAGATTCTGAAAGGCTCCTAATAAGTCTTCTATACTATAGTGAATTCCTACCTGCATATAGTAGGGTGTACGGAATGGTGCTGTATTTGTAAAGACACCAGTTCAAGGTTTGGTAGTTTATAAAAAAAAATCCCTGACAGAATTAATAGGGCTTAATAAGGGGTTCTGAGGGGTGGCCAAAATCAGAAAATCGCTCTGGGCACAGAATTCCAAAAGGCCCAACCTGTATTCTGTAAACATATTCATAGAATTTTCTTATTCAGCATGTATCATGAACAATCCATCATGTAGAACATTTTATTATGTTCCAATCAAGTTTTCCTACATGTGGCGTGAAGTCTTGTAAAAGTTTTCATGTGAATATTTTATAAATAACATGATATAAAAAGCAAAAATTAGTCAAGTGGACCTCATATTACTCCTGTCTTCTTCCAAAAAAAATTGCGGGTGTATACATGAATGCAAAAACCTCGCGTTTAGAACATAAATCTGATATACCCTTTTCTATTTAACCTCAAAGTTGTCATAGAATTATGAAAATATTTTTCTGACATCAACTTCGAGAATCAGACTTCCTGCAGACTCCATTCTGAATGATGATTCATGGGAAAGTAACAACTTCCGGTAATTATTTTGGCGCGGAAAAACAAAAACAAAGTTGAGAGAGTATTCCATGATAAATTCATGTATTATAAACATGACATCAACAGAGTTTCCTGAAACGTTTGAAGCATTAAAAGATCTACAGAATCTGTTAAAGTGTAAATCCTGGTATGAAGACTGAAAGGAAAGAAGGCGTTTCGGCAATTTACCAGTTCGGCCATATGCCGATATGGAGCCTGTGCAGCCCAATTATTTCATTACAATTTTATTATAATTGAAGAACAGATTTTTCATTCATTATATTTTACTGCCAAATTAAAATTACTTTCTCATACTTGCAGTCATATATCATAGGACTTCACATATTCTTGTTACATTTTTATACGCCTGTCAAAGTCCAGACGTTTTATGGTTTACCAATATGGCAATAAACCTTATCACTATTTGGGAATCTGTGACTCTTGAACCATTGATGCAATACAACAGTCACTTTTTCTTTGTGGCGTCAATACTTTAATACAACTTTAGAATTGACGGAGGAAAGCTCCTTTTCAAATTTTTTTATTTTTGGCTTTGTTATTCCAGAAAACAAATATAAGAATCTTAGATTTGAGGCAGTGTTTTACAAATCTCTCACTCCAGTATTCCTGAATATTGATTTCCTTCAAACTTTTTTGTGGGGATTGTTGACAGGAAACTTCCTTGTGATTTTCTTTATTTTCTGGTTTGTTGTTCCAGAGTTAAGGAACTTAAAGTAAAACTGCTATTACATTAAAGACACTTTTTCACAAATTGCACACTAACTCCAGTATTCATGGATTGATTTACTCCAAACTTTACATGTACAGTATTGTGGGAATTGATGATTTATTTTATTTTCCAGTTTGTTCCTCCAGAGTTATAGGACTTTAATTGTCAGATTGGGGGTAAACTTTTCCCATATTGTACCATAATTATAACTTGAGTTTGCTTGGATTTATTTAGTGGAAACTTTACATATTTGTTGGAATTGGTGAACGTAACAACTTTTTGATTTAATAAAGGGTATCCTCGTGCATGCTTTTCTTCAGAGCCATTTTATTCTTTCAACAATTTTAATATGCACAAATAGGGTGTATCATGCACTATCTGTCTGGCTGTTTATTATGGACTTTCTTCTGTGGAACCATCCTTTATAGGATAACCATACAATGTTTGCATGTAAAACAGGTTCACCACCAATAACAAAACACTTTCTACACTAGGAATTGATATTTGGCTTCCCTTATTAATCATTATATATATACACTACATTTTGTGTTAGTTAAAAAAATTAATCATCACACGCTAAAAATTACTTTCCTGCTTTTCCTACCCTGTTCATTTATTGTATTCAGTGTGTAAATATATATAAAGTCACTTTTACTTTGATTCTAAAATGCTCTTAACCCTTTCCTCCATGGAGAATATTTTTTTTACAGCTCTTCTATAAAAGCATGCAAAGTAAACCTTTGATCAACTTGCTTGCTATGTTTGTAAACAAAAGGTAGGTAGTCTGTTTCAGTCTGTTTACTATAAACAGGAATTTGATTGGACAATAAACATTAACTTTATTGCATGTCAATTTTTATTGTCTAATCAAATTCCAGTATATACAAAACAGACTGAAACTCCGCCTACCTATTGTTTACAAACATCCCAGCAAACATAGCAAGCAAGTTGATCAAAGATTTGCTTTGCATGCTTTTATAGAAGAGTTGTAAATACTTCATTCCCATAGGATTTTTCAAAAAAATATTAAAAAAAGCTTACTTTAATGAAATATTGACTGTATCTTAAATAGGCCAGTAAGACTTTTAAAATTTTTGTCAGTCATGTCAGTTATACATTTAAGTCAGATCTTTAAATTTTACCCCCAAAAATGTTTAAATTTAGTTGCCATGGTAAAGGTTTTATCCCTATATAATGAAAAATGTTAATTTTGGGTTAAATCTTGTAACATTAGCTTATTTCTAAGGAAACAATGAGTTAATTGACTGTCTATGAATAAACTGAATGGAAACTTGAATTACTTCATAAAATTGTCCAAATTTTTCCTCATAGCAACCAAAGAAAATTGTGATTAAAATTGAAAAAAATAAGGTTTTTACAGGTTAAACAAATTGACTCATATTTGAAATATGAAGGAAAATTAAACTTTTAATTATTTTTTCCCAGCAACAGTTTCTGTACATAGCAACTAACTAAAAACCTGTTTATAAAGTAAATAAACAGTTGACTGCTAACTATTTTTGAATGATAACAAATGGATATTTCATATGGCAGATTCCATATAAGAAATTGAAATGTCTGTCAAAATGAATAAATAAATAAAAATAATAATTACTGTTATTTTAAAGATAATCTGTGAATGTTTTGAGGAATAATGATGTTAGAAGAAATTATAAAAATAATTTTTGGATATGATTGTTTCTGTTTAAAGTAGAAATGATTAAAACAAGTTGAAAAAATGCAAAAATTTTGACAGAATTAACTCCCATTTTTTTACACAATGTTAATGTGTTGCAATGCTTTATGTTGACACTTGTATACTGGTATTTACTAGTGTAGTCTGGTTATTCAAACATCCCTGTTCCCAAATTTGTTACTTTTTTTAGTCAAAAACATCTGTGATATATATTTTTTTTCACTTTCAAATATCTTGCTTTATAGCTCAGTGTCTGTCAATAAATCTTATGTCAGGAACATTGCTGTAAAAACTTTCAAAATCATTGTAGGTTCCAATATATGCCAGTTAAAACTGTAAGTCATGCTGTGCATAAGAAAAAACACATGTTGATTCTTTCATTTAACTTTATTCAAGCAATAGTTTTAACTTATATGTTTCCTACATAAGATCTGTCAAACTTGTTTTCTTATGTCTGAATCATTTGAATGTGCTAACAGTTAAAGTTCTTTGACCTGTAGTGAAATCTTGTTAGATGTTAGGCTGCAGTATTTTCCAGGAGTTTTAAAAATGACTTTCAACTAGGATTTGATTTCCAATGTCAGTAAAAAAAAAACAAATATATATTGTCTGTCAAAATATCTTGTGTATGAAAAATCTTATGTCAGAATCAAGTCTGTCAAAATCTTATGTCAGAAACTCAATTTGTCTGTCAAATCTTATGTCAGAAATAATAAAGTCTGTCAAATCTTATGTCAGAAAAAATAAAGTCTGTCAAATCTTATGTCAGAAATAATAAAGTCTGTCAAATCTTATGTCAGAAAAAATAAAGTCTGTCAAATCTTATGTCAGAAATAATAAAGTCTGTCAAATCTTATGTCAGAAAAAATAAAGTCTGTCAAATCTTATGTCAGAAACAATAAAGTCTGTCAAATCTTATGTCAGAAACATAATATTTAAGGCTTCGTTTATTTAAAAAGGATGATGCTCATAATTTTTTTTTTGGTCAAATTGTCTTTATCTTTATTAGTAAAGCATGTATTCAAAAACAGAAGTTCATTGCTTATGATTTTTGCCTAACGTGCTTATGGGAGTTGTTTCACTTTCTTATATGGAATCTGCCATATCACAACATTGCACTTGAAAAAAACTTAACATACGTTTGCTCCTAGCGTCCAAATAGTGATGTAAGCAAACAGACTAAAGGTAGGAGGTTAGGCCAACCAGACTAAAGGTAGGAGGTTAGGCCAACAAATAAGTAAATGCAACATAAGTTTTGTTATCAGATATCTTATTTCTTAAAGATAGTCTATAATGTATGTAATATTGTTTAACATTGCCCTTTTTGATACTAGTAGATAAATATCAGTTTGAAAGGCAATATTAGCTGTCCCTCCAATCCTTACATAACTATCATACTTTTAGCCTCTTCATTTTTCTGGTAGAATTCTTGATTAGGTTATAAATCTAAATGGAATAGTCAATTTTGCCTCGACAAAGTTTTATTTGAGTTGATGCATTAATAGATACTTGTATTTAATTTTTGTAGTGGAAAATTAGCTGAAAGTCCATGTACTTTAGGTGGCTGTGAACACATTTTTTGCAAGTAAGTAAATACTGATTACAGTAAAGGTAATGTAATGGCGTCTGCTTATATCTGTGATTATGAACTGTTTATATCTGAGGAGATTCAAGGTGGACATGAATAAATACCTAATACAATTGAAAAAGACACCTTATTTTAGGATTTCATTTGAATGTACAATGTAGACACTGAGGAAGAATCAGTTCTCAATGCAATTTGTTTGTTTGAATCCAATTTTTCAAGCATCTGGACTACTGTCATCATGGTAACGACAGTAGATATAAGTTAACTAGAAAATTACGGCCAAGATGAATATCTTTTTACCTAGTATATTGCTTCTGATAGTAATAGTTAGGATAATCCTAAATAATCAAAGTATGATAAATTGTGTTTAAATGTTGACTTTATTAGTTGGTTAACTTGTGAAATACTGTTTTTGAAGTTTTCTCTATTGAGCTGAAGTCATGACATTTACTTTGTACTAATGTCTTTGTTTTGGTGTCTAATAATTGACATAACCAGACATGTTCCAAATAGCTAACTATTTAGTATGTAGGGTGATACCATGTATATATGTTTAAATGGAGCAGTCATAACGTGTTATTGTATTTTTCAGTACATGTTGTGATATAAACCTAGAAAAGAATGAATGTCCAATGTGTAATATCCATGTGAATGTAAAAGCTGCACAGGTGAACAGACAGATTTATAATGTAGTAAGACTTTGTCAGAGGTTGGAGGATGTTCTGACTGACACAGATAGGAACAGTCATGTACAGACATCAAAACCAGGTATGCTTATACATGATATAAAGGCTTAAAGGATAGAAACTATCATGAAATAAGGTCTTTACATTAAAACAACCTATCAGGGTGAGCAGTTTACAAAATATATACAGTGGACCACAAGACATGAACCTTGACAAGTTGCATTTTGAATTTCTTGTGAAAATAATAAGCATGTCAGAAATTGTTCCTACATGTATATACATAAATGACCAGTCCTTTAAAAGAATGATTTAAAATTGCAAGAAACATGCATTTTTTTCAAACATTTACAATATTAAATGTAGTTAAATTTCTTTCTCAATTAAAATTAGCTTACATTAACTGTGCCTATGCAGGAATAAAAAAGTTTCATAAATTAAGACTTAAATATGATTGATTGTCCCAACATCCCAGAAAAGTAGTTTTTATACAAATTTATGTAATAAATACTTTTGTACAACAAACAGTAGTTATAATTTTAGTGAATATAATACGATTTACCTCTTTTTTTTTTACATTATGATGTAGAGTTGCATTCAGATCTTATGTGTGAAACAGAAACCACAGTAGGACACATTGGTTCATATAGATCCCCAAAAAACACATTAAATTTAAATAAGTTTGATAAAAGCGATGACCATACTTCAAAGAAGAATAGAAAGGAGGAGTTAGTTGTATCCTTGAATGTTCATGAAAGAGGAACACAATCGTCAAAAAATAGAAGAAAAGGGAGAAGTCTTCCAGCAGATCAGAGAACAATGACTCAAATGTTGATGGATTCAGACAGGGAAGAAATTTCTTTAAGTGAAGATGAAGAACACACTCCCAAAAAAAATAAAAAGAAATATAAAATGAAAGTGAACAAGTTACTGAAAAGTGGTACAAAGTATCCTATTGACCAGACCACAATGAGTCAGTACTTTGATTATACTGATGTTGATGATGCAAGTTTTGATAGTCTTCATGGTGGCAAAAATCAAATAATAATAAAAAATGAAACTACCAAAACATCTGATAAAAAGAAGAAATTACACAAAAATCAAACTCGAAATTTAAGAACACGGTCAAAAGACATCAAGGCAAATAATTCAGACACTGCAATGCCTTCTCCTAGTGAGAAGAAAAGAAGGAGGCATTCACTTGGTGCAGTTACAAATAGAGTTCAAGAATTGAGGGATGAACATAAAATGACTGAGAAGAAGGAAAGAAGAAGTTTATCTCCAAATAAACAGAGTAACATAAAATCTAGAAATCATTCTCCTAAGCAGCAGGGCAGTGATACATCTAGAAATCTATCACCACAGCAGCAAGACAAGAGGAAGTCAAAGGACAAGCTGAATATAAGTGTAACAGGAAGTGGGAAAAAAAATGTTGATCCATTGCTGAAAAAAAATGCTAAAGGAGAAACTCCGTTACAAGTAGCTGCTATAAAGGTAAAGGGTCATTTGGCAACTTACAAGTTACTGGACAATTTTTGTCATGAGTCACAAGTTGCCAATATAAGACATTCAAGGTCTTTTAGAATAAATATAATATAAGCATTATATTAAGTTACTCTTAATTTCATGCTGTCCAAATTGACCAAATTATGGCAAATATAACTTGCTTCTTAATCATGTTAATAATAGTTTGGCAACATTGATATTGGACATGTTTAAGATGGTCAGTTGCAAATAATATAATTAAATTTACAATAACAGGTGGGTAATATTATATCATTGGAAGAAATTGTTCTATAGGATTTGGTCAAAGAAAAATAGGAGATAAGAATTCTTTGTAATTTGATGTTTATGTAATCTAAATGAAAATTGTGTGTATGTTTTATTCTTTTAGACGAGTTACATTTACTGAACTGTAAAACAATGTAGTCACTGATGGAACTTAGTATTCAATAGATATAAATGATTTGTATGATTAAATGTAGCTTCATTGGATGTTTCAGGGAGATATTAAAAGAATTGAAGAATTGCTTAAAGCTGGAGCTTCACCCAATGCTAGAGACAATGCAGGATGGACGCCCCTGGTAAGGATACAGTCATAAGTTGGTAACATAAACATTTTCCTGGCCAACCATGGCCAGGGAAAGGGAAATGTAAAGCATAAGGAAAACACTAGTATTTTGGCAACAATGAAAAAAACATTTTTTTTTATGCCCCCCTCAACTGAAAGTTGGGGGGGATATTGTTTTACCCCTGTCCGTCCATCCCATTATGGGTATATAGTTATCCCAGATAACTCCTCCTACAGTTTGAATGCTAGGAAGTTTTCTCTTTGCTGGCTGTTTGTACAGATATTGAAGGTGTACATGTGGTCAGGGCTTTGATTTTTGTTGAGCCTGCGACTTTTGTCGCAAAAGCGAGACATAGCGATCCTACATTTTTGGGCGGCGGCTTCCACAAATATTCACACTGTGGTTAAAAGTTTTTCAAATTTTAATAACTTTCTTAAACTATCCTGGATTTGTACCAACCTTGGACATAAGCTTGTTTATGATCATAAGATAAAAATCCTTGTTATTTTTTCATAGTTTTAGAAAGAAAAAAGGTCCCAATGTTTAATGTATGAAAACTCAAGTGAGAATCATCACCCGCTAAAATTTTCAATAGATTATATAACAAAAGACAAGGTCATGAACCTTTCATATTTATACGCCCGTCAAAATTTTGACGGGACGTATTATGATATACAAATGTCGTCTGTCTGTACTGCGTAAACATGTCGCACCATAACTTGAGAACAACTTATCCAAATTTCATGAAACTTAACATAGTTGTTTCTTATGATGGTCAAATGATCTGTATACTTTTTGGTGAAAATAAGATTAAAACTTTTTGAGTTGCGGGACTTAGTAACTAAAACAGGTGTGTGTTTTTTTTTCACAAGTCGCACCGTATTTAAAAAACGATTTATGATTATTGCTTAAAATTTTACACACTTCTTAGTTATATTAATCTCAAGATCTGTATACTTTTTGGTTTTGATTCAAAATTTTATTTTAGAGATATTGAGTTTGTAAAAAAAAGGGGTTTTCACATGTTGCGCTGTATGTCAGAAACTATTTATGATTATTGCATAAAAGTTCACACACAAGACGACGGATCATGCGCTCATGGCGCAGCTGTTTATTTTTTTTTTTTTACTTTTTAAGTTCCATTATTTATATACTATCAAATTAAAACAGTCTTTTAAAAAGCTTGTTATTTTGAAACAAAGGAGCGAACATCCTTAACAAATTTTGATGACTTAAATTGTTTCTAGAAAAAATGGAGCATTGAAGAAAAACAGTTAACACATTATAAAAAGAAACAAGATGAAAAGACAAAACAGCTGTCAACAAAACACTAACTCCACCAAAAACTAAAGATTGGACCACACTTACTTCACCAAAAACTAAAGATTGGACCACACTAACTTCTCCAAAAACTAAAGATTGGACCACACTTCACCAAAAACTTAAGATTGGACCACACTTACTCCACCAAAAACTATAAATTGGACCACATTAACTCCACCAAAAGCTAAATATTGGACCACACTTATTACCAAAAACTAAAGATTGGACAACACTAACTTCACCAACACTAAAGATTGGACCACACTAACTCAACCAAAAACTGAAAGAAAGATTGGACCACACTAACCACCAAAAACTAAAGATTGGATCACACTAACTTCACCAAAAACTAAAGATTGGACCACATTTAATTCACTAAAACTTAAGATTGAACCTCATTAACTCAACCAAAAACTAAAAGATTGGACCACACTAACCACCAAAAACTAAAGATTGAACCACTCTAACTCAACCAAAAACTAAAGATATGACCACACTAACCACCAAAAACTAAAGATTGGACAACACTAACTTCACCAAAAACTAAAGATTGGACCACACTTCACCAAAAAAACTAAAGATTGGACCACACTAACTCAACCAAAAACTGAAAGAAAGATTGGACCACACTTACTTCACTAAAAACTAAAGATTGGACAACACTAACTCAACCAAAAACTAAAGATTGGATCACACTAAGTTCACCAAAAACTAAAGATTGGACCACACTAACTCAACCAAACACTAAAGATTGGACCACACTTACGCCACCAAAAACTAAAATAATTGGACCACACTAACCATCAAGACTAAAGATTGAACAACACAAATTCCACTTTCTCCAAAAACTATAAATTGGACAACACTGACTCCACCAAAAACTAAAGATTGAACGACATTAATTCCACCTTAATCTATAAATTGGACAACACCTACTCCACCAAAAACTAAAAGATTATACCACTTACTTCACCAAAAACTAAAGATTGGACCACTAACTCCTCCAAAAACTAAAGATTGGACTACACTAACTCCACCTCCTCCAAAAACAAAAGATTGGACAACACTGACTCCACCAAAAACTATAGATTGGACCACACTAACTCAATCAAAAACAAAAGATTGGACCATATTAACTTCACCAAAAACTATAGATTGAAAGACACTAATTCCACCTAAAACTATAAATTGGACAACACCTACTCTACCAAAGAATAAAAGATTGGACCACTAACTTCACCAAAAACTGAAGATTGGACAACACTGACTCCTCCAAAAACAAAAGATTGGACCACACTAACTCAACCAAAAACAAAAGATTGGACCACACTAACTATACCACAAGCTATAGATTAGACACCATTAACTCAACCAAAAAATGACTGTGACCTGAAGATTTAAAAGTATTTACAACACTCAATACTGATGTCCCAAGAAAAAAAGATAAAACTTTTTGTTTATTTTATTTTCAGCATGAAGCAGTTCATTATGGTCATACAGAAATAGCGAAAAAGCTATTAGATCATGGGGCTATGATAAATGTTCCAGGGACAGAAAACGATACACCCCTACATGATGCTTTACGACAAGGCCAGTTAGATTGTGTTAGATTACTTGTGTCTTATGGAGCATGTCTGACTAGTAGGTTAGTGATAATATTTAAGGACAGCATCTGTTTTGTGATGTAAATTTTAGTTACATTATTGTTTAATTACAAAAATGTTTAATATTGCTGTGTAAGTTCATTCTTACAAAGTATCTAAAATCAATAGCAACAAGAAAATTAATATCCAGTGCTTCTTTTACCGAAATGATATACTTTGATATGATAAAAAAAAATAAATGTGTTTACTGACACATCATTATCAGTTGATTAAAAAGTAGGGTTGGAAGTTAGGGAATTTTTTTGTTTCATTTTTGTTTACCTTGAATCTTTTGGGGAAACATTGTTATTTTAATGGTGTGTTATCATGTTAATGGAAAATAAAGTAAGGGGTCAAATATAGGGTAGGTTGGGTAACAGTAAACACACAATTATATTTTTACTAGTCAATGCTTGTTGCATTTAAGAAAAAAAATTCTTGGATAGATTTTTAGATTTTCAATATTAAGTGAAAAGCACTGAATTTCTGAAATATTCTTATTTTTTCTTAAATTCTAGATATTCATCTTGTCAAGCATATTTTGACAGACATGTTAAAGATGTACATTTCAATTATTTCACTATTTCTTTATTGACTAGTGCTTTCAGACATAGAAATATAAAAGAAAAATAAGAACTTAATCACTAAAATTAAACAAGCTATATGCAAATAATATATTATACAATCACTGAAATTAAAAAAGCTATAGGTGGATAATATTTTTATGTCCCACCTACAATAGTAGAGGGGCATTATGTTTTTTCGGTCTGTGCGTTCATTCGTTTGTTTGTCTGTCCGTTCGTCCATCTGTCCCGCTTCATGTTAAAGTTTTTGGTCAAGGTAGTTTTTGATGAAGTTGAAGTCCAATCAACTTGAAACCTAGTACACATGTTCCCTATGATATGATCTTTCTAATTTTAATGCCAAATTAGAGTTTTTACCCCAATTTCACGGTCCACTGAACATAGAAAATGATAGTGTGAGTGGGGCATCCATGTATAATGGACACATTCTTGGATACAGTACATTTGTATTTATAAAAGGTCATATTTTTTAACAAATAACACATGAATAAACAAACAAAATTGCAAGTAGGGACATTGATCTAATATAAAAAGTATGAATTAGCTTACATTTAACAAGCTATAGCAATAAGAATATAAACATGATAAACTTGTTTGTTTTAAACAGAAAAGTATAAATATCTGAATAAATCATTATATTATGAATTTGATATAGAACTGATTATATATTATGAATCCCTATTAAATTATTGATAATATTAACTTGATCAGAAAAAAAAAACAGTAATTTGGTCACATCCTGGAGCCCTATTGTTAAAACTATGAAGACTATAATATAACAAAATAGTTTATTCTTTAATAAGCTGTAATGTAATTTGTGTACACAGTAATAGAGACTTGTAATGATCAAGATTCTACAAAATCAGTAAAAGGAATCATGTGTTATTGACATAATAGTAATTGACTCTGCAAATATTCTGCCTTTTGTAGAGATATCAATGATCTAGTTAAACATTTCATTCTTTGTAGAAATATCCATGGTTTAACTCCAGAAGATTTTGCTGTGACTGAAGATATGAAAGCTGCATTGACCACGGATATCACAACTACAACTAGCAAAACTACAGAGGTGAAATATTTTACAGACCAATAGTGCATAGAAATAATTATATAAGTCCTAATATGAGAGTATCAGATTCTCCCCAATATATACCTATTTACCTATATTTTGTCCTAAATTTTCACTTTGGTCACTGGTAAGCAGTCTAGCTATTAAAGTCTTATATGCTGTCATGAGTTACCTCCCATCATTTTTTACCCAAAACTTATTTCAAATAACTTTTTCTAACAAAAAAATTTCACATTTTGACTTCTACTAGTAAATATTAAAGTAATAATAAATTCTCAATCTTAAAGGTTTTGTACATATATTTAAAAGTTGTATATATATACATGAAAATCAAAAAATGCCTTTTACAAACACATTTATATCAATAAGATATATGAATGAGAGCCTTAAAGGGAAACTTCGCAAAAAAATGAAAAATTGATATTATGTTCATTATGTATAAAAAAGCACAAATTCATAAATATTAAAGTTTTATTCTGCTAGATAAGAGATCACCATCGATTTTAAATTTAGAGTATCAATTCTCCGCATGCGGCCATTTTGACATCCTCCCTGAATAGAAACCCAGATATATCTATAAACCACAAAGGACCAAAACAAGCAGTAACCTAACGTAGCCGTAATTGAGTGTCGATATCTTGTCAAGCGTACGGTTGTTTTATCCGACAAGGAAAGCATAAACAGTTTCCCGGGTCACAAAAAAGATTTTAATAGACATGGTTGTGCAACTTTTCCTAACTAACTTGATACGGAAAATGTAATTATATATATTTTTTTTTAAAATAACTAGTACTATGGTCTGTCGTTTTAAAACTGTTTTTTTTTAACTAAGTTTTTGAAACAAGAAATTTTAATGGAAATTAGTTAATAGTCAAAGTTCAAAGTCATAAATAAGTGTTCCGTGTAAAATTGTTTTCGAAAATCTAGTTTGTTCATAATTCTTTTATGTAATAAACTTATTTAAATAAATTCGGACCTTCCCTTATCTGATCACTAGCATGGCTTAAGAAATCCCAGAGGTATTGTGAGGTGACACGTCCAGGTATTCAAGCGATTTCCTGTCGGGCTTTAAAACTCTTATTACACAATCACATAAAGCAAGTTCGTGCATCACTTCACTTCTGAGGGTATTGACCAGTGTACACGGCCGATAACTTGTAACTTTACATTTTGAAACTATCAGGTGTAATATACATCTTTGTCTTGCGTGTCCGATAGTGATATACTAGTCATTACTAAACTCATACGCTTGTTTATAAATAACCTTTCTGGTGTAAAGAATGATATTTATGAAAATCTTAAATAATTCCAAAAAAAAGATTTGATAGAATAAAAAATCTATTTACATATTTTTTAAGGGTAAATTGGGGAAAATGTAAGTATATACTCGTTGTCAATAAGTATGGACATCTTGAAACATACAAATATTGATTTAACAAAATGTACGCACTTGTCGATCATTAGTTTATACGCATAGATAGAAGGTTACGGAACTATAGATAGTCGCTATTTAGAATATAGTATAATACATGTAAATTAAATATACGAGAGAAACATCCAGAACCAATCTGATTTAAATACAGTTCGATATCTAACTTGCTTTGGTTCATCGAAGTTATGGACATAGTAAAATCACAGATTTATTTTTCAATAAGATTATTTTGAACAGTTTAAGAAATTCGTCATCATCACAATTGTTGGGTATAATGTATAATAATGTGAACATGGTTCTAAAAGTACCTGATGTCAATTTTCCTGTTCCGACATGCATGTAATATATATGCCACTGGACGTACACTAATGATCCCCAAAAAGCCTATTTGAAGAAATAAAGAAACTTCACTGCTGATAGACTGATAGTAGTTGGATTAACGTCTGGTTAGCTAGAGGGTTGATTAATTTATTTAGTTAGCTTGTGGTGGTAATAAACCATTCCCAATATTGCACTTATGCATAAAATATCAAATGAAAGTAATATAAGAGAAAATATAAATACGAAAAGTCGCATATCTGGTACAAAAAGTCTCACCATGAACTATAGGATTTTACGTACGATTGTCATTCTTAATCGAAATAACGGACAGTCATTTAAATACATGCATGTACGCTGTGATAAAAAGGGGTGTCGCAGTTGCATAGTATTCATCATAAATCTATTTCACGTTTATACTTTCCTGTTATTTTTATAAGTTAACGCAGAGACATGTATACATCTCTAGCTAACGACAATCAACTATATAGATATCTGAATCTGATGTGATTTACCGTTCATGTCTCTCTTTTTCTCCTTTTTTGTTATTTTGGCAGGAATATATACATTGTAAGATATACTGTTCCCAGGTTTGGGGAAGGGGGGGGGGGTTGGAGTTCATGTCTATCGAAAGTTACAAAATAAGAACGGTGTATTTATGAATTTACAAGAAGAATTCTGTTCTTGGGCGTAGTTTTCTTCTTTTTTTTAGTTCAGTTATTTAAATTGAGAAAAAAAAATCTAGTCAGAATTTAAATTGAATCGTTCCGGCAATCCCCCACCTAAGACGCCTCTAAAATAATGAATGGTCATGCTTCACAATCATCAGAATTTTCGTTGCATTGGTATATTCTGTATCAGTAGTGATTAACCTTGACATTTCCGGGTATAACAGAGCTACTTGTATATTACCTGTATGTGGTTAGATGATCTTAGGTGACGTCCCATGAGGTCTTACGTATACAGGTTCACATTTATAATGGTTTCTGATATAACAATAAGGTTTTATGACATTCACACTTCTGCATGTTCTGTATACCAAATTCTTATCTTTTTTTCAGACCGAATGAGGATGTGAATATTTTCCAGGAAAAATATTGAGTATCAAATTAATTTCGGGATTTTTAAAGGCAGTGCTTTAATGCCTTTCTAGTTGCCGGGTTAATCCTTCCTTCCGCGATATCCAACTTATCTACGTGGGGGGTCATTAGACTCCAAGTAGATCCGGAAATGTTGAATTCTCTCCTCTTCTTATTGCGATATAAAATGTTTTTTGTTTCATTTCATTTACATTGGGAAATAGAGAAACGATCATTGTGTTTTGTTAGTTTTAAAAACTTTTGATATATTAGTATTTTGCATTATAAGCAGTCAACCGATTGACAAACTAGAATCATTTGAATTCCGTGTGGAAAGAGCTCGGGTTAATTTCGAGTGTTATCTGCAATCTAGATGTTTATAAATCATTTCAGTCGTTGATATAATAATCAAAGGTCGACTGAACATGAATTATATTATACTATTTAAAGCGCATTTCTGTTTATGCACGTGAACCCGTCTAACTTTATTTTCGCAGTTAAATTAATTAAAGTAGCAAATTATCGTTCCTGAATAGGTGGCGCCGTGGTAGCGGATCCTGTTCCTCTACTTCCGGTTTCTACACTGTGCAACTATTTCAGTTATATTTTTGATTAACGATGCCAAGTACTTGTTGTTGTGTACCTGGATGTCATTTAAGAGGAGGACATGCATTTCCAAATGACTTAAAAAGAAGGAAAAGTTGGATCAACGCCATGGCCAATACGCAGATTGGACGAGAACACGATGATATCGTGGAGTCCATCTCAATCAGCTGTTGTTTGCAAGGCACGTTTTACTGAAAAAGACTACGTGCAGGAAACTATTCATGGTAAAACTCTATTTTCTTTGTGAAATATATAGTTATATATGTAATCGCCATGCGAATAAACCAAAGTCTGTTTACAACCGCAATTATCGTTTTAGAATAAAAGGGGGTGGGTAATTCAAGACGTCATAATTTTTTGGATTACGATTCAATGTGATCTGTTTGAGATTTTTTGGTGATTGCTACAATTATAATGATTTCTTACAAGAGATATATCATACTGAGAATTATTTTAGCAGTAATTATGCTAATGTAGTAATGACAGGAATGCATAAGCTATGCCTCATAGACTTTCTTGAAAAATATCAATGACAATGTTAACAGGAACAAAACAATGACATGCTCTCATCTATATTATAGTTATTTAGGTACAAACAATGTACGTTTGTTGCATAAGTCTCTCATTGTTTGTCCTTTGGATTTACATAACATACATTGAATCAGGCAAACATAGTTTTATCCAGATTGTAATGAATAAATCTAGTTAATATTTCGCCAGGTAGTACAAAGTATACATTGCTAATGGAAGTTCATTTAATTATAAAAAAACTAATGTTTTATAACCTTTTTCAGGGCGCAAACCCACCATACAGAGACTTAAGTCTACTGCAATTCCCAGCCTATTTTCCTGGACCAAGCAAGAGACTGAATCGTCTGCAAAAAGAAAAATCAGGGCAGTTTCCTGTGAAAACAAAAGAACTAAACTTGATGAATATTGTAGTAGAAATCTAGAGGAAAGTTTTGATTGTAAAGTTGGTTTTCCTGAAGAAGTCATTCATACTGCAGAAAGGATTTATGACTGTCCACCACCAACTGCCGAGCTAATGTTGAGCTTCACAGATGGAATTACGCAAACACCATCAATGCCTATGTTTTCAGCAGAGAATTTTGAAATGAAGACACGTGACACAGCCATGCATTTTTATACCGGTTTAGAGTTGTATACTAAATTTTTATTTGTTTTGACCACACTTGGTCCAGCAGCACATTGTTTGAGATACATATATTTTCAAATTGATAGGGTGTCAGTTGAAAATCAGTTTTTTTATGACTTTGATGAAATTGAGGCATCATACAACCAACTTTGAACTGTCTAGATTCTAGATTGAATCTAGTGTTAAGAATATTGTGTATACATGGATTGTTTTTATGTCTAAACAGTGGTGTGAGGCTAACACTTGGCCATCTAGTGGTTTAGTCAGGTATTTTTCACCATCCAACTTCAAATTAAAGTTTCCTACGACTTGGATTATTATTGACAGCACAGAATATCCCGTGATAAAACCTAAAGCTCCTAGAGCTCAGGCAACCTTTTCATCAAATAAAAACAGAAACACTGAAAATTCTTGAATGTTCGACACCTGGTGGTTTAGTCAACTATGTCTCTATGTCACATAGAGCGAATTATTGGACTTGGCAAAACATACAAAATTCTAATAAATCCTATGAATGGAACTGAAACAAAACTTTCATCTGAAATAACATTTAGTTGTTTTATGTTGTGTAATTTTAGAACTTGTATTGTGCCAAAGGATGCATAAATAAAAGTGACGCAATGAGTTTTGTTCTGATATATATATATTTACAATTACATGCACATGTAAATTGTAATGCATATATAAATAAGGAGATGTGGTATGATATTCAGTGAGTTTATCAAACTAAAGTGCATAAGAAATGGGTTTAAGCAGTTACAGGTGTTACTGTCACCGTACAATCTCCAACAATGAGAAAAACTCGTACCCTGTAAAAAATTTCAGAGATCTAATAACTAAGTTTTGTTGTCTCACCTTGACTTTGGTGAATTTTTTATATCTGTTGATGTAAATATAAAAAAGAAGATGTGGTATGATTGCCAATGAGACAACTCTCCACACATGCACAAGAGACCAAATGACACAGAATTAACAGCTATAGGTCACAGTACGGCCTTCAACAATGAGCAAAGCCCATACCGCACAGTCAGCTATAAAAGGCCCAGAAATGACAATGTAAAACAATTCAAACAAGAAAACTAACGGCCTATTTTATGTAAAAAAATGAACAAATATAACAAATATGCAACACATAAACAAACGACAACCACTGAATTACACTTTTATAGGCTCCTGACTTGGGACAGGCACATACATGTACATACAGAATGTGGCGGGCTTAAACATGTTAGCGGGATCCCAACCCTCCCCCTAACCTGGGACAGTGGTGTAACAGTACAATATAAGAAAGAACTCTAAAAATCAGTTGAAAGAGGCTAAACTCATCAGATGGATAAATACAAATACAAGTGGACGTGGTAGGGTAGTTGTACATCCAAACAACAAAAAGACACTTAGTACAAATCTGAGAGTACTCGCAGTTACTGACAGCTAGTTCAAAGCCACTAACAACTGATAAAAAAATCTTGCATCTAAGACTAAATTATCAATCCGTAAGCTCCCTTTAGAATTTTATAAATTTTAGATTTTACATTTCTGAGTTATGGGGTTTTATTCATTAAAAAAGGGGGGATTTTCCAGTTTTTGGACAACAACTCAAAAATGCTTTAAGCAGTTCACATGAAACTTTGGTGAATTATTTATAGCTATTGATGTAATCTCCCTATTGATTTTCATAAATTTCAAATATGACATTGAGAAGAAATTGAACTTTATTTGTTTATAGTCTGGCAAAGATTTATTAAGTATTGCACAACAGCAAGAAATCTTTAATTGAATATAAATTCAATTCATATAACCGATTTCAAGTTCATTGACTTCATTTATTCAGAAACTATAATATGTCAAATATTTAATTACAATCCAAATTCAGACCTGTATCAAGCTTGAATATTGTGTCCATTTTTGCCCCAGCTGTTCAGGGTAGTACCTCTGCGGGTGTATCCAGCTGCGCTCAGTGAATCAGTTTATTTCTTAATTAAGAACTCCTTTTTATACGACCGCAAAAAAATTTTTGTGGTCGTATATTGGTATGACGTTGTCGTCGTCGGTGTCATTTTCCGAAGACACATTAGTTTTCGCACTCTAACTTTAGTTTAAGTGAATGGATCTCAATGAAATTTTAAAATAAGGTTCAATACCACAAAAGGAAAGTGGGGATTGATTTTGGGGGTTATGGTACCAACAGTTAAGGAATTAGGGGCCAAAAATAAGCATTTTTGTAACTTCCAGACATAACTTGTGTGTAAGTGTATGGATCTCTCTGACATTGTACCACAAGGTTCCATATCACAAAGGGAATGCTGGGATTGATTTTTGGGGGTAATTGCCTCCAAATTTTAGGAATTAGGGGCCAAAAAGGGGCAAAAAACAAGCATTTTTCTAGTTTCATGACAATAACTTGTGTGCAAGTCTATGGATTTTTCTGACATTGTATCACAAGGTTCCATATCCAAAGGGAATGCTGGGATTGAATTTGGGGGTAATTGCTTCCAAATTTTAGGAATTAGGGGCAAAAAAGGGGAAAAAACAAGCATGTTTCTAGTTTCATGGCAATAACTTGTGTGTAAGTGTATGGATCTTTATGAAATTGTACTACAAGGTTCCATATCACAAAGGGAAAGCTGGGTTTGAGTTTGGGGGTAATTGCCCTAAACGTTTAGGAATTTGGGACCAAAAAGGGGCCAAAAAACAAGCATTTTTCTAGTTTCCAGACAATAACATGTGTTCAAGTGTATGGATCTCTCTGAAATTGTACTGCAAGGTACCATACCACAAAGGGAAGGCTGGGATTGAGTTTTGGGGTGATGAATCATAAGGGGGTTCAAAAAGTTTGGGGGGGGGGGGGGGGATTCTTTTTCCTTTTTTTTCTTTAAAATTTTCCATTTTAAATTGGTTATTTCTGATTTATATATAAAAGCAAATAATAATGATATGGTTTGAATAGGTAAATTAAATTTTTTTAAGTATCTTAGACCACTTTCATTCTGTGTCAGAAACCTATGCTGTGTCAAATATTTAATTACAATCCAAATTCAGTGCAGAATCAAGCTTGAATGTTGTGTTCATACTTGCCCCAACTGTTCAAGGTTCGACCTCTGCGGTCGTATCAAGCTGTGCCCCAGCGGAGCATTTTATTTCATTAATAAATTACTTTATGCTTGGAAATATAATTTTGCTTGGAGTTGAAAGAGTTGACATGTTGCAATGTACATTTACTCTACATAGTTCTATGGTACCAAATCAAAAGTTTATATAAAGAAAGAAGTCAAAGGTTTCCCATCATAGTTTAGTTACATACATTTTTTTTGTACCTGAGGTCGTTGAATATAGATCATTATATAAATAAGGAGATGTGTTATGATTGCCAATGAAAAAACTAAGGATTTTCTTATCCAAGGAATAGATTACCTTAGCCGTATTTGGCACAACTTTTTGGAATTTTGGGTCCTCAATGCTCTTCAACTTTGTACTTGTTTGGCTTTGTTACTATTTTGATCTGAACGTCACTGATGAGTCTTATGTAGACGAAACACACGTCTGGCGTATTAAATTATAATCCTGGTACTAATTTGACTATAAACATAGATAAAAAAGGTACAAACTGGACATAATGCACTAGTTCATAAACAAGTGAGAACAATCGCTTTCATATAGTGCTCAGAATATGACATTCATAAAACTTATTCAATATCATTAGAGAACTCTAAATCTTAAATACTGAAAGCCACCTCTGATAAGTACACTGTACTATGCAAGATAATGATATAACTGGACTTAAAATACACACAACCTGTAATTAACTGCCTTTACAGCGCTTTCGTGCTTTGATTTCTTTCTTGGTATTAAATCACAGAAATTTAAAGAATATACTGCTTGTCCGTTTTAGGAGTATGCTTGTCAGTTTAAACAGACGTATATATGTCTCTGGTTTAGAGTGGGTTTATGAATGAATTATAAGTCTTGCAAAGGTACAAGATATAAAGCACATTGAAAATTGATGCCGCCAGTCTTTCTCCATTCAAAAAAGGAAAGTTGACATTAGATTGATTCTGTTAATTTTTTAAAACATCGTTGGTCAAATAGCTAAAGAATTTATACGTTGTGAGATTTAGAATATTTTAATCAGGGCATTCCCGATTAGGTAAATGTAGATCGCTTTGGACGGACCAAACTATATTAATGTTACTGATAATTTTCTCTGCACATTTAAATAAATATTCAAGGTTACCGATGATAATTTGAAATAGTACATTTTTGATTTATACGCTCGTTTTCGTGAGCCATTTGTTTCTATAAAATTATTTAATTGAAAGTAATTCAGAATTTCGATGTTACAACAAAATGATCACCTATTTATTAAAAATTGAGCTAACGCAAAATATTAAAAAATATATAACGGCTATTCAGTTATTTTGCCACCATATTCCTCCCCAAATAATAATAAAAAATATCCTGTCTCAAACCCGCACTTCTGTTTTATCCCTTTTCCCCCCATGTTTTTCATACTTACAACGTTGAACCCTTGAGGCCAAACAAAACGCTTGTGAAGATCAAAAGATTAAAATTACATAATGCTAATCTTTTAATAACCGTGAATTTAACCACGCCTTTACCAGGTGGTGTCAGTATAATACACATGCATTGTATTTACACAGTACTAGACTGAAGCAAGGATTTGTATAGTAAGACAAATCCTCGACTGAAGTAATAGGTGAGAATACAAACATGCATTTTTTTATTACACTATCAGTTATATATGTTTGTTCAACATATCCGTCGGAAAAAAAATCATAAAAAAATTCTATTGTATGATTTACTTTTATTACTATAATCATATCAGAAATCCTTAAAATATAAAAGGTGCATTTTGATTTTGAAAGTTGCACGGCTGATCACTTTTCTTTCTGAATTATTAGTTGGTTAATAGCTACGCCAAAAGTCGTCGATGCGCTTTAAATCGCGTTATAAGATGATTAACGAACAAGACTTAAAATCAGATTAATCCACTCCCGGCATGCAAAAAGACTTAAACTACATCACAGAAGTCAGGAAGTTCGAATAAATAAAATTAATAATTCCCAATTTTCTTCTTTATTAGTGTTCATATCTAGATAAAACTTGGTGAATATGTTTTTTATGGTATTATGAACATAATAAGATGATAAGTAAAAAATCGTGAATTTTCCCTTTAACAAACGGAGTCATGTTAAATTTTTATTCAATTATCTATTTGTAATAAATTGTGAAAGGAGTGTGTTGTGTGATTAATAAATTTGCTTGAAAAGCAGCATGTAAATATTGATTTGGATATTGTAAATCATCAAACAATAGTCCTGGTTATTTATTGAGTAGGATTGTAACAAATCTTGAAATACAAGTTCCACAGAACATAAATCGACTGAAAATCCAGCATATTCTTACATTGGGAAGTCTCCCAAGTAACTGACTTTAGGAAATCTCAGGTCTTACTGGTAAGTGAGGGCATTGAAACATTGGCACTTTACACGTTGGAGATTTGGGTAGTGTTCATTGCAGTGTTTTCTATTAGATTTGAAATAGAATTGTTTCCTTAAAATCATAGCACAACATTTATAAAACTTTCTGTTATAAAGTATATTCAGATAGCACCATGGATCCTTCATACAGGGGGAACTGGTGACTAAACAAATGTATAGAAAGCCCTTTTTCAAACAAAGAATTTTTTTTATTATCGACAATTGACCAGTTTAGAGATTCCTTTCATTTAAAAAATTGCTGGGTAGACTACCCATTGCCCTCTTCTAACAACAGACAACAAACGATCGTTTTGAAATTGTTTCTTATGTTTATCTGTTAAATTTCTTATGTTTAACTGGTTAAACTTGCATATAAATAATTTTAGCAATGATTTATTTAGAATATCAAAACATATTTCAAATTTCAATGTTCTTTTGTTAAAAATTGTATTTATTTGATCATCAATAATAGAACTAAATTACCATGCTTTTCCTGAACAAATCCACAAGCCCATGCATGTTACTATTTAAATGCCCCCAGGGGATATCAGCCTAAATGATTGCTAAAAGACTTTAGACCAAGTTCATATGATTTATTTCATTACTTGATAACTTTTCTCATTCTATGATTTTAATACACTGGAACTATACATTCCTTGTTTAGTTAATTTTGAAACAGAACAAAATTTTGAAAACACTTAGAGTTAACTCCCTTTATACAAGAAAATACATATTGGGGAATAGTTATCTGTTTAGATAAAATGAAGACAACTGTTAACATTGGTTTAATAGTTATAATGTGATGATTTAAAAAAAAAAACAAGAACATGAAACTATAAGAATAACAAAAAATATTTATGTTTATTTTGTTTCATTGGCAAAGATGGTAAATTGATCATGCAAAAGCATGGCTGCAAGTGACAGTTCCTTTTGTATCTTTACAGAGTTCTTGAAATCTGTTTTTCCCTGGTGGTCCTTGAAGAAAATCTGCTGGTTCCCACTATTATTTCTATTGCAAAATACCAAAATTGTGTCAGTCCTTTGCAAAATTTTGGTGGTCGAAACCTTGGGACAACAAATTTTTGAGAACTCTGTCTTGAAGTATTTTTTACAATTCTTTGACAATAATGAAACATTTTGGGTGCACAACATTGCTGTTTTATTAGCCTATGCGTATTAATTCAAAACATTCTTGTCCACCGGATTGTATAAGTAGTTTTACAAATGTTGTCATATTTGGCCCCGCCCACTCAGTCATGGTCTATTGACTTTGAAACTTTTGCTTAGTTTACATGTATTAGTTTGTGATTAGGTCAGTTTATGGGGAACCCCTAGTGGTAGGTCAATGATATATGGTATGCAGTTGTATTAACATTAGCACATCTCATTTCCATGGAGATTATTTGGCCCTGCCCCCTCAGTCATGGTCTTTTGCATAAGTTGCATGTAAAAGTATCGCTATCTTAATTTCAATAGTTGCATTTTACTATCAAAATTACAAAAAGGGGAGATATATATCTCTGTGTGAACAGTTTATTGAAATCAAACTTTTAATTTTATTATGTAGAAAGAAAAAAAAGAATTCAGTGCAGGAATAGATGCAACCTTAAAAGATAAAATGATTGCATGCAACAGGATCAAATCTATTTTCCATTATAAAATTACAAAATACTATGATTAACTACTACTTTAAGGTTAGAAGAAAACCCAAATCATTGCTAATTTATATTCCAGTTGAAACTTCTAGTTGACATCACAATTAAAAGTAGCACAATCGATTTCTAAATATTTTTAAAATATTTACCCTCAATAATAATCTTGCTGCATTCCAAAAATTGTTATTAAATGTTTTTACTGAAAAATGAGGTTCAGGTTAGGTTAATCTGTTAGACAGACATGTACACCAATTGTTGCAACATGGTTAACCTATTACTTATGTAACTGATAAATTCCTGTTTGAACTTTGTAGTCATTAGGTCAAGAACAATAGACATAGTTACCTCAAGTAATGGCAAATTTGCTTACAAGTGTAAAAATGTTTGTGAATGTATGCCATACACTACAGACACATAGACTGAACATCTTCGAAACGGTGAGCTTTTGCCATCACTTGGCGTCCGGCGTCGTCTGGCGTCCATCCAGTGTAAACTATTTCAAACATCTTCTCCTCTGAAACTACTGAACCAATTCCAACCAAACTTAAGCTGAATGATCCTTAGGGTATCTAGAATAAAGTTTGGGTTTTATTTTCTGTTTTGTCAAAAAACATCGCCGCTATGGCTAAAAATAGAACATAGGGGTAAAATGCAGTTTTTGGTTTATATTTCAAAAACCAAAGCATTTAGAGCAAATCTGACATGGTGTAAAAATGTTCATTAGGTCAAGTTCTATCAGCCCTGAAATATTCAGATGAATCTAACAACCCATTGTTGGGTTGCTGCCACTTAATTGGTAATTTTAAGGAAATTTTGCAGTTTTTGGTTATCTTGAATATTATAGATAAAGATAAACTGTAAACAGCAAAAATGTTCAGCAAAGTAAGATATACAAATAATTTTTTTATGACCACAATTGTCAACTGACCACTTAAGGAGTTATTGTCCTTTAAAGACAATTTTTCACAATTTGTTCATCTGATCTAGTTTGCTTACTTTAAAAAATCTTCTCCTTTGAAACTACTGAATCAATTTCAGCCAAACTTGGGCTGAATGAGTTTCAGAGTATCTTGTATAAATTTTGTGTTTTATTTCCTTGTACGTCAAGAAACATAGCCACTATGGCTAAAATGAAACATAGGGGTAAAATGCATTTTTATACGCCCGTCAAATTTTTGACGGGACGTATTATGGTATACAAATGTCCGGCGTCTGTCCGTCCGTCTGTCTGTCCGTCTGTCCGTCTGTCTGTCCGACGTAAACATGTCGCACCGTAACTTGAGAATGACTTATCCAAATTTCATGAAACTTAACATAGTTGTTTCTTATGATGGTCAAACGATCTGTGTACTTTTTGGTGAAAATAAGATTAAAACTTTTTGTAACTAAAACAGGTGTGTGTTTTTTTTCACATGTCGCGCCGTATCTCAAAAACAATTTATGATTATTGCTTAAAACTTTACACACTTCTTAGTTATATTAACCTTAAGATCTGTATACTTTTTGGTGATGATTCAAAATTTTATTTTAGAGATAATGAGTATTTTGTTAAAAAAGGGGGAGGGGTTTTTCACATGTCGCGCCGTATCTCAAAAACAGTGTATGATTATTGCTTAAAACTTTACACACTTCTTAGTTATATTAACCTTAAGATCTGTATACTTTTTGGTGATGATTCAAAATTTTATTTTTGAATTATTGAGTATTTTGTAAAAAAAGGGGGAGGGGTTTTTCACATGTCGCGCCGTTTCTCAAAAATGATTTATAATTATTGCTTAAAATTTTACACTCTTCTTAGTTATATTAATCTAAAGATCTGTAGACTTTTTGGTTTTGATTCAAAATTTTATTTTTGAGATATTGATTTTTTTTTTTTTTTTTAAAGGGGGGGTTTTCACATGTCGCGCCGTATCTCAAAAACGATTTATGATTATTGTTTAAAATTTTACACACTTCTTAGTTATATTAATCTAAAGATCTGTATACTTTTTGGTTTTGATTCAAAATTTTGTTTTAGAGATATTGAGTTTTTTGTAAAAAAAAAAAGGGGGGGTTTTCGCATGTCACGCCGTATGTCAGAAACTATTTATGCTTATTGCATAAAAATTCACACACAAGACGACGGGCGTATCATGCGCTCATGGCGCAGCTGTTTATTTGCTTTTGAAGAAAATATGACAGATACAAAGAACATTTAAATGGCAATTTTAAGCCACTCATTAATATATATTGAAAAGCAAAAATAATCATTGATGAAAGATTTAAGCAAAAAATTACAGGTGAGTGATGCAGGCTCTTGAGAGCCTCTTGTTTGTATTCGAGACATTGATTATCCAGATCTTAAGACTTCTGGAAAATAAAGTTTATTTAAATTTCGTAAGACAAACTGTTTGGGGGATAAACTTCTTTCATGTCGGTAACTATAGCTATTAACATTTTTTCAGGTCGTAGATGTACTAGAATACCAGCAGCCTTGTTTACTGCACACAGCATTATCTAGAGAGCAGAAAATACTACTGCAGAAGTGTGCAACTGTTATACAGGGCAGAGTGGTCGAAGATTTCTGCCCTGAAGGTAAAAAACAGGTTTATTTGTCTTAGACTTTAAGAATTTATGTTATAGAGTATTAAACTTTCTAAGGCCGGGTTTGTTTTTGATAATTGATTCTATCATCAATAATCTTTGTTTTACCTCTTTTTGCTGATAGTTTGAAATTTTATAATAGATGGGTACAAGGATTAAGATAATTTGAGACTTATGTTTGTGATATCACTCTTTTTATCTGTAGTAGTAAGATAATTTGAGACTACTGTCTGTGATAGCACTCTTTTTATCTGTTGTAGTAAGATAATTTGACATATCTGTGATAGCACTCTTTTTATCTGTTGTAGTAAGATAATTTGAGACTACTGTCTGTGATAGCACTATTTTTAAAGGCAGTGCTTTAATGCCTTTCTAGTTGCCGTGTTAATATTTCTTTCCGCGATATCCAACTTATCTACGTGGGGGGTCATTTAGCTCCAAGTAGATCCGGAAAATGTTGATTCTCTCCTCTTCTTATTGTGGTATAAAATGTTTTTTGTCTCATTTCATTTACATTGGGAAATAGAGAAACGATCATTGTGTTTTGTTAGTTTTAAAAACTTGTGATATATTTGTATTTTACATTATAAGCAGTCAACCGATTGACAAACTAGAATTATTTGAATTCCGTGTGGAAAGAGCTCGGGTTAATTTCGAGTGTTTTCTGCAATCTAGATGTTTATAAATCATTTCAGTCGTTGATATAATAATTAAAGGTCGACTGAACATGAATTATATTATACAATTTAAAGCGCATTTCTGTTTATGCACGCGAACCCGTCTAACGTTATTGTTATTTCGCAGTTATATAAAGTAAGAAATTATCGTTCCTGAATAGGTGGCGCCGTGGTAGCCGATCCTGTACTTCAACTTCCGGTTTCTGCACTGTGCAACTATTACAGTTGCATTTTTAATTAACGATGCCAAGTACTTGTTGTTGTGTACCTGGATGTCATTTAAGAGGAGGACATGCATTTCCAAATGACTTAAAAAGAAGGAAAAGTTGGATCAACGCCATGGCCCATACGCAGATTGGACGAGAACACGATGAAATCGTGGAGTCCATCTCAATCAGCTGTTGTTTGCAAGGCACATTTTACTGAAAAAGACTACGTGCAGGAAACTATTCATGGTAAAACTCTATTTTCTTTTTAAAATATATAGTTATATATGTAATCGCCATGCGAATAAACCAAAGTCAGTTTACAACCGCAATTATCGTTTTAGAATAAAAGGGGGTGGTTAATTCAAGACGTCATAATTTTTTGGATTACGATTCAATGTGATCTGTTTTGAGATTTTTTGGTGCTTGCTACAATTATAATGATTTCTTACAAGAGGTATATCATACTGAGAATTATTTTAGCAGTAATTATGCTTATGTAGTAATGACAGGAATGCATAAGCTATGCCTCATAGACTTTCTTGAAAAATATCAATGATAATGTTAACAGGAACAAAACAATGACATGCTCTCATCTATATTATAGTTATTTAGGTACAAACAATGTATGTTTGTTGCATACGTCTCTCATTGTTTGTCCTTTGGATTTACATAACATACATTTTGATGTACATTGAATCAGGCTAACATAGTTTTATCCAGATTGTAATGAATAAATCTAGTTAATATTTTGCCAGGTTACGAGTACAAAGGAATTATAGTTATCTCGTACCATTGTAACTCGTACCAATGTCAACTTGTACCACTAAACAAAAACTCGTTCCAATGCAAACTCGTACCACTGCTAACTCGTACCACGGTAAATTCATACCATTGTAAACTCGTACCCACTTATTTAAATGCATTCAAATGGTGTTTAATGATGAATATATACTTTAATTTCACTCAATACCTCTTAAGTCTGTAAAATGTATATAATTTGAAATTACAATAACCAATTTGTAGCTAATTTTCCTTGTCTAATTGGATAGAGAAAACCGTGGCAGATTGGCTTTGTTGTCTCCCTTGAATAGACTCTTTTTATACGACCGCAAAAATTAAAAATTTCTGAATCCACTTTAAAACATGATTAACATTTGTAGTGCAGATCTGTGGCTAGTGGTAGTTATACGACCGCAAAAATTAAAAATTTTTTGGTCGTATATTGGTACGACGTTGTCGTCGTCGTCCGAAGACACATTGGTTTTCGCACTCTAACTTAAGTTTAAGTGAATGGATCTCCATGAAATTTTACCATAAGGTTCAATACCACGAAAGGAAGGTTGGGATTGATTTTGGGGGTTATGGTACCAACAGTTAAGGAATTAGGGGCCAAAAATAAGCATTTTTGTAACTTCCAGACAATAACTTGTGTGTAAGTGTATGGATCTCTCTGACATTGTACCACAAGGTTCCATATCACAAAGGGAAGGCTGTAATTGATTTTGGGGGTAATTGCCTCAAAATTTTAGGAATTAGGGGCAAAAAACAAGCATTTTTCTAGTTTCATGACAATAACTTGTGTGTAAGTGTTTGGATATTTCTGAAATTGTACAAGGTTCCATATCACAAAGGGAAATCTGGAATTGAGTTTGGGGGTAATTGCCCAAAACGTTTAGGAAATTGGGGGCCAAAAAGGGGCCAAAAATAAGCATTTTTCTAGTTTCCAGACAATAACTTGTGTTCAAGTGTATGGATCTCTCTGAAATTGTACTGCCAGGTACCATACCACAAAGGGAAGGCTGGGATTGAGTTTGGGGGTGATGAATCATAAGGGGGTTCAAAAAAATTTGGGGGGGGGGGGATTTTTTTTTTTCTTTTTTTCCTTTTTTTTTTCTTTTAAAATTTTCCATTTTAAGTTGGTTATTTCTGATTAATATTTAAAAGCAAATAATAATGATATGGTAGGAGATACACACCAAACAGGATGTGTAAATTATTATATAATAAGTATTGTGCAATAGCAAGAAATTTTCAATTGCACAGTATGGCACAATAGCAAGAAATCTTCAATTGCACAGTATTGCGCAATAGCAAGAAATCTTCAATTGCACAGTATTGCGCAATAACAAGAAATATCCAATAGCACAATATTGCGCAATAGCAAGAAATTGTCAATTGTACAGTATTGCACAATAGCAAGAAATATTCAATTGCACAGTATTGTGCAAAAGAAGATACTTCGTATAAATTGCTTATTTCTTGATCAATTTCAATGGGGTTTTATTCTTGAATTCTTGGGGTTCTTTAATATGCTGAATCTAACCGTGTATTAAGTTTTTGGATTTTGGGCCCCGTTTTTAAATTGGTCCACATTGAGGTCCAAAGGGTCCAAAATTTAACTTTGTTTGATTTCATCAAAAATTGAATTATTGGGGTTCTTTGATATGCCGAATCTAACCGTGTATTTAGATTCTTAATTTTTGGTTCCGTTTTCAAATTGGTCTACATTAAGGTCCAAAGGGTCCAAAATTAAACTTAGTTTGATTTTAACAAAAATTGAATTTTTAGGGTTCTTTGATATGCTGAATCTAAACATGTATTTAGATTTTTGATTATGGGCCCAGTTTTCAATTTGGTCCAAATCGGGGTCCAAAATTAAACTTTGTTTGATTTCAACAAAAATTGAATATATGGGGTTCTTTGATATGCTGAATCAAACCATGTATTTAGATTTTTGATTTTTGGGCCCCGTTATCAACTTTGTCCACATTGAGGTCAAAAGGGTCCAAAATTAAACTTTGTTTGATTTCATCAAAAATTGAATTCTTGGGGTTCTTTGATATGCTGAATCTAACCATGTATTTAGATTTTGGATATTGGACCATAATAGGTGAATGTCCAATTTAAAATTTTTAAGTTCTTAGACCACATTCATTCTGTGTCAGAAACCTATGCTGTGTCAAATATTTAATCACAATCCAAATTCAGAGCTGTATCAAGCTTGAATGTTGTGTCCATACTTGCCCCAACTGTTCAGGGTTCGACCTCTGCAGTCGTATCAAGCTGCGGCCTGCGGAGCATTTTATTTAAACTTTTACTGACAACTATTTGATTTAATTTTTAATCATTCCAAATCAGTAACATTGAATAGATTTGGGTATTTTTCTATTGTTTCTAAAAGGAATTTTATTTAATGAAAGAATTTATTGATTGTGTTTAAAAGGTTTAAAATTGTTTATGACCAACAGTTAGAAAGTATGAAATTTATTTTTATACAATATTCAGCACATTTCAGCAGAATATGACCATGCTTATATGATTATACAAGTTGATTAGTTAAAGATAAAAAAACCCAAGTTGATTAGTTAATAATCAACCAATAATCACACAATCAAAGGAATTTAATATATTTATTAGCATGGTAATTAAGAAATTACATTTGTATTTTTGTCTAAGTTTTCATTAAAATCTGGTATAAATTTCAAAGATATTTTAATTTTTTGTATAAAGCTTAAAAAAAAAATAATCATAAAACATTCGTATTTTTGTCTAAGTTTTCATTAAAATCTAGTATAAAATTCAAGTAATTCAATTTTTTTTATTTAGTTTACCAAAAAAAAAATCATAAAACTTTTGTATTTTTGAATATATTTTTAATGGTACGAGTTTGCAGTGGTACGAGTTCTGATTGGTACGACTTCCCAGTGGTACGAGTTTACGTTGGTACGAGTTTACGTGGTACGAGTTAACTTGCTTCTGTACAAAGTATGCATTGCTAATGGAAGTTCATTTAATTATCAAAAAACTAATGTTTTATAACCTTTTTCAGGGCACAAACCCACCATACAGAGACTTAAGTCTACTGCCAATCCCAGCCTATTTTCCTGGACCAAGCAAGAGACTGAATCGTCCGCAAAAAGAAAAATCAGGGCAGTTTCCTGTGAAAACAAAAGAACTAAACTTGATGAATATTGTAGTAGAAATCTAGAGGAAAGTTTTGATTGTAAAGTTGGTTTTCCTGAAGAAGTAATTCATACTGCAGACAGGATTTATGACTGTCCACCACCAACTGCCGAGCTAATGTTGAGCTTTACAGATGGAATTA